CAAACTGAACACGCTGCAATATATTGTTGGAACTGATTTTTCATTGATGGCCAGTAAAATTGCTGAATAATTCGTTTGTAGGTGCGCAAGACACCAGAATGGCCGCCGCATGGAGAATCATGAAACTCCTGTAAAAGCTGAGTAGTTAAATCAGATTTAGGAGGAATTACCACTCTATGCTTGTAAAAAAGTAGACCATTCCTCAATGAAAATGGTTCACCAGGTTTCGCAGCAGCTAACTTTCCCACAGAAAGCATATAAGGATCTGTTGACATAGTAGCTCGGATCTGATCCCAAAAGGAAGATTGCGGAAGAAATAGAGCATGTAAACTTGGGCTGCCACTCACACGAGACAAGGCATCTGCCACATGATTCTCCTTACCCGGCTTGTAAATGATTTCATAAGCCACTCACACGAGACAAGGCATCTGCCACATGATTCTCCTTACCCGGCTTGTAAATGATTTCATAATCATAACCCAGCAATTTGGATACCCAATTTTGTTGTTCCGGAGTTACTACCCGTTGTTCCATCATGTATTTGAGGCTGCGCTGGTCCGTTTGAATGTAAAATTTACGGCCAAGCAAATAAGGACGCCAAGTACGAATAGCTTGAAGGATTGCCAGCATTTCTTTGGCGTATGTAGATAAGGACTGCTTAGAAAGTCCCAAGGCTCGACTCATGAACGCAATGGGTCTATCATGCTGAGATAAGACAGCCCCAATGCCGGTATTCGAAGCATCTGTTGTGAGCACAAAGGGTTCATCAAAATTAGGCATGGCATGTGTAGGAGTGGTCGTCATGGCCTGTTTTAATGCAGAGAAGGCTGCATCTGCTTCAGCAGTCCAGAAAAATTTCCCTTTTTTTAGTAAATTGGTGAGGGGTTGTGCGAGAACACCATAATCACGAACAAATTTTCTGTAATAACCTGTAAGACCCAAAAAACCACGTAATTCAGAAATATTAGTGGGTTTAGGAAAAATTTCCCTTTTTTCAGTAAATTGGTGAGGGGTTGTGCGAGAACACCATAATCACGAACAAATTTTCTGTAATAACCTGTAAGACCCAAAAAACCACGTAATTCAGAAATATTAGTGGGTTTAGGCCAGTCAAGCATAGCTTTGATTTTTCCTTGATCCACACGGACACCATCACGAGTTACAATATGACCCAAATATTCAATTTGCTGCTGTCCAAAGGCACACTTGCTAAGTTTAATAAAGAATTGGTGTTCCCTCAGTAATTGAAATGCCTGTCGAACATGATCCAAGTGCGTCTTCCAATCTGGGCTATATATAAGAACATCATCAAAGAATACAAGTACAGATTTTCGCAAGTAAGGGCGAAAAATGGTGTTCAAAAGAGCTTGAAAAGTGGATGGCGCATTGCACAAACCGAAAGGCATGATCAGATATTCATAATGGCCGTTGTGAGTACGGAAGGCCGTCTTATGAATATCGTCTGGATGAACTCGAACTTGATGGAATCCAGAAATAAAGTCGAGTTTGGTGAAGTAGGCTACTCCATGTAATTCATCTAACATGTCTTCAACAGTTGGAATTGGAAACCTATCCCGGATGGTGACAGCATTAAGTGCACGATAATCTGTACAGAAACGCCAAGATCCATCTTTCTTTTTAACGAGCAAAACAGGGGAAGAAAATGGACTTGAACTAGCCCGGATTAGACCCAAACTCAACATATCTTGGACTTGTTTCTCAATCTCAGCCTTTTGATAGTAAGCATACCTGTAGGGTCGAACATTAACAGGGTCGGTACCTTCCTTGAGGTTGATGTGGTGGTCAATGAATCGACGTGGCGGAAGTGTAGTTGGTTTCTAATAGATGTCTGCAAACTGGCTCAATAATTGCTGCATTTCTGGGTGAATTCGGTCGGGCAAGATTGTGAAGGAGGATTCCACGCAAAGAGCAAAGATTGAGTTGCCATGCTGAAGTTCCTTAGACATTTCCTTCAAAGAAAGTGGCTCAATTTGTTTTTGATGAATACCCTGTAAATGGCGTTGATGACCTTCCCATTCAAAATCCATAGTCAAGTCCTTCCAATTACACTGAACAGTACCCAGTTGCTGTAACCATTGCACTCCTAAAACCACATCCAAACCCTTCAAGAAAGTGCTTCAAATTTGTTTTTGATGAATATACCCTGTAAATGGCGTTGATGACCTTCCATTCAAAATCCAATAGTCAAGTCCTTCGCAATTACACTGAACAGTACCCAGTTGCTGTAACCATTGCACTCCTAAAACCACATCCCAGAACACAATTAGGTAAAGAGTAAGGAATGTAGCAACAAAGGAATACCTTGTAGGGAGAAATGAGTATCCTGAATTTGCCGTTTTGCACTTAGTGGTTAACTTGGGAAGGATTTTGTCCCACTGTGGTTGGTGTCCGACATTAACTTGTGTGTTGTAAAGATTTTGGGGTGTTTGGGTTAGCGGGCGACGGAAGAATCTCAACCGTTGACATTCACCCTGGTTCTGGCTATCGGTCTGGGAAATCTTAATAGGTCTTGGAAGTTCCTAGCTTTTTTGGCCACTAAATTTCCTTGGTCACAAAGGGATTCTTATCATGGCGTTTATTTCACGGCCTGTCACTTTCTAATGTGTTATATGGTAAGTGGAATTGTGTCTTATACATTTACCTCTAATGAATCTAACTATCAACTAAGATGGTCAATTATGTCAATCATATAGTAGGCGGAGATGTATATTATATATGGTAAAAAAGCTCCAACAATAGTTAACTGCGATTTAATGAGTCTCAGCCAAAGGTCAAAGATTGCCTTTTAATACTGAGTAATTTCCAAATGTTAAGTACTTTGGTTTAAAGTATGAGATGTTTCATGAATGGAATTCAGTTTAATCCTCAGAGCTTGAAATTTTATGTGAAGCAAGACTGGAAAGTCGATAAAATAAGAATAACAAAAAATCCGGATTTTTGGGCTCTGAAGTGCATATATAGTAAAGCACACATTGTTGTGTTCGGGTGACATTAGATAGGCGCTCCGGTGACTTTGATGATTTAGTCTACTGTTGTGATGATGCCATTGCTCTCATCGTCCTCAAGGAATCAATCACTCCCGACTGCCGAATCTATTGGTGATAAAGAAAAGTATAACTATGATCATATGCTAGGGCACCGTGGGTGCCTTCTGTTCCTGTAAAAGTAACGGAGCAGCTAAGCTGGGGGACGCACCTCGAAATTTATATAGATACGATCTGTCTGATTGAGCCGTGGCCGGACCTACCAGGCCATTCTGAATCTGTTCTGAAAACTAACTGCTTTCTTTTTCTCCTAAAGTGTATGTGAGCCCTTGTAAACATATTTTTCAGGCTAGCCTTGGAAATAACAATGATTATAATGCTTATTAAAAGGCAGGACTATTACGCTGTACGCATGATTTTTCGTCACATGGTTTTCTATAAAAATACTACTTTGCTAAACCTTGGTGAAATATTAAAATCACTTCGCTAATCATACTAGATTTCCTGTTTATTTTAAAGTTAAGACGGTGCAAGAGACATTAACACGGCACATAATGGAAGTGCACATACAGCCCTTGCCCGCCGCTCGGGCCTTCTCGGGACTCGCCGATTCCTGCATCTCTTCCAAGAAACCAGCCGTGCGTGGTGACTGGTGTAGTGGGTTTCGTTGGGTGGGTCTTGCTGGGGTTTAGAACACCGATGGCCCGGAATGAATTTTTCGTCACAATTAAAACACAGCCCCTTTGCCCGCCGATTCTGCATCTCTTCCCAAGACAGCCGCTTGACTGGTGTAGTGGGTTTGTTCTTAGTTGGGGACGAAGAGCTTGTTTGGAAGGATGGACGAATTGCCTTCTTCTGTCGCAGCAATTGTTCATCCCTCATTCGTGCTAAGCTAATGGCCTCCTTCAGAGTTTTCAGCTTGAACATTCTAATTCCTTCGGCAATTTCGGGTTTAAGACCACCCATGAAGGTTCCAACCAATGCCTTCTGTGTCCAACCTTTTACTCTATTGCCAAGCCTCTCGAACTCTCGCTGATAATCTCGTAAAAGGCCGGTCTGACGAATTTTTGAGAGGGACTCATCAAAATCTTCACAGTCGGTGGGCCCAAATCGAGACCACAATTCGTCAGAAAAGATTTCCCACGTTACTGTTGTCCCTGCGTCGGTATACGTCCTACGAAGCCACTGCCACCACTCGTTTGCTTCTCCCCGCAGGTGATAAGAGGCCAAGGACACCTTTTCTTGATCTGGAGTTCCTTGGTATTCAAAGAATTAATCCACTCTTGTGAACCATTCAGTGGGATCATCTCCAGTGTATTTCGGAAACTCCAATTTTGCTAATTTGGCGGAATACAACGTCTTTCCTACGCTTTTAGAGTCATCTTGGTTGGTGCGATTCTGGCTGGATCGATCACTTGCACCGGCAGATGTGTCTCTGTTAGGAATTGAGAGTTCAGAGAACTTAGTGATAGCTGCCTTAATTTGCTGCAGTTCTTCGCTAAGCCCTTGCTCCATTCTTGACAGATTATCTTGGAGCTGGCCAAGACCAAATTCCAGATTTTCAATTCGTTCTTTGTTGGTTGCCATGAACAAGAGGAAAGAAAAACTGAGGAAAAGGGTATAGAAGCGGGCTCTGATACCAATGTTAGGTCCCAGTCAAAGCCACAGAAAAGAAAGAATAAAGAAAATATGAGGAATTGGTTATTTTTCATTATTCAACAGCTGTGAAGGGAAAAGGGTATAGAAGCGGGCTCTGATACCAATGGTTACCGCGTCGTCCCAGTCAAAGCCGTTCGACACCAGAAACAGAAAGTAATAAAGAAAATATGAGGAATTGGTTATTTTTTCAATTATTCAACAGCTGTAGCTACAATGAATTTAATAGGAGAAAGTTGCCCAGCTGGTTAATTCTTGCCTTTCTAATGGCCCACTAACATAGCACTAGGAGAATATCTTAGTCCTCAGTTACAGATTCGTGTACAGAACTTATTCCTATTCTAATGGCCACTAACAGCACTTAGGAGATATCTTAGCCAGATTCGTTAACAGAATCATGACCAAGTAAACAACAAAGAAATAAAAAAATATAATTGCTGCTGAATAAATAATTGACATAGTTAATCCAAATACTTTTTATTCCTTACTATCACCCTCGTTGACCGTCGTGGTGGTCTATCAGCATACACTTGTTTTTTTCGATCTTAATGCCGGCTCTGAGTCATGCATAATGAATGAAAGAGAGTGTACATTTGCACTTTGATTTATGATCAGTGACATATCGTTCCCAAAAAAGCATTGTATACTCCTTCACTGTGTTTTCTACCGCAATTCTTTGAAATACCGGCCTCTCTTTCAGCTGAAATTAAAAAAAAAAAAAAAAAAAAAAAAAATTTCGCAGGCCCTCTCTTTCAGCTGAATTAAAAAAGAAAAAAAAAATAAAAAAATGCTAGTTCCATATCATGTTGTTCATGTTAACATTTAGGTAATAGCGTGCGCTCCCTTCACAAATATTGGCCTATATAGAACACATATATGTTCAGGTTTCTGATCGAAAGTTGTGGTAAGTTATAGTGAGGTCCCTCTCAAGTTAGTGTTCCTTAACTTCAAGAAACTAAGATCGATTTATTAAAAGAATAACAAGAAAAAAAAAAGTGTAAATTTAATTAATAAATTAAGAAAAATGATAACTAAAGTGTGAAGCTATCGATAGTTCAGAGTTCCCAAAGTTGAAAACTGCCACCCGACCTCAGTTTTAACAGCAGTATAACTTTTATATTTCATTCCATAACTTAGTTGAGCTTATATGACGTACCCTTTACTGACCTGTTCACTACCGTTCCTGTTAGCCCAAAAGGAAATTTAAAAAAAAAAAAAAAAAAAAAAAAAATCAGCATATCATGTTAACATTTAGGATAATAGCTGCGCTCCAATATTGGCCTATAGACATTATGTTCAGGTTTGATGAAAGTTGTGTCAGTTATGTGAAGGTCCCTCTTATGTTCCATCAAGACTAAGATCGATTTATTAAAAGATAAACAGAAAAAAAAAGTGTAATTTACTTAATAAATTAAGAAAATAACAAATGTGAAGCTATCGAAGTTCAAAGTCCCAAGTTGAAAACATGCCACCTCAGTTAAGCAGCAGTATAACTTTATATTTCATTCCATTAACTTAGTTGAGCCTTATATGACGTACCTTTACTGACGCTGTTCACTACCGTCTGTTAGCCCAAAAGGAATTTGGACTGACGAAATGAGCACCAAGAGGAGGCTAAAATTGCTAAAATCCATACTTGCATGCCACTCATTGTTGAAAAATACAGAATGCACTTGGAATTATTTTGAGTTTTCATACCAATGCATGGAAAATATCTACACTCTGTATATTATATTTTAGTCATAATCATAATCTAGATTACATACCTGTGCATATTGCAAACCAGCTTGGGGTTGGGACAGATCAAATTTTGTTTCATTTGACTGTAAATGGCTACCTGGACTTGCACGGCCCTCTCTTTGCACCTCAGCGTTCAACCTTGGGCAATTGTTCCTCATGTGCCCTTCTTCTCGACATTCCCCGCATTCCTTCTTCGATTTTAGCAGCCTCTACGTAGATTACCTTATTTGCTTTTCCTGAAAAAAAAAAAAAAAAAAAAGAATAAATAAAGACCACAAATTAAGTTGTTAAATGCAAGAATTGCTTTCCTTTAGCTCTGTTTATAGCTAATTCTTCAGATTTAAGATTCAAATGGAATTTAAACCACCTTCTACCGCTAAGCAAAACCATAAGTACATTAGTCAAGATTTCCTAAATATTATCTCATCGGTGAACACAACTAGCTAAACCAATAACAACAGAAGTAATCCCTAAACAAAAAAGAACTAATTTCAACAGCAAAGAAATAGCAAACTCCAAAAACTTTAACCGAAATACCCCAAATCCCATAAAATCTCGAACATTGTGAAAGAATATACCTGCAATTAAGCAGCAAAATCTATGAGAAGGGGTGTTGGAGCTAGTAAACTTATAGATTCAGCTTTGAGGATGGTGGAAGAAGCAGATGGTCTATTGTAAATTTCTTTTAAAACTATTTTTCTCATTAAGAAAAAAAAAATACCAAAATGGTAACTTTTTTTTTTAACGTGTAGCCGGTTATAAGGTTAGCTTTGGCACCTCGAATTTACCTGAAGGTTTTGTAGCAAAGCAAAGCAAAGCACGCACCCCAGTGAAATTAAAAGCTATAGTGAACCACACTCTAAAATAATAATTTAATGATAATTTAATAAATAATTAGTATCTATAGTAAATACTAATTGTAATTTTATACATTGAACCATACGCCGAGGGTATAAATTTATCAAATAATATTCTATGAATATTCTATAAATGCTTCCTACCAGTGCTTATAAACACCCTGTGAATACGAAGTACTATACTATTTACCTTAATTATTATAAACAATAACAAGTTCAGAGATAGAAAGAAAGAAAAAAAATACAAAGACTAATAAATTGTATTAGTCTTTTAGTAGCTATTAGATGCTAAAAGTTAAGTGTTACATATGTTTTAATATCTAATTATAAAATATTATCTTGATTTCTAAAAATTATTTAAACCTTATATTATCGAGTATTATTAAAAAAACGTTTAATATTTTAACCAGTAAAAGCGTTAAAAATTATTTAAAAATTTTTCCAAACATTTTTAAAATCAGCTAATATTGATTCATAATACCCAGTACCAATTTTGCTTATTATGACCTACTTTCATTCAATTATAAGCATAATAATAAATCATAACAAACTAAACAGTACCTTCAAACATAGTAATTACAAAAATTAAATATAAATTTCTTTACAACCTTAATTACAACCATAAAAATATCTTTCACTGTAATGTACTTTAATTTGATAATTTATATTTAAAAATTGTATTTATATTAATTTATTTAAATTGCAGCACTGCCTAAAATACAGATTGTAATCCCTTCCTTGTAAATAGTAAGAAAAAGAAAAAAATAATTATACAATTCTCACGTTTTCATTATCTCAATGTTTGATAAAATCGAAACATCTCATTATTAAAAAACGTTACCAAGACAAAATAAAGACAAGGGATTGATTCTTCCCATAACTCATCTTAGGGGATCCAGTACAAGTGCCAAAAAGAAAAAGCTGCTAACGTCACAGCTTGAACATGTTCATATTTACAAACACTATCCAAAACATTTCAAAAGAAACCAGAAGTTATTTTCTGATAATAGAAGATGCAACAAGAGGATAGCCAATCAACCACCTCTTTACTTGCCCCATTTTACACTTCAAAACAACAAAATGTATACCCAAAACATGCTAATACATCTGCAATGGATCCCCACCGACCATATGAACACTTACTCAACCATTTCATCTTCATCATTGTCAACAATTTCTTCGATCTTCATCTTCTTTACTGCTTGAGCTGCATCATTTCTTGGGACACTTGGTAACTGAATTAGTACTTCAGCCTTCTGGCCTGTGGCTGCATTAACAAGGCCACCATTTTTCTCTACCTGATAACTCAAGCCGTTCCCGCTTGGCGCTGCATCTATGTAGACAGTAGAGTTCTCATCAATTTCTTCTCTTACAAGCATTCTGGATAGTTCTGTGACCACTTTCTTCTCAAGCCATCTCCTGATTGGTCGCGCGCCATAGACCTATATAACCAGAGAAGGCATTGTTAGTTTTCTATTAGCACATAGATAAAAAAAGCATAGACCTTCAGGCTTTAGATGTCACTATATACTTACAGGATCATAACTCTCCGCTAATATATAATCCAATGCGGCATCAGTCACTGCTAATGCAATACCCCTTTCAGCGAGACGGAGTGCTACATCTTTCATTTGTAGCCTAGCAACTTTCCTCAATTGGTCATGTGAGAGCGGGTCAAAAACCACAATCTCATCTAGCCGATTTAGCAACTCCGGTCTAAAATGCTTCCTTACCTGCCATACTTCACAATAAAGTTAAGTAATCCAGAAACAAATTCAGCAAGAAAAGTATACTATGATAGTAGTGACAGGGCAATTTAGTTTACCTCTTGCATAACACGATCTCGAGCAACTTGCATTGAACACTTGCCCATTAATCCAGATAGAAGGTGCTCTGCCCCAAGGTTGGAAGTCATTATAATAACCGTATTCCGGAAATCAACCGTGCGGCCTTGGCCATCAGTTAATCGACCATCATCCAGAACTTGAAGGAGAGTATTAAACACAGAAAGGTGTGCTTTCTCTACTTCATCAAACAGGACAACACTATAAGGCCTTCGCCTCACAGCCTCAGTAAGCTGCCCGCCTTCCTCATGTCCTACATAGCTGAAATATGAACATACAAGTGAGACACCATTTCAATAACCTTGTAAAACAATCGACAACAGTATAATTAAAAGCGTCATGTCACTCACCCTGGTGGAGCACCAATGAGTCGTGCAACCGAGTGTTGCTCCATATATTCAGACATGTCAATTCTCACCAACTGGTTTTCATCATCAAAGAGTTGCTCAGCCAAGGCCTTGGCAAGCTCCGTCTTACCAACACCAGTCGGACCTAAGAAAAGGAATGAACCAGTTGGTTGCTGTGGCCTTCCTAAGCCAGCCCTTGACCTAAGTACAGCTTCTGCCACAGCATCGACTGCTTGGTCTTGCCCCACCACTCTCTGATGCAACCTCTCTGCAAGCCCAATTAACCTATCTTTCTCATTTTGACCAAGCCTTGTAACAGGAATCCCAGTCCAGCGGCTAACAACTTCTGCAATGTGTTCTGGTTTAACTGTTTCTGTTAACATCAAATTCTCGTCAGTGGTTCCCTCAAACCGTGCTATGGCAGCATCAACTTCCTCCAATGCCCCATATCGCAAATCAGCAACTCTAGCCAAATCGTACCTTCTTTCTGCCTCTTGTATTGCAAACTGTATCTCCTCTTTTTTCTGCTTGAGTCGCCTGATTTCATCAATCCTCTCCTTCTCCTTTTTGTATTTCATCATCAGAGGCTGAAGCTTGTCTCTCAAATCATCAAGTTCTTTTACAACCTGAATTGAATTTATTAAAAATTTAGAGATGCTCAAGATACGCAGAAAGATAAACAAGCTCATATCATATTCCAAGTATTCTTTGAAGCAGTAAGATACTTACTTCTGCGAATCGAGCTTTGCTAGCTTTGTCCTTCTCCTTCTCAAGAGCGTGAAGTTCAACTTCCAGTTGAATTTTCTTTCTCTCCAGGTTATCAATTTCTTCAGGCTGGCTATCAAGTTGGACTCTTACATTTGCACAGGCTTCATCAACTAAATCAATTGCCTTATCAGGCAAATGACGACCTGAGAATGAAAAAACACATTATCAATATTCAATCCTGGCAAAAGAAAATCTCAAATAATATTACAACGTTACTCAACAAACAAAACATTAGGAGTCAATAAATACCTGTAATGTATCGACTAGATAACTGCGCAGCAACCACAAGAGCTCGATCGAGGATTCGAACACCATGGTGACCCTCATACTTCTCTTTTAAACCTCGAAGAATGTTAATTGTATCAGAAACACTAGGTTCTGCAACATAAACTTGCTGGAACCTCCTTTCAAATGCAGCATCTTTCTCCACATATTTCCTGTACTCTTCTAATGTTGTTGCACCAATGCACCGAAGCTGACCTCTTGCAAGCATGGGCTTGAAGAGGTTAGCAGCGTCCATAGACCCCTCTGTTCGACCAGCTCCAAGAACAAGATGGATTTCATCAATAAACAATATAACCTTTCCCTCAGCCTCTTCCACTTCTTTCAAAACAGCCTTCAATCTCTCCTCAAATTCTCCTCTATATTTTGCTCCAGCAACTAAGGCACCCATATCCAGTGCAATGAGCCTAACATCAGCAAGATTATTCGGGACATCTCCTCTCACAATTCTCTGAGCCAAACCCTCTACAACAGCAGTTTTACCAACTCCTGGCTCTCCAATAAGGACTGGGTTGTTCTTAGTTCTCCGCGATAAGATCCTAATTACCCTCCTAATTTCTTCATCTCTTCCAATGACAGGATCAAGCTTTCCAGCTTGTTCTACCAGATCTCTGCCATAAGTCTTCAATGCTTGAAAAGTAGTGTCCCCAGACGCACTCTCTACTTTCTTTCTTTCCTTGCCCCGAAGTTTGTCCACCTCCGATTTCACTTGTGCAGTGGCTATTCCTGCTTCTTTCAACAAGTCTCCAATTTGGGAATCCTCAAGCAAACCTAAGATAAGCTGATCGACAGCTAAATGAGTGTCACCTCGTGATTTTTGTAATGCTTGAGCACGCCTTATAACTTTAATAAGACTAGTACTTGGTGGAATTTCATCTGGAGGTGGAGATTGAGATGGGAGCTTTTTCAATGCATTATTGAATACCCTTTGTGCTGCTTGGGAAGCACTTTCACCACCACAGTTGGAAATTGCCTGGCAAAAGATTCCATTAGGGTCCGTAATCAGAGCAACAGCAAGGTGCAGAGGAGTTATCTGCGCATGACCACCACTCATTGCTAGCTCATGAGCTGAAGCAAGAGCCTCATTTGTCTTGTGGGTAAACTTTCCCGGATCCATTCTTGGTGTTTCCACGAACTAAAAGAACCTGTTTAAATAGATTCAATAAGATGCCACAATTTCAAAATGATTGAACTTTTCAGATACACAAATAAATTATTTCAGTGAAAACAACAGCAACAACAATAACAATCCCTAGAACACAAAACACAATGAATCCAAAACGTTTTATCGGCCAATATTTAACCGCAAACAGAGGCTTAAGCCAGTACTCTAACAATGTAGATTCCATCTCTCAAAAACAGAGCGTAGGAAGTACTACAAGCAAAAATGAAAGCATACAGCAGAGGAGGGAACAACCAGCCCCAAAAATATATTTAATGGAGCTACCAAGAAAAAACAACAGAGCTACAAAAGAGAGAAAAAATAAAAACCATAAACCCAAAATCCAGTCACTCTGGAATCAAGCACATAAATAAAAAAATTTTGAAGCAAACCCACAAACAGAAAATCAGAGACTACAACAAAACCTATATAATACATAAAACAAAAGGAAAGAGAGAGAGAGAGAGAGAGAGAGAGAGAGAGAGCTTTAACTAACCTCTGCTCGGTAATGGGAAGAAACGGGATGAATTGTAGTTTAGTAGAAACAATTTCTGCACTCTCCTCCTAATAAGCGTATATATAAGAGATTGATATTTTAATTTTCTTCTTTTTTGGATTCGGTTGCGGAGTAGAAACGTTGAGCTATAATTTGTATAAGTTGCTGAACGAGAAGGAAAACAGGGGAGGAGCAATATATGAAGTGACGAGAGAGACAGCTGGAAGAAGATGGTACGTGGCACTAGAAACTACTAGAACTTTTCACTCCTGTCAGGCTGTCACATTGCCGAACATCCTTGATTTTACTCGAATGCACTATGCACGTGCCCATTGCCACGTCGGAAAATATATATACAATTATGATCCTTTTTTTTCTTTTTCTTTTTTTCTTTTTCAAAAGAAAACCGATGTCGTTAATCTTTTAACTGGCAATTCAATAACCACAAGTTAAAATATTTTTAGTTTTCAAAACATCTTTTATATTTATTCAGAAATTAATATTTTTAAAAAATATATATACAATTTGAAAAAATTTGGCCAAAAAAAATACCAAATAACTGATTATTTAATTTAATAAAAACTATGAGATATTCCTTTAACAAAAAGAGATATAATATAATAATAAAATACAAGAAATCGGGATTTAATTATAACTTGAATGATATTTGAAATAAATTATAACCGAAAAGGTTATAATGATATATATATATAAAAACATTAATAATTACTCTAGTTAATAACTACTACTAGTTATATACGTGTACATGTAAGCGCGAATATTTATTTTTTATTATTTAAAAGTAATTAATAACAATATTTAGATAAAAAAATTATTAATGGTATTATTATTTATTTGTTAATTTAAAATAATATGGAATGATATTATTAAATTTATTAATTATTAAAAACTGCAAAATATCATTAATATTGTGAATGCTATTAATTCTAGCTCCATTAATATCTAATTAAAAGAAAATCAAATTATAAAAATAAAAATAAAATGAAAAGGCAAAATAGGTATAGGTATCTTTTAAAATGAAAAAATATAAAAAATATTAATGATAGTTAATTTCAATATAATTTTTATAGATATTTATTATATTATAATTTTAGTTATGATGTTGAAATAATAATAATAATGTTATGATGTTAAATAATAATAATAATATATTATTAATTTATAATTATTAAAAATATTTAATAATAATAATAATGATATTATTAATTTATAATTATTAAAAATATTAAAGAAATGTTATTAATATTTTAATGACATTATTTTACTCCATAAATATCTTATAAATGATTTCTTTTAAATGGAAAAAAAAAAAACAATTCTAACTAAGCAAACTAGTATTTTAGAATTACACCACATAAGTGAATATGCTTCAAATTTTATATATTTATATATAAAATTAACAGTCAAAACAAATAATAATTATACCATAAGTAATTAATCACAACTGTTAAATTAAATAATAAAAAATAAATTAATACATGAGGATTTAAAAATTATGAGGTTTAATACTTTAGTCTTTTCGGCCGGCCAAAACAAATGGACCAAATTAATTTACTTGATAGTGAGAAAAACAAAAGTCCATTTTGAATAGACATAATAAAATATTGGTGCAAAGACCAAAATATAGATCGGATCAGAAATTGAAGAGCTCATAATTAATTTTTGAAAATAGAAATTCCAATGTACTAATTTCACTACAAATTAGATATCAATCTTTTTGTTTTTCCCTTCAATAATATATTCCAATTGTGAGACAAAATAAAACAAGTTTCACAAACAATATCACTTTTTGTTATATTAACAAGCATAGCATAGAAATATTTGGAAAATATGATTTCATGTTTTTCCTATATACACATATATTAAAAAGTAGAAATAATATTAATATTTTTTACTATTATTTTTTTTTAGAGAGAACTATTTATTAATTTATATATTTTGTAACAGACATCATATTTTAGAATAAAATATTTTCATTTGAAAAAAAAAAAAAAAAGGCACAAATTTAGGTTTAAATATGGGGCAGAAGCACCGAGACCGGTAGGCCATAACCCATCATCCATTTATAATCCCCGAAATAGAAAAAGGCAATTACTATTTTATTCACCGACCATCGAAAAAAAATGAATAAATAATATTCTTGGAAATTATTAACAGATAATTTATAATATCCATAATTTAATTTATAATTTATTTTTCATTTTTGAGTTTTATTCTCTTCTCACACTTGTTTGAGAAATAAAAATTAAATTAATCCTATCCAAAAAAAAAAAAAAATCCTACCACTTCCCTATATGAAAGTCATAGTTAAAAACAAATATTATTACTTTTTCTTTTCTAACGATTTTTAGCAACTTAAATCCAAATCTTACCCCTTTTGTCCGAAAGGCTTTGTTTGAGGTATGTCTAAAATTAACACTAACATCAGACTATGGTGGAAATTAAATTGTAAGACAACAGCATATTAATTATTGTCATTTAATTGTGAAAATGCTAAATAATAATCTGTCTTTTTCTCTTAATTAACTAATTAATAAGAATTCTTTTTACCTATAGTATTTGCAAATTGTATCTTATATATTTATGATAACAATTTATTTATTTTAAGTAGTTCTATAAATCAATCAACGTGCCTCATTTAACCTAAAGGGCAATTTAATCAATGAAGCATGGATTAAAATCCAAATATTGAGATTTAGCAATAGAAAATAGATAGACAAGGACATTCTACTACATAGGGAAACAAATGCCTGATATATTTTATGTTTCTACTTTCACATATCCATGAACTAACATTGAAAATGTCGTTGCCGAAAAAAAGAATATATCAAACATTATAAACAATTATTGTGGAAGGAGATATAAAATATATACCATATTTCAACCCCGGGAAGTTTTCAGTCCTCATCACTATCATAAACAACTGCCATTCGCCGGTGGGTTGAAGTCTTTCTTGGGGGGGATTCCTCATCTGATTCAATCCCTGTCCGCTTGCGACTGCCTCCAAACTCCTTACTCTTTTGCTTTGGCTCCTGTAGAAATGATAAGAAATGTTAAACTTGAAGCATTTAACACCATAACGATCAACGAACTAAACTAGGAAAAGAAGAATAATATGTCAAGAACAGATTCCTCCCCAACATTCTGACAGTGATAAAGGAGGATATTTTTATGAGTACTGGACATCAGGTTAATTTTCACGACCACAAAGGCAAAACCAAATTGCATATCCGTTGAGTGAATAATTAAATTGTTTGAATGTGGAAATTCCAACTTGGAGGTTTCATGCTAAGAACATTAATATTGATAAACAAGAGGTAATTTAATATTGTAAGATCCTATATGTGAGGGCTTAAGTGGGAAAGGTTTAAATTATTGGTATATAAATTATGAAATACTAAGGATGTCCTTGTGTAACCAATCAGATAAGTAGAACTTTTTACACTGCAAGATGCAACTTTTACATAGCATCGCATGCAAAAATGTCGCTATGCAAGCTTTCATTTTCACATAGTATGGCATGCAAAGGTTATTGAAACAAATAAATAAGCTACATCCTTGCAGGTTATCCATACCTCAGCCTCCTCTTCCTCCTCTGATGCTCCAACTTCTGCTTCTTCTTCATAACGTTCTTCTTCCTCTTCGTCTTCTTCATATTCCTCCTCTGGCTCCTCGACCCTTTTTCGAGGAGGAGACCTCTCATCTTCCTCCCCTTCACTTTCATATTCAGACTCTTCTCTCTCACTGTCAGAGAAATTCACAGGGCGCTTTGATGATTTAACAGTGGGCAAAGATGATTTACGTACAATATCTTTGTGTCCCTGTTATCATTAGCACAAATATTAAAGCGAGTAGATCTTCCATCAAATTAAATTTATTCACTCACTTCTGGTTACAATACCTTCTTAGCATTCATTATGCGCTTCTCTGCTCGAGCTTCCACTTCCAGATCTTCCTCAAAGCGACGGCGAGAACGACGAGAGTCAAAATAATCTGGTTCATCATCCTGATTGAAATGAATAAATAAATTAGATAGGATAAACAAAAATTTTAATTAGATTTATGTGCAGAAAGAAGATTGATAGTTGTTCCAATATATACATATATAGAGTATCTTATGCTCAAAAGCATAGTAAGATGAGAAACATACAGGATGCAGACACATACACACATGAAGAAGAAGAAACCAAATGAAAATGGCATCAAGCATGTGTCAAGTGCTAACAGGAAGATTACTTAAATGAGATGTGAGGAACATAAATCACAAACAACTTGAAGATCGGAAGGGGACAAAAACACGGAACAAAGGGAAGCAAAATAAGCACTGCATCTGGAAGCTGCAAACCTCATCAAGGGCACCCTCCAAAAATCCAGGTGAAAGCTGACGCCTCCGCTCTACAGTTTGTGTATACTTCCGGCTAACCTTCTCCCTCTTTCGATTAAGAAGTACATTTGCTCTAATTGTTTGACTTTCAGCCTACAAAACCATGAGGGCAACATAAATTGGAAATCTATGAACACAACATAAGAAATAGTGGCTACGACAATTTGAGCAATTTATTACCCTTTCTTTTTCCTCTTTTTCTCTCTCTGGATCAATGTCAGTGACGCAGTTCTTAACTTTATAGACCTTTCTATGCCGTGAGTCAACAAGAGCAGTCAGCAGCCTATGGGAATTTGATGACAATGATGATGGCATAAATCTCATCTTCCTTAATATTCTTCCTTGTGATTGAAGAAGTGACTGCAAGTAGAAACAAATCTTACTAGAGGCCCCCATGAGGAGGAACATGAAGGTTCAAACTTCAAAAGCAAGTTCTAACATTCCCAGCTAAAAATCTTACACAACACTCGCTCAATCATTCCGAGTTCCATAAGTAAATAAAAAGTGTGTATTTCAAAGTGCAGATGTGTAATCAATGCCACTTTATCGCTGACATCTAGTTCAGAGAAAACCCTGTTCGCTCGTTGATCATTGCATTTCCACAAAAGCATACACTCCATAAGCAAGCAGATAAACAAAGAAAAACAGTGAAAAAACAGAACCTTACAAATTCCTTTGTTATAAAATAGAAAAAGAAATTAAAAAATCCCTACAAAATATGTACAGGTAAACATCAAGAAAAGTATTTCTCAATCACAGTGCAAACAAAAGTTCCACATAATATTACCAATATCACTTATTTTTGCGGTATAGCTTCTTTCATATCTTTTTTTTTAAAAAAAAAAAAATCAGAGACCATAAGTTTTAAACTCAAATACTTTAATTGCAGGTCCCATCCTTTTCAACCATTGCATATATTCCAAAGTTACATTAGCATTGAAAAGCCAACTGTCAGTCTAATGAATCAAGGGATACAAAATAAGAAAAATCAACCAAAGTTACACGGGAAAAAATTGACTCCTAGAATAACACTCTATAAGACTGAAGGAAATCAATGAAATTAAAAATGTTAGATATTAACGAGGGACATAAAAGGTCAATTAGCAGTCACTATATCATATCATAGAGAGGGAGGAAGAGAGACAGAAGAGAGAAAAGGAACATTAAAAAAATTAAGATAACAGATACTTGAACCACATTTAATATGTCCGGCAAGGGGCATCACCTTGTCATGTCTCAGAAAAAGATGTGTTTGATCGTGCTGATCATCTTGCACCGATATATCAAGAACTTCATTCCCAATTAATAGCTGTAAACTGCCATCTGACCACCTCACAAAGCGTGCATTGCTTTCAATCTACATTTCAGAAGGAAAGATTAAAAAAAAATCAGATTAAATCAAGTACACCAAATATAGAGCATTCTATATCATCACAAATCAGTTTCAAATAAAAACACTATAACAGCTAAGAAAAGAAACTCAAGATTGTATGCAGGTCACCATTCTACAAGCAATGTAACAACAAATCCACAACTGATCTCCTAAATCTTTTTACAGAAAATTTTTTATTGCATTTTCAGTGAAATATAAAACCTAAAAATCTTCCCAACAGGAATATCAACTTGTATTAATTCCTTGATGGAATTGAAAATTAGAGGCTGTATGTATTACATTTCTAACACTAGCAGTCCTCCCAAAAGGAGACGAGACAGAGAAATGGAAAATTGAAAAAGTTAAAAAAAATAATTTGCTGATACACAATTTGCGTTTGGCCAATCCTCTGCTTTTGAAAAACTGTAAAACGGAATTTATAGTCATTTTCTCACTAATGAACATCAACTAAAATCAATTAACAATCCTCCGAATTATCTTCTCATCTACATCCATGAACAATATGAAGGTGGAACTAAAAACCCCCAAACTTTTTGACTCAACCAACTAGGAAATTAACAGCAAGCTTCCTTTTGCCCAAGTTTCAATATAAAGAAATTAGAAGCTAACAAAAGTGGATATTGCAACTCAGATAGAAACAATAAAGACGCCATTCTATCATATGGCAGTGGATCATGCAAAAACATAATGCTTACTTCCACGGTACTCAAGCTTCACATTACAGCATACATATGCAGAAAGAATCTTTAATTGTAAACTGATCTGCAATACAGTAATGTATATTGAACACCTGGAGATTACATATCATAGCAAGTCAAGGCACTCAAATCCCATTCAAGACCTCAACTGTACCCAAAGATAAACACTAAATTTATCCCATAGTGAAGGAATTTTCAAATGGCTTTCAGTTAAATTATTTTTTGTCCTCAATCATTTTTCTTAATTTTCTTAAATTCAGTGGACCTACGGAGGAAGTCAGAGTGGCAACTATAGCGGAAAAAATGAGAAAGACCCGAGATGACAAGGGAAGAAGAGATTTAATTAAGAAAGATCTAGATATACTAGGTCCTCTTAAAGAACTAACAATAGACTGATTAATCTACCTTACATAGATGCCAGGATAAGGATCCATATAGAATATCAAAAAACTGAACCGAATAGAAGAAATGGATCCATGCACCTGACCCCAACTAGCTTGGAATTAAAGCTTAGTTGTTGTGTTACTGTTCCTTAAATTCAGTGCACGAAAAGGAAATCAGAAGTCATACATCTAATAAATCAAAAAATCCATGGCCACCATTAAAACCTATTTCAGATAAATTTCACAACCCTATAATCATGTGCCTGAAATTGAGAAACCGAAAGGGTAGACTCAATATCAAGTAGAGAAATATATGGAAGATCTGTGCACCCTGCATCATAATCCATGTACCCTGTATTTTCTTACGCTTGTTGCCTTGCCTTTATCAGGGGGGCAAAGCAAAGTGCTACTTGAGAACTCCTATAAGGTTTGGACTATTGCTAACAGAAAACTGAACACCAGTAAACAGCTCTTCAGACCCATCAATAGCAGAAATTCACAAAAAATACAGTCAATATTCCTTTCTTTTTGGTGGGAGTAAGGGACAGATTATTGCATAGCATGAAATCATAATGTGAATTTCTTTTCCCTTTCTATCCAGCACATTATTCAAACATGTAAAATTCAAGGAATATACTCACAGATCTAGTGCCATCGGGTTTTCTAACAGTCCTCCACCTTACAATATTGTTTTCCAAGCGTATACGTTTTGGAGTTCCAGATTCATCCGTCACAAACGTTTTTTCTTCCACATACGTCTTAGGATCAAATTCATCATGGTCAATGCCCATTATATTGGAAACCTTGATCATATTCATCTGCAAAAAGAATTAAAATTTCACCTAACCTGAAAACACATATAGGTTTGTATATAGCTCAACTATCACATAAACTCAAAGCACCTAGAAAAAAAAAACCATCAAGCATATTCATAAAGACCATATAGATTTTCCCAATAAAATATTTCTTTTGATAAGTGTTCTGTTAACAATATAGGATGATTAAGTTACAACTAATAAACAATTTAATATTAAAAAAATGGGCAAAGAACAGGATATACAGCCATTTAAGATTCAAAAAATAGAGTTTTCTTATAAATCACAAGAAATAATTTTATGGATAGCAACATAATTTATAAAAACAATTTTATTTACCACCAATTATAACTTTTTATCAATTACTGTATTAATTTTAATAAGTTAACACTCCAAAGTTGAGAAAATAAGAATTTCATTACTTATATTTACATATATTTTTTAATTTTTTAAAAAAATTGTCACGATAAAGTAACTAAAAATTTTAGCTAAATTTTCAGATGACCAGTTTATTTAAATTTATTGTAGATTTACTTGGCAATTTCTTCAAACTTTCTCTATGCTGCGGCCCACTCCACGTGCGCGCACTATATTATTGGCGACAAATAATGACTTCACATAGAAACAGGAAGTGCACATTCTGATTCTAATAATGGAACTAAAATATTCCACATGCTTAGGAAAGAAAACTCGCGTGCAACTGTACAGTTATAACTTTGTAAAACAAAAGATAAGTGCAAACTAAAATCAGAAATAACTTCTTTCAACTTATTCCTAATGGAACTAAGCATATCACTTTAAAATTATCCTAGCTTCAACCAATCAATCAAGTCATGCAATAAATTCAGATAACAATTTACCAGCAGATAGCAGAAAGAATAATTTACCTTAGTTGGATCAGCCGGAGGATGTTTAAATGGAATCTCTAGCTCTAATGGGGGGCCAACTGGCTTCTCTTTAGCTTTAACCTCAATGTTGTCCTCTTCTGACTCATATCGAGCATCTTCATCAATCAGCATATCATCTGGTCTCAAATCCTTTTCATAGCTCCCTTCCTCTTCCATTGGAGATCTCTAATGAATGAAGATGTTATGCATCATTTCAGAAACTTGAACATGCTTAACAGTAACAGATGACACAGAAATAGTGAATGAACTACTTTTAGCATTCAATACTCACATGTGAATCTTGTTCAATTTCATGCCTAACAGCATACCCTGGCTCTTCCTCGTCATCAGAGTCACCAAATACATCACGAATCTCAGCAGCTGACTGTGAAATGTGATTGTGATCCTTCTCTCCATCAGGTGATTTACTGTTATGATGTCAATTTTCCATTATAAGTGATAAGGTCAACTTAAGAAGTGGAAAAAAAAGGGACATACAGCTAACATCTAGAACTACTTTTTTCAAATGTTTCTATATGAAATTTCAGCAATGCCACGAAGAAAGAAAAGGAAATAACCTTGGGCTTCTGGCCTGATCAACCTCCTCGTCCTCATGATCAGAATAATGTTGTTCCTCAGATCTGTCTGACCCACTTTCAATTATGTCGCGTCTCCGGCTTGCTACCACTCTATGACCATATTCTTCTTTCTCATCGCTATCAGCATCTTTTGCTTCACTTACTTCCCTCTCATCACCAACATCCACTTCTTCAGAACTTGGTTCTCTTTCACCCTCACTTTCTCCTGGATCAGGTTCTACCTCACGCATTTCACCTTCACTCTCTACTTCCACATCTTCGTGCCCTTCTACTTCATCTTCACCTTCAACTTCGCCTTCGCCCTCATTCCTAAGCCCTCCTTCAGCTTCATCCTAGGACAAAGATATTGTTGTAAGCAAAAGCAGTTTGTCAATGATTTAATCACTTTTATTCGCTCTCTCTTCCCTCCTCTTCTTCTCCCTTAAAATAAAATATTTATTGAAAAAAAAAATTGAACTGATCTTATTAGCTTCTCAATCTGTAAACTCCATTTACAAGAGACCAAATAAAATAAATCACATAGTACAAAATGATGCCTCGTTCTTCTTAAATAAAAAAATTCCAGTAACTATAAGATTAAGAACAAATTAACTCCACTATGTAATTGGCAACTCTAGTAGACATAAAAGTTCCCAAAAACCCACTCAATCATTTGGAAAATAAATTGAATAAAAACCAAATACACGCCAAAAAGCTCCACATTCCAATCCTACGGCAGAATTGAGCAAAATATTTAACTTACTTAAAAACCAATACGTGTGCTTCAAATCCTATAGAGATAAATAAATTGGAGCGAATAAAAACAACTTCTAATCAATAAAGGATTTAAACCTAGCAACAATAATACACAAAATACAAATATAAGTACTTGCATGTATACAAGAGGTAAGGATGAAGATGATTACAGAAGCGTAATTAGGCTGGGGATTCGATTCGTGCTCGGAATCTATCTCCTCTTCCTCCTCAGACTGATCGCCGAACAGGTTCTGCATCATCTGGTGCCTCTTCTCCTCCCCCATCTCTATCTCTATCTGTCTCTTCCTCCGACTGGTAGAAGTATTGCGAGAACTTTTGAGGCTCCTGTCTTCGACGGTGATTTCCCGACGGGAGGGTTATGGTCTAAATCGGATCTACTGCTTTTATTTTGCTTTCGGTGCTTTGAGCCCAAACGGTGCTTGTTGTCGAGGGTGGCTGGGTCCCCCATATGTGGGTCCCGCGTTTTTTAATTCCTGGCCTTTTTATGCAAAAACTAGTTTTTAGTTTTTTCGAAAGATATTAATAATATCTTATTACCTTATTATGGTTCAAAGGTATTCTTACAACACTGAAATTGAAGCCCATTAAAGGCCCGCCCAAGGAAAATAGAAATAACAAGTTTTGAGGCCAGCCCAACACTGTAATGATATTTTAATTTTGATAGATAGAACAAAAATCTAAAAAATTTTCAATTTTATGAATTTTCTGTTCATTATATTTTACATTTTAAGTGTATTTGGCTTCATGAATTACTTTTAATTTTTGACTTAAATTTTATTTTTTTAACTTATTAGTTGATTTAAAATAAATGGTTAAATATTTGGTCAAAAATAAAATTACTTAAAAGATATTTTTAGGCAGTTTAAATGTTTAGCTAATAAGTAGTTAAAATAATTAAAAGGAACGTGTATTTTTTTTTCATTATGATATTAAGCAGTTAAACTTAATTGAAATATTTTTGACTTATAAGTATTAGTAATATTGATATTGATATTATTATATAATTTAACATATTATATAAATATAATAAGATTTAATAAGTATTTATTTTTTTAAAACAATTATAGATAAAATAATAATATAAAAACAATAATTCAAAAATAATTCTATTAGTTGTTATTTTTATAATATTTATATAGTTTAAATATAATATAAAAATAAAAAATAAGCTAACAACTATAAAATGCATATGATGGAATCAATAGCTAAAGGGACATTTCATTCCGCTAATTAATATATTTAATATTTGATTTATACCTAATTTATAGGTGAAATTAATATTTTAATCAATTTCTATTAGTCGATTGAAATTTCAATCAGTTGTTGATTCTATCAATTGCATTTTAGAGCTTTTTCTTATCAGTTATTAGTTGGTTTGTAAAGAAAAAATAATTTAAATAATCAGTGCATTGAGGATGCACATGAAACTGTATATGTGCTTGTATATAATATTTGTCTTTAAATGATCATAATAGCATAATTGAACGAAAGATTGTAGATGTCGAAAAAATTTATTTCCAAATCTGGAAAAAAAATAATCATGGCTAAAATATAAAATAATAAAATAAGCAGGTTTGATGATTTAAATTTTTTTTTAAAGCATGAATATTAAATAAAACTACATATATGATTACTTGTGTATAGTCTAAAATCAAACCTCAAATTACCATTTTTATTACACTTTTCATTACTTCTTTAAGTTGTCATTATATGTACAATCTAAAATTAAACTTGAAGTTACCATTTTTATTACACTTTCATTAATTCTTTAAGTTGTGTATATCCACCCAATGTGTATATACGTAATTATATTTATTAAAAACTGTGGATAAAATTAACGTCACTATTAATCTTGACAATGTATTTTTTACTAGTCATATATCTGCGCAATGTATGAATTATACGATTTATATATATTTTTTTTAAATCAATTTAAATAAGGTATTGTAATTCAACTGATATAATTATTTACTTTTTCTTTATGAAATTCTCATATGTTCAAATTGAAATACTAATTAATTTATTAATTTTTTATAATTAAATAAGATATACGAAGATTTGATTATGATGCAATAAATTTCAACGAATATTATATTTTTCATTAGATACTTTGAATAATTAATTTCAAGTTTTTTGCTTTAAATTAAGACAAATAATTTGTAGTAGATGGAATGAACCAAGGGAATGTCAAAGGTTGTATCTTTGTAATAATAAGAATTCAATTATTATTTATATTTCTAGATTTTGCTTGTTTTTATAATAATTAAGTTAAAAAATTTTTGATAAATATATTAAGATGGAGTCTAAGTAGTTTCATAGTAGAGACTCTGTTTGAAATGTGAAAACTTGGAATATAGAACTATTTAGGTATTTACCAGTTTTACTTACTATATGATTGTGATTTTGTTTGGCTTTTAAGTCTGTGAATACATTTTTTTTATTTGTTTTTACATTTTATTTTTATTATATGAATTTCGATTTTTCAGATTTTTTTAAATTTGAATAATATATTTCTATTGCTTAACTCGATTCAGTTATTAGTAAACAAGACAACCTCAAGTCCCGTATTTTCAAAGAGTGTAACTTAAGCTTATTAAAACTCGGTTCACCTGAGCTCGTCGATATCTTTATTGGTGGCTATAAAGATGACAATTCTACTTAGATTTGTGACGGAAAAAAAAAAAAAAACAATTATGATTTTTTTTTTAACATCCTAAATATCCTTTAAGGTTAAAATGTAATTATGCAATAACGACATTTTATTTTATTTCATATTTGAACCTTTCTAAATGAAGGAAAATACATTAATTCTCATTCTCCTTTTTATTTTTCTTCCATTAAAACATAAAGGTTAGAAAATAAGAAAAGAAAAGCGAATATATTATTCTTTTTTATTTTTTCCTCCATTTATCATTTTTTCCCTCTATATATATTCTAAATAAAGTATTGAAGTTGTTAACGACATCTCTCTTTAATGCAAAAGAAAGTGAATCCATTTAGTTGAAACTAATTGTACATTTGTGTTGGCATATTTGGTCGTAACAATTTTCATTCTTACAAAATCAACCTTATCCACTCTCAAGCAATTGTTATAATTCAAGTTGACAGCTCTACAAAATGTAAACACGGTTTGGTAAAATTTAATAAAAAAATTCAAAATCTTTCGAATCGATTCAATTTTAATCCATACAAAAATAACTAAAAATGAAATTTAATCGGATCAAATTGATTCAATTCTCTATACTAATCAATTTTCATCTCAAAAATTTAAATTTATTCGATTTGCATCGGTTGAATGCACACCCCTAAACTCTACATTTCTTGTTTCTGAATGTAGGATTAACAAGGTGGACCAGACATATAATCTTGAAACTGTTTCCTTTTTCTATCCCTAGACTCTAATATTAGAAAACACCATTTATTTAGATCCACTTAGATTTCCTTCTTAATTTATTTTTAAAATTTATTTTGAAATATAATACAATTTTATTTTTAATTATTGTTAAATTATGATAAAAATATCAATACCTTATGTAGTAAACTATAAAAAATTTCTTTGTATAGTTAACCTTATGTATAATCATTTTACAAAGAGAAGTAGCACACAAAAAGAAAGCAAATTCATTGTACTATCCGAAATTAACAAATGAAAGAAATATAATGTCACATATAAAAAAAAGGGGAAAATAATTATTTAGCCCCTGAGGTGTGATGAAATTATCTAAATAGTCCTTTTATTTTGGATAAATATTTAGCGCATGCCTGACATTTGCATCTATCATTCTGAGTAGTCCCTTCGTCTAATTTTCTATGTTTTTTCCGTTAAGTCATAATGAAAAGACGAAAACACCCCTTGACAAAATGAAAGCTAAATCACACACCTATTCCCTCCATCCATGGCCCCTCTCATTTGTCTCTTCAAAGCTAATTTTCCAGTATTCAAAGATTTTGCCAAAGAGTTCATTGTTTTGCAACCGAAGCGTCAATAGCTTGGTTAATTTGATTGGAAATTTCAGTGCGAATGTTGTTGTCTGATAGGTCTAAGTGGAGAAGCTGCTCGAGAGTGGAACTTTCTGGTGGGATCTCATCGGATAAGTTATGCCAGCAATGCAAAGAAGCTTGAAGTTTCGTACAATTTGTTAGATATAAAACGGTACTCTTGAGACAGTTGTCATGGAAGTCAAGGACCCAAAGTTGATCAGCCAATAAAAGGGAATTAATAGAACAACACCACCGGAGGCAGAGCACTTAACGGCAACCCATGCGGCTAACACCGGATAGCATCGGCTCCAGTCTAGATCTCGGCCGCACACATTATTGACGCCGCCAAAAGGTCTTATACACACATATTTTATATATTGTGCCAAACCATTTCCACAATTTGCATACTTTGATTTTGCAATTCATGACAATAACCAAGAAACAATATCACCAAGGGCCAACAGAGGATGTTGAGAAAAAAAAGGAAATTTTTTATTATTGCATCTTAATTTACTTACACTAATTTCACAATGTACCCAAACTGCACACATCCGCGATTGGGTCTATAAATCTCCACAAAATTGAAAAAGAATTGATGATAATTTTGAAATTTTAATCAAGCTGATTAGAAGAGACTTGCCAAGTATACCGGCACATAAATTTCAATTTCCCTCCTCCACAACAAGCAAGACTTGTGGCTCGCTTTACACCCGAATATTGATTTGTCACATTCTCATGCTGATGCAATCTTGAATGGTTTAGAGATATTCAAGTTGAACAACTCAGATGGTAATCTTGCCGGACCCAACCTTGAAGCACTAATGGTAGTTCCTCCATCAGTGGAACATCAATCAAGCTTACAGAAGAGAGGACAAAGATTAAAGGGCCATGTCTTGTAGTTAATGTTCATCTTCTAGTAGGTATACTTATTAGCTCATTTTGTACTTAATAGCTCATTAGGATATTTTAGTCATTTTTAAAGTTGTCTCTCACCTCTCACTACATTTTTCTCCTTACGTAGCGGATAAAACCAAGAAAATTGGATAAATGGACTATTTAGAACGACGGAGGCAAATATTAAGGACGCGCTGAATATTTATCCAAAATGAAGGGACTATTTCGATAATTTCATCATACTTGAGGGACTTAATAATTATTTTTTCAAAAAAAAAAAAAAGAGAAAAAGATATAAGTTCTTGTAAGTTGTAAGTTTTAACACAAATCATATACAAATCAACGTCATCAGTAAAGTCCATCATAATCTCCATCACCCCAAATTGGCAAATTATAATCTTGCAATGTGGGTTCCACCAGCTATTTTGCCACGTGGAAGATTTTAATTGCAGGACCACCTAATTCTCTGTCCACCGTCAACCACTCCACATGACTTCTCTTTTTAATTTTTTATTATTTTTTTATAATTTTCATCTCAACTCTCAACTCGACCCCCTCAAATGTACACTTTTCCTCCGTCATTAGCTTCGGATCCAAACCTATCCCCTGCTCAGTTACCCAAATCCTAGCCTCGGACCGAACCTCAGTTTTGGCCCTCTGTTCGTTGAAAATTTCGCACACTATTTCGATCGCTTTATCTCTCTTTCTGTCCCTCTCTCTCTGTATGGGTGTGAGCTTAGAGACGGCTCATTTCTATTTCTCTTTCTCTTTCTGCATCTCTCGATTCAAACCCTAAATCATTGAACAAATTAACAGTGTCGGAAGATCGGTTTCGAGCTCGAGCGGAGGCGTCAGGGCAAAACTGTGAGTGCCTTTTCTCTTTTTGGAAACCCTAACATTTTGTTTTCGCTATAGAAGCCAATTGTGTTGAAGGCCGAATCTGTGCCAGGGCCTTGGTGCTTTAGGTGCGGGCAGCAGTTTTTTAGCTTGTTCTGTGCTTTTACAATTGTATTCCCGATTAAAGAGGGTTTTGTTTAGGATTTGAGTTTTAGTGCTTTGCTCTCGATCTTATCAGAATTGGTTATAAATGTGAGATTCTAGCCTGATTTTGAGGTTTAGGCTTTGTTTAGTTGCTGAGGTAGACAGGAATGGAAAGGAAATGGAATTTTTTGTGTTGTCTGCTGTCTTTTTGTTTTGTTATTTTTTTCCCAATTTGTTATGAAGTTGACAAGGTTTAGTTTGCAAAATGCTCTTTCTCTATTTGCCTTGAAAATTGTTTCTAGATATAGATTTATAGTGTTCAAGTTTTGTTTTGCACTGTTATTTTTTTCATTTATTTTTCTCATTTTCTCACTAACAAATGATGAACAAAATGGGTTTTGTGTGAGATTTCAACTGGTTAATGTCTTTCAGTATGTTATGTTTAGAGTTAAGCTAGTGTGAGAAGAGTTTATCATTTACTCTTGGCTAGTGATTTCATACTTCTCTGCCCTGAGTTGGCTTGAATTACACATTGCTATTATCTTATCTGGTGCTCTGAAAATGGTGTTAGCTCTGAAAATGTTCCTGTAATGTTAGTTTTGCCTTTATTTTTTTTTTTTTTTGTTGTGGTAATTGTACTTATAAGGTAGTAAATGGCTTGTGAAAAAAGCATCAAGCCTCAGAGTTAGACTTTATCAAGCATGTCATGGATGTGACAGATGTTTTTATTAATTAGCTAATAAATGAAGGCAAATTTATTGAGAATGGAAAATGATAAACCAAATAAGAGCAATTGTTGATACTCCTGCGCATGAGGACTTTGAACTTGTATTTCAAAAACAAATGATGCACTATAAATGTAGATGCAAAATTTGCTTTTCAAGCATTCTTATGGAGTTTTGGGCAATTGTACAACATTGTGGGTTTAAATATGGGAGTAAAGGTACTTAATAACCATCATTTATTTTTCATCTTTGTTTGAGTCAGAAAAGTAAGCTGGCATTTGGATATACATTGCGACAGGATCTTAATACTGACATGTCAGGTGCATGAATTTTGAACTGCTTAGATGATTGATTGATTGTATAATCTTATTCAACAATGCGTCTTTGATTTCTTTGCTATCAAATTGAAGTTGGAGGCTTTTATCAATATCTTATAAGCTCTATTGGTGTTTTAGAGTTTTGCATGAATCCCTTAATCTTATTTGTGTTCCTGTTATCTTTTTTGGTGGGAATCTGTGAATGTCCAAACAGTAATATGTGAGAGAAGGGATGCAGTATTAATTATCTATCTTTTGTTCTTTTCTTTTCTTGGATAGATTTGCTTGTGCATTCAGATTTCTATGGTGTTAACTTTGAAGTTCAGTTCGGGTTAGTTTGCTATGAATGCCTATTCCTACAATTCAAAACTAAGAGGTGCTTGATTCCTTAATATTTGATGTTGGTTTTTCCTACATATCTATTTAATTTATTGGTTAGTGCTTGTGGCTCTTCTTATCCAAGGAGCGCATTCATGCATTTTTAGGTGGCTAGGAGAGATGTTGTTTCATTTTCATTTTTACTTTGTATTTGCTTCTCTTACCATCATTAGCTATATGGATGTGGAGGAGTATTGGCAAAAATCTTTTGGCTTTAAGGGTAGTAAGAAATCTCTTGACGTTTCATGTTTTTTCCTTGAGATGTTTAACTTGAAGAGGTAAATGAGTTATTCTTTATTACAGAAATTTTTGTGGAGTCATTTCCACTCTTTTTTGAGTTTGGAGAACATCCTTCACAGGTACTATAGTATATTTCTCAGGTTGACAAGTATTGGAATTGAAAGTGCTTTTCTGTACTTGTCTAGATGATAAAAGAGGAGTTATTTGAAGCATGAATAACTTTCACTTGGTTGGTTGACTTGCAAATCCTTGCCCCGTGGCTCACCTAGTCAAGTTTTTCTTCTTTCCTTAATGGGATCAGTGTTGGGAGTTTTGGTTACCATGGGGATTATATTAAGGGTGTGGTACAGTTCTGTAGGTTCGTGCTGTCATGTTTTGTTGGATATTAGCTAATTGGTGTGAAATATTAGCTGGACTAACACAATGCTGCTGTGGATGTGTCAAATTTAATGTGTTTGTTAAGAAAACTCTAATATAGGAATACTTCCGCCGTGGCACTCAAATTTAGTCTTGTTCAATAGTTCATAATTGTTGCTTCATAGCTTGTTTACTTTTGAAGATGCATAATGGAAAGGTGGGTGATACTAACATTCTGTTTGGTTGGAGAGAAAGGAATTTGAAACAAATGGAATGTTGAAATGAGATATAATGTAAGAAGGGATTGAAAAAGAAAAAGAATAGCTGCCATTCCTCTGTCTTGTTTGGTATTTCTTCCATTTCTCACATTGATAGGAAAGAAAATCAATCAAGATATGTTAAAATAAATAGTATATGTGAAAAATAGTAAAGCTACTCGTTTAAGAACTTTATGTTAAATTGATAGAAAAAGATTCTTGTGGGCCCAACACTAGCGTGGAAATGTGTTTATTTTCTTCATTGATTTGCTCTCTGACTAAACAGTGGAAAATGTCTTTTTTCTCGACCTCTTCCTTTTTCCTTATTCCTTCCTTTCCTTTGAACCAAACAGTCTTAGAGAGGATTGCATAGAAAATTCATTGCTTTCATTATTTTCTTTTTCATTATATGCAACAAATTGCGACAAACCTTACAAAAATTTTGAATGTAAGTCTAAATACCATGTCCTGTAGCCAGTAGCCAGATGGAAGGGGGCATTGAAGTCTATGCTTAGTGTGAATTAGAGTTTGAGGGGCCTTTTTAGGGCTTGTGAATTAATTAGTGATTCAACATCCATTAAAATTTTGTGCAATTTAAGTTTTCAACATTGGGATGCTGAAACTTATCTTCTTTGGGATCTCTTATTTCCTAGAAAGTAATGGAGCTTACTAATTTAAGCCAGCTATATCCTTTTCTTCTTGGTTGACCATTGAACTGGGAGGCCCTTGTGGTTGTGATAAAGGCAATATCTGAAGTCATGCCCTGTTTGGGGAACAGCAAAATGACTGAAATTTTGTATTAGAGTTCAGATTGGATTACAGGTGTATCTGCAGTTCATTCCCAATTTTACTGCTTCATCATTTGGTTGGTTTGCCATGATAGGGGCAGATGGGATGTGGCCAAGAATTTTATAATGTAAACTCTGCATTCAATTTCAGGAACTACTAAGGATCTTAGTAGAGGTGAATTTTGGCTTTTGTGATATAGGCGTGTCTGCAGTCTATTTTGAATTTGAATGCTTTTTTCAGTTGATTAGTTTAATGGTTTTTAATGTAAATTCTGTATGGAATTTCAGAAACTGTTGAGGACCTTGATTGAGGTGGATTTCTGTTTTTTGGGATGGCAAATTGGTTTATATATATCAATCATCCATCCATTCTCAAGCTTAGGGCCTGTTCGATCATACTATTTGTAGCTGTTAGCTGTTTTAGTAGCTATTAGTTGGTATATGTCAGTTATTAGCTATTTAAATAGTGGTTGAAAGTGCAAGTGTCCGATAGAAACAACTTTTTGATTGGCAATAAATTTAAAATGACAAAAAGGACATTGAAATATTCATCTAGAATTTTCAATTAAATTCATTATAAAAAAAAAAAGATGATTTCACTAAACCAAAATTTTCAAAATTTAAGGGAGCAAAAATTGAAAAGTTCACTATTTTATAAATAAAATTGAAAATTTTTAATATTTTAGGGGATCAACATTTTTAATTTATTTTATAAAATTGAAAATTTTTAATATTTTAGGGGATCAACATTTTTAATTTTTAATATTTGTTTGAGTTTAAATACAAATATATAAATAAGCATTTTTTTCTCATTTTACTATCAATTATAAACAGGACAAACATAAAGATAATAAACATGTAATGTGATAACAAAAAGATTTTATATTAATTAACGATAAGGATAAAATTGTAAAAAAAATTTCAGTAAAAAGAGTGAAACACTAAACAATAGGTGGGATGACGTAACGTTTTAGAAAACACTCCCTGTACCTCTGAAAGCTACTCTATCAAGTTACCGAACACAATAACCTAGAGAAACAATGTTTTGACTAGTTCAAAACACTAAAAACTACTCTAAACCCTATTGCTAAACACGCCCTTAGTCGGTGGTGTTGTGTAACCATCTGATTTAGGATTTGTAGATTCTGAGGATTGGAGTATGTGTCCAAATCATATGATGGAATTTCTGGTGGATGCCGGATAGGTGCTATATCTGTATTCAGTACGGTATTTTGCTTTTGTAATACTTGTGAATTTCTCATTGGTATTTTAGAAAAATGTACAAGTCTATATCCATTTCATATCATAAAGAAGCTAATTATGTGCTTTTTTGCCAAACAAGATTTCTCTTTTGGTGCTTATTATTTACACCTTAACTTCCCTCTCTTGTTGTTTCGTAAGTCATTTAAATGAAGGGCATCTTGATCTTCTATTTTTTCTTGGTAAACTTGAAGTTCTTTTCTTGGACTAACCGTTTCTGTTAGCACACAATAAGGCTTTTTTTACATGTATGAGCTTATTTACTTTGTGTTTTTCCGCAAATCTCTTGTAATTCAATGCTTATGCTCTTGATCTCATTGTATACAGAATGAGGTCTTGAGTGACATGACTTGGCAGTTGGAATAACACCAAATGAGCAGAAAGGTCTAAAGGTGCCTGTAATATAAAAGGTTTCATCGATTATATTCTCTCCAATTAAATTTTAAGTTATAAAGACTGAAATTTTTTTGTGTTCCATTAAGGTTTCTATTTCCTTGTCACAAAATTTTATCTGCCAAATTTTTGCAGCGAGTTATCTATGCCTGGCAACGAAGTTGGAGATAGGATCCACAATTTCTTTGGCCAGGAGAACTTGTCTCAAGGCCAGCAGCATTCAGAGGTTGTTGACGGGACCTGGCCAGGTTTGGGTAACAATCCATGGGCTGGTAGTCAGAGACAGATCGGCACATCTTTTATTTCTAATTTAAAAAATCAGTCTGTACAGCAATCAGGTATGAGTTAAACACTTTAAATTACTTGGTTTTATTGACTAGTATCATTTTCTGTAAAAGTATGTTATTGGTAAGGTTTTTTTTTTTTTTTTTTTTTTTTTTTTTTTTTTTCTACATTTTTTTTCTTAATACCACTTTGGGATGGGGTTTATTTATTTTTTTTTTTTTTTTTTTTATTTTTTTTTTATTTCTACATTTTTTTTTCTTAATACCACTCTAGGGATGGGGTTATTTATGATTTGAAGGCTTATACTTTTTATTTTGACATTAGCTGAACCTGAAAGAGGACATGGAGGACAGTCATCAAGTGTGCAGCGTGGTTTAAATTTTTCTCAATCAATTCTGAGGCCTGAGTTTGCTAGAAGTCAATCTCAAAATCAACAACCAACTTTGAATGGCTATTTGCATGGGAATCAGGTGTTTCAAACTAGGCAGAATGATGCAAACTTTTTGGGAGTGGATACAGAATCTGATCGACGTAATTTAACACCAAGAGGCTTTTCAATTCTCAATGAACAATTAGGAAGTGGCCCCGAACTTCACAAGAAAAATTCAGTGAGGATGGATTTTAATGAATCTCCTGTTAATTACGATTTTTTGGGAGGTCAACAGCAAATGAGTAGTCCGCATCCTGGCATGTTGCAATCTTTGCCAAGGCAGCAGTCAGGGATTAGAGATATGCAGCTACTACAGCAACAAGTAATGCTTAAGCAGATGCAAGAAATTCAAAGGCAACAACAACACCAAAAGCAACAATTGCAGCAACAAGAAGTAAGGCAGCTGAATTCTGTAAATCAGGTTTCCCCTTTTGCAAAACAGGCAACTGGAAGCCATCCACAGGCTCTGGTCAATGGCATTCCCATTCCGGATCCATCTAATTATTCGTGGCAGTCTGAGCTTATGGCAGCTAATGCAAACTGGCAACATCGTAGTGCCTCTCAAGCTATGCAAGGATCCTCTAGCGGGCTAATGTTTTCCCCTGATCATGGTCAAGCACCACGATTGATGGGAATGATTCCCCAGCAGGTTGATCAATCTCTTTATGGTGTTCCCATATCTGGAACAAAGGTTGCTCGAAGCCAATATTCTCCTGTCCAATTGGACAAGTCTACGATACAGCAGATGTCCGGCAGCAGTACTTCCTTTTCAGGTAATCAGTATACTGGGTTTGCAGACCAGGCTTGCATAGAGGATGGTACTTTGGCTTCTAGACACGGATATCAGGGAAAAAACATGTCTGCTGATGGTCAAGGCTTAAATGGTGGATTCAATTTGGAGAACTTGCAGCAGGTAGATCCCCAGCAAAGCAATGGGTCTGGGCAGGATTTTAGTATGAGGCAAGATCTGGCGGGTCCAGAAACATCGCAGGAGAAGACAGTGATGCAGGTCACCCCCTCACAGAATGTAGCTACCCTAGATCCAACGGAGGAAAAGATCTTGTTTGGTTCAGATGATAATTTATGGGAAGCTTTCGGCAGAGGGACCAACATAGGTTCAGGAGGTTTTAATATGTTAGATAGCACTGATTTTTTAGGTGCATTTCCTTCAGTGCACAGTGGGAGCTGGAGTGCTCTGATGCAGTCTGCTGTAGCTGAAGCATCAAGTGCTGATACGGGGATGCAAGAAGAGTGGACTGGTCCGACTTTCCGGAGTAATGAATCTCCAGCTGGGAATCAACAGACCCCAACTGTTGGTGATAGTGGAAATCAGCAATCCACTTGGGTTGATAACAGATTGCAGTCTGCTTCTACGCCAAATGCTAGACCCTATAAATCTGATGGCACCAATTCAAGTATCAGCTATAATAATATGCCAGGGATTAAGCAATCTGGAGTCAGTACAGCACACGAACAGAGTGAAAGATCGTATGCTGCTTTGTCTCAGAGATTTTTTCAGCCTTTTTCGGGAGAAGGGACCAAGCGGCTGGATCAGAATTCTCTGCAAAAGCCAGTTTCTGAAGTTGGTCATAGTTCTGAAAAGGGTGCTCATTCGACAGATGTGGAATCAAATGCAAAGAGCTTTTCAGGTCCTTGGACAAATCAACAGAGCATGTCCTCACATAATACTGGTGGCCAACCAGGCAATAGACCAAATGGTTGGAAGTTTGTTGACTCTTTGTCCTCTAGAGCGGGAACTGCTATGAAGAACCAGGGGAATGATAAAATGTTGCAGGCTTCTCAGAGTATTGAGAGTAAGAGTCCCATGTTTGAGGCAATGGGTTATGGTGTTGGTTCATGGAAGTCTGATTCAGTTTCTAATTCAATTGTTGAACTGGAGCAGGGAAAAAAGTCCATCACAGGTAGCCCACACATGAGTAGAGAAGATACCAACCTGAATAACATTGCTACGTTACCTGATACTAGCACTGCCAGGGTTAACCAGGAAAGTGGCCAACAGCTTCCCAATGGCAGTAATATTGATATCTGGAAACGTGTTGATTCTTCAATTAACTCTAAAAGATGTGAGTTTCCAGGAAAATACCAACCTCATATGGACAAGAAACATCAAGACTTTGAGATGTCGGGAAATAATAGTTTGGGCAGTGGGGTAGTTGAAGCTCATGACTACCAAGACACAAAAGAAAGCAAAATTGACAGCTTTTGCAATGCATCCCACAATAGTTCCACCAGTGGTGTGAGAGATGGTGCTTGGCTAGATGCAAATGATTCACTTACTTTGTCCGGGGGAAAACTAAAGTCATCTGGTCATACTGGTCGAAAGCCTTCAGGCATTCGTAAATTTCAGTATCATCCTATGGGAGATCTGGATGCTGATGTTGAACCTTCATATGGTTCAAAACATGCTGTACATTCACAGTCCTCGCCAATGCAGGTTTCTCAAGGGTTAAAAGGTTATGATCACGGGGTTAGTGGTCAATCAAAATTTCCTACTCAGCTAGCTAGAAATTCCATGGAAATTGAGAAGGTAATTGATGTCTTTGCTTTTATGGGGCAAGGACATTTTATTAGCATTTTCCAGAAAATTTTAGAATCATACTAAGCTTCCCCACCTTTCCCCTTCTCCATTTTCTGGTGTTAAACAAAACAAGAAGAAAGTCTTCAAAAGTTTTGCTGATAGTTTCTCCTTTTACCCCTGTTTACAGGCTCGTTTCCCCAGTTTTCAAGGGGAAGCAAAAGGTTTAGAGGAGATTACTTCGAGAAACATACTTCCAGGTTCTGCACCTAGTACTTCTACTTCCTTTGACAGGATTGTTAATAATTATGCAACAAGCAAGACGACACCATCGAGGTAGTTGATGGTTTTTCCCCCCTTGCCTCTCACGTTAGCCTTTTCATATATTGGATGTATTGATTCTATTGCTTTGTTATTTTTATCTTGAAACTGTTGTTTAAAATGATAGGACAACCTCATCCTGTATTTTTCTTGGTTCCTGTTCAGCAAGATTTCTTTCTCATCCTAATTACTTTTTCTGTTGGCACTTTTATGAGTCACTTTCTATGATCAAATGCTTTGCAGTCAAAATATGCTTGAGCTTCTTCATAAGGTGGACCAATCAAGAGAGCATGGAAATACAACGCACTTCAGCTCTTCTGACTGCAATCAGTCCTCTGAGATGCATGATGCCAAATATTCTGATGGACATGTTCACCTTCAACAAAGTCAGTCTTCTGCTTCTCAAGGTTTTGGCTTACAACTTGCTCCTCCATCTCAACTCTTGCCCAGCCAAGATCATGCCCTTTCATCTCAGAGTCCTTCGCACACAAATAACTCTGTCAGTTCAACTCATGCTACCTCTGAAGTAGGGGACAAGAGTCATAGATGGTTGGCTTCCACATCCTCTGTTCAAGGATTGCCTCCTTCCCGTGAAACATCTCAAGGAGAATTTAGGAAGAGTAATTCTGGTATCTCAGGAAAAACTGACAAGAATGTTCAGGGAAGTTTTTCTGCTGCCTTTTCCCCCGGTTTTCCTTATCCAAGAAGTCATTTTCAAAATCAGCACGTGCATGATATGGGTGGACAGGTGACAACCGGTCAATCTGTTAATGCATATTTTGATAGGTTTGCGTATCAGTCAAAACAGATGGAGTTTGAGAGAGCTCAAAGTAGCCAGTCGATACCAGCGCCGGGCATGTCTAGAAGTAGTTCCCATAATGACATACATTCCTCTGTTGAGATGCCCCAGCTGAGTAATAATAATCAAAATAGTGCAAAAGATTCTCTGCAGCAGTTCCCTGTTTTGGAAGCTATGTCAACTCCTCAGCCTTCTAATATATCTGGCCCATCACAGGAGAATGCTTCTGCAAAAACTTCACCTACTGTGTGGACCAATGTTTCAACACAGCAACGTTCAATCGGTGTGCAGCCTTTTAAGGCTTCTTCAAATATGTTTAAGTCCAATCTTCAATCAAATACTGATTTAGAAACAAATTCGTCTGGATCACAGAAGCAAGTGGGTCACAATGTACAAATGGTAGGGGATGGTCCATCTGAATCTGGTGCATGTTCTATGAATGCACATGATTTTGCTGGGAAAGAACAACCAGCAAAAGGAGACCCATGCCTACATGTTTCACCTGAAAATGACCTTGCACAGAAGATGTCTGTCTCACAAGGGAAAGAATCTGTGGCAAATTGTCTTACAAGCACTTCTGTTGGTAACCCCACTAGTACCCAAAGGGAGATTGAAGCATTTGGCCGATCTTTGAGGCCCAATAATACTTTACATCAAAATTACTCCTTAATGCACCAAATGCAGGACATGAAAAATGCGGATGTTGATCCGAGTAATAGGAGTTTGAAGAGATTTAAAGGTTCTGATAGTGCTGTGGATTCTCAGCAGGTAAGCCCCCAAGGAGGACAGCAGCACTATGGTCACAATAATATGGTCAGAGAAATGTCACAAAATCGTGCGTCAATTCCCCCTGAAGATGCTAAGATGCTGAGCTTTTCAGCAAAATCAACGGATGTTCGGAATACAAATACACCTCAGGATATGCTTGCATTTAATGATCCTCAGAATTTTGCTACCAGCGGCACAGCTTCTGTGAGAGCTGAGCATTCTCAGATCAGTCCCCAGATGGCCCCATCCTGGTTTGATCAGTATGGATCCTTTAAAAATGGGCAGATATTACCTTTGCATGATGCACAGAGAAGTGCCTCTATGAACACTATAGAACTTCCTTTTGCTGTTGGAAGGCCTACCGATAGTTTGAATGTTCATGGTCCAGTGGAACAAAAAAATGCAATTGCTGCTGGTGCTGGCCAGCAGGGTCTACTGCAAAAAGGTTCAAGCCCCTCTCTAGCAAGTGAGAATCTCCCTTCCCCACAGTTGATGCATCATGATGTTGCTGATGTAACCTTGGCTGCACTGAGACCAAAGAAGCGTAAGACTGCTACATCAGAACTTGTACCGTGGCATAAGCAAGTGCTGCATGGCGTTCAAAGTCTTCAGAATATGAGGTGGTTGACATAAATTTCTTCATGAATGAGTGCCTTTCATCTCTATTGTTGAAAATGATGCATCATTTTCTTTTAAAATTATTAAATATATTCATTGGCTTATATTTGAAGGACTGTATTTCCTGTGGTTCTTGTTTGTTGTGTGAATATGTGGTATCTTTCTTAAACCATTTTAACATGTGCTGAGTTTCTTGTTTGCAGTTTGGCAGAAGTGGACTGGGCTCATGCAGCAAACCGACTGACTGAGAAGGTGTGGTCATAACTAAAACAGGCTGTCCTAATTCTGTTAACTATTGCTGCTTTTCTTCTTAGGTCTCTGACAGTTATCTGAGTGTGTCCCATGGCTTCGTTTAATGACAGGTGGAAGATGAAAATGAAATGGTAGAGGATGGATCACTAGTATTTAGATCAAAGAGAAGACTTATATTGACCGCACAACTTATGCAGCTGCTGTTTCATTCTCCTCCGGCATCAGTTCTGTCTGCAGATGCTATGTCACATTATGAGAATGTTGTTCACTTTCTTTCTCGTTCCACCCTGGGGGATGCATGCAGCGCACTCTCTTGTGCTGGAAGTGATACTCCTGTACCTTCCAGCAGTGGAAACCTGTAAGATCTGCCCTTCAATGATATTGAAATTTGTCCATCATGCTTTTTGCTGGTTGTGAGGTTTATAGTTTTAATGAGGAAATTTTATCTCATCTACACTAATGACAGCTTATTTTCACTCTCAGCCCACCCGAGAAATTCAAGACATCTGAGAGAATTAGCAATCAATACTTCTCAAAAGTTGTGGAAGACCTGATCAGTAGAGCAAGAAAGTTGGAGAATGATATCTCAAGGTAAAAGCTTTTTATACTGTGTTCTAACATTGAATAGCATGTTTGATAGAGGAGTTGTTTTACAGGAATTTTGGGGGTGGGGGGGTGCGGGGTGGGGGTATGGTTTGGTTTATGAAATGGATAGAACTGACATATGGTCACAATTTATACGGAGTGGTTGGCAAAACTAGGAATTCTAGATAGTGTATACTCCTTAAAAGAGAAGGTTGTGATATCAAACTGCATGGGAGAGATTTATTTTTTTTTTTAATTGGATGGGCTTGCATGTTTTCAGGATTTTGCATGAGCTTAAGCAGTCATTTTTTCATCTCTCTTTCCCCAGCCGCTACTGCTGACAATTTCTTCCTTTGGCATTGTTCAACTTCATGTTTGTAAAAATTATTTTTATTTGCTCTGTGATCTCACTGTTCTTGTGCTACATTCTTATGATTTAGATTGGATAAGAGAGCATCTGTTCTAGACTTGAGACTGGAATGCCAAGAGTTAGAGAAGTATTCTGTTATCAATCGTTTTGCCAAGTTCCATGGACGAAGCCAAGCTGATGCTGCCGAGACCTCATTGACCTCCGATGCACCTTCAAATGCTCAGAAATTCTGCCCCCAAAGATATGTTACTGCACTTCCAATGCCTAGGAATCTCCCTGACAGGGTACAATGTTTTTCACTTTGATCATTAATTAATTGATTTTTATCTCGTTCTTGGCCAATTATCTCTACATCCCTCATCACTGGTTCATTATTACGACTTATATACCGCCACTTGCTCGCCATAGAACCACATGGATGGGAATATACGAGGTTTGGATGCTAGGTTGTCTCCTTAAAAGCAATGGAGGCTATTAGATGTCATCAGTCTAGGCCATCAATGTCATATATTCATTCTTGAGAGATTCATATACTCTTGTATACTTTGAATGATTAGAGGAAATTGGGCGCCCCACCATGTTTTTTCAGTAAATGGGGGGACAGCATCTGGCATTTTGGCTTAGCAATGATGTCCACACACAGCTCCAAATTTATTAAGTTTGTTGTACTCAAGGCTTCTGATAATGGGGTTCTATGTGTGAAAGAAGGGTTTTACGTTGTACCCTCTTCTTTTCTAGGTAAGGGATAAGCAAGAGAGAGGACAAAAGAAGGGGAAGAAGATGGTGGTTAGGAGTGGGGGTCGGAATTGCTTGGCCCAAAGTCTTAAATTGCCAGCTTTAGTGCAATAATGATGTTATTATATATTTGGCCCTTCTATTTTTTTTGTACAAATTGGTTAAACTCTCAAAAATATTTATGGATATTTTTTTCAAGAAATTGGGAAACATGTAAAGATGGTTAAGTTGCCAAGTTACAGTGCTGTTCAAGAAGTTCCGATTGGTTTCTCAACATCTTACTTTTTCTCTTCCTGATCATCCACTTGATCTAACTTCATTATGAGTTGGTTTCTGTTTGGAGACTTGGACGCTATCCTACTTAACTATGATCCATTTATAAGTTTAAACTTGGACTTGTTGTGGTGTTAGTATTTTTAGTTTTTGGCTTTTTGTGCATTTAGAAGATAAAAAGGTGCAGGAATGCTTTATGGTTATGGTTATAGTCTTGGACTTTGTGGTATGGAAGAATGCAAAAGTTTCTTTATACTCCAACCTATTATGTAAAATAACAGCATGGGGAACTTTGCAGAAGCTCTTGTAAGAAAACAGTCGGGTATAAGGATATTTGTAGGCATTGCATTCATAGGAATTAATATATTTATTTTAAAGTTTATTTAGTTTTGCTGTGTTTACTTGTTTATTATTTTTTTATTCCCCCAAACTGATCCCTCCCCTCCCCTACGCCAAAAAATAAAAGTAACTTGTAAAATATGGATCTGATGCCCTTTGGTATATCTAATTATAACAGTAGGTTGCAGTTCCCTCTTTTACTTTCTGATTTTGCAGTTATTTTTTGGTTTCTATTAAGAATTGTTGTCCATATTTGACTTATATATTCTAAAATTACAATTCAAGCAATTTTCCACCCTTTTTCATTTGGGTTGTAAAGTGTCTCTGCCTCTGTAGCTATATTTGAAATCATTATTTCTCACGTTAATCAATTCTAGAATGATAAATGCAATCATTTATGTGGGTAGTTCTCCATGTTTCTTAGACTCTCCTATCCCAAGAGTAAACAGGATTGTATCCAAGCCTCCTGGGGGCTGCTAGAGAGTAGAGAGGGTTGTTGGTGTATGAAAGGGGGTTTATGGAGAACGGGGATGACCCCTTTTAGTCAGATGCTTTCTGAATTCTGAGTACAAAGGGAACCTTGTTTAGGTAAAAAGGCAATTTGTTGCATTTAAACGTTTTGGATGTTTTGACCCGTACTCAGATTACTAGTAATGTAATTGTTTGAGAGGTGACGTATTTTATTGTACATTTGGATTTTGTTTTATTGCTCAAATCTCAATTCCTAGGTAAATTTGAAATTTCATAGTATATTTGTTGTTTTCCTTTTATGGATGGTGGGAAATCCATGTTTTGTTGTATCTTGATTTCCTGTCCATGATTTGCTGTATCCAAGCTCAGGATCGCTATCATGGAAAAAAATTGGGGTTTTGATATTTACTTGAGTTTTGAGACCGGGTTTGCCTTTTTACTTCATGAAAGTGAACAGGTGAGCAACTATTTATTTTATGATAGTTGAATTACTGGAAAGAAGAAACTAGTTTTGCTTCACTTTGTTACATTAAAGTAGGTTAGGCACCAAATGTAAACAGGTAACATGCCATGCGTTGTCTTGATTTCGGCAGTGACAATAAATATCACGACTTGGTGCGTGATTCCTTAGTAGTTAAGAAGGATTGGTTGTTGATATGGTATTCAAGGTTTCACTTTATGGCAACTAGTCTCTGGATTTCAAAGTGACATTTGATCCGAATGATTTCTGTTGCACTAAGTCCTTAATAATCTGTAATGGTACCGCTGCTAGTCATGCTGGAAGAAAGTAATTCTCCCTCTACACTTCGGAAGCCAAAATGCCTTTAGATTCTGGTTTATAAACTTATTAACAAAGGATGTGCTGTTCATGAATGTCTATGCATCAGTATCGGCACATTATTGATCTATTAGTTTGCCTTCTGAGTGAGACAGCAGTTTTCTTGGTAAATTGGAATCCAAGTTGTAACCTGTGTATGAGCAGGCTGTGTTTAAACTTCAATATAGGTAACCTACTTGTCAGCATTGGGTTGGTTTGATAGTACACTAACTTGAATTTTGGTTTGGTCAGTTTTACCCTTTATTATTATTATTATTGTTTTGACCGCTTTGGTTAAATTTTGGTTTTTCTACGAAAATTGAAATTCAATTTTGTGTGTTAAAATAAAATAAAATTGAATCGATTCGGTTTGATTAGTTTGATCGGCCATCTCTTCTGCTCCCAGATATCAATGGGCTTGTTCAATCTTTCAAGTCAATCGAATTGCCAATAAAAGAAACCTGTAGATAGTTAAAAGTATCATTTATAACCATGGTAATTAAGAGAAGAAACAACAAACGATAAAAGCATCATTAAGCAAGAATCGAGAAATATATATATATATATATATATTCAAAATTCACCCAATGTAAGGGTACAATTTAATTTTTCTAGGAAAGTGATTCCCTTCTCTATAGGAAAGATGAACTTTGACAACCAGGCGCAATCCAAGCGGCAAAGGGGGCCACAAGCATATTTTGCTGCCTCATATGACGTTTAAAAGAATGTTTTACAACCTTATATAATGTTGAAAAGGTTATGCAATCAGTCTTACACGGGTTTTGTCTCGTGCATTTTGTTTGGAATTACAACGTGAATTAAATAAAAGAGGGTCATCTTATTTTTAGAAAAGCAATTGCCTTGCACCAACAAAATTCTTAGGCCATATGTACACTACCTGAAATGAAATGCCAATGCCAATCCCCATTTCATTGTTCACTAGCACACAAATAGGGAGGAGAAATAGTTGGATTTCAATATTTATCAAGCAAAGGGCAGATTGTGTATTCAAGTAAACAATGGAGTACAGTATCACCACTTTATAAAAATGCTACAAAGAGAAAAGCCAGAATATAAAGAAAGACTATAATAATCTTTTCTTTCCATTTCCTATTTTTCAACGAACCTCAAAAATGGACCACAGTTCCTTGTCTGTGATCAACATGCAAGCAAGCAGTAACTGGCATAATAAGGGCGATGGTACCTGCCCTGGTTTAATAGTTCTTCATGTTCTCTGGATGGATACCTTAGCTAAAAGTTGAGCTTCATTTATTTTGAAAGAGTTTACCTGCTTACTGGTGCATCCACAAGAGTGTGATTATAATTGCCTGGAAAGTCCGAGACGCATTCTGCTATGGTGCTTCATCACAAAAAAGAGCTCATGATAAGCTAACATGTATTTCCTCCCCAATTATTGCAAATATTTCATTGACCCTGAAAAACAAATATAATGCAACTAATTATCAATGTTTGACACTCAAATTCTTAGGGTAAAGCTTTGTATACATGTCGATATGCATGAAATGTAGCAACTGAGATCTATAGTTATTGATGTTAAATTCAAGAACAAAGATAAAAAAAAATTGCTTCTTTTAATGTTGTTTTCATAATTGAAGCAACATCTAGAGTGGATATCAATAGCAATATCTAAACAAACTTTCAGCTCCTGAGTTCCAATCTTACCTATGGATGTCTATATTTGCCTCTGCCAGCCATGTTGTTAGATAAACCTGCAATGCAAATAACTTCAGCAAGTCACATAACCACTTGTGAATGAAAGCGTGTCGTTGTAACTTGTAAGTGTATAGTTTCATTATATTATGAGAATACTGAAGAAAATCCTAAATCCAAAGGACTAAAACCATTTAGGCTGCAATTTGATAGGAAAATTTGGAACCGGGACATGAATTTGTGTCTTTTTAACGTTATAATCAAAGATTCGGACCTGTAAAGGAGGAAAAATATATCAACCATATCTTAGACAGTGAATCCAAAAACAGAACTATGTATCATTCGCTGTTTTAGTAATCTAAACTAAAAATTAAAATACAATTCTCTTCATTCAAAGCACATTGTCCAAATATAGTGGTGGAAAAATTCAGCACCAGTGATGAGGAATAGGGTCCAATTGTTTTTCAAGATGGAAGTGTATTGTAATATTGTATATGCTAAAGGCTGGCAGCTCGAAGAGCAAATTTTGCTTCCAGCCTCTTTGATCACTTGGTGCTTAAGAGCATCCCATGTAAAATGAAACAATATGTTTAGTGTAGACATGGCCATGACCAATTCCGGAACCGAACTGGAAATTGACGGTTCCGGTTCCGGTTTGGAATTGAACGGTTCCGATTCCGGCTTCGGTTCCTTAACGGTTCCAAAACCGACGGTTCCAGCCAGTTCTCGACCGGTCTTCCGGCGAATCGCATAATTGTAAGATAAAAAAGTAGAGAACATTTTAGAACCGGCTTGGAACCTCCAGTTCATGGTTCCCACCGGTTCGGAATTGTAATTTGGCCACCCCTAGTTTAGTGTGGTTGGACCGCATAGAATATCAGTGTGCTATTAGGTTTCAAACTTCTTGAGGCATGATTTGTTTGAAAAGATTTACACACAACTTTTCAATAAACATCTTATACATGAAATCATATAGAATTAGCTTAGAATTTATAGGGTTAATGAAACAAATACTTGCAAAATTTCATGGTCTGGTTGACTCTTCAATTGCAAGGTTGGCATATCAGAATTCCCTTCCATCAATGTTGGAGGCACCGGTTTACAAGCTTCCTTCGAATACAAGTTGCAAATGCTCAGATCATCAAATTCTCCTGGATAAAGTTCAGTTGACCAACCCAGTTCATTGACTTGTGAAACCTCAGTGCTAATGGTAAGTAACTCCAGTACAAGGAGTCTCTGAATCAAATAGTACCAAGATGGATAATGGAGAAAGTGTCTAAAGAACTAAGAAAAAAAGTCTTCAAAGTAGCAGAATATCACTTTATTATCTCATCAAGGTAAAATATTGCAATTTACCTTCAAATTCAGTTCAGATATAAACATTTGCACAAGCTCCTCTGCTAACTGCTCTGAAATCATTCAAAGATCAGAATCCTCAATGGTAAATATAATAAAAAAAGATGACGGAAAGATTTGGCCAAAAGTTTTGTAAGCCAAACATTTCAACTTGCACTAGAAAATTATCAAACAAACACAGTTGTAAACCAGATAGGGATGAGACAACGGTAATATCATACCAAGAGCTAGAACTCTTTTTGTGTCTAAACTCCACCATGTTCTATGCATTATAAAATATTTGGAGACATATACATACCAAAAGAAGAAACTGGCCAAAATGTAAAGACTGGAATCCCAGAACCATCACCAGAGTCATTACTATCCTCAGAAATGCTAGAAAACTGCATAATCGGACTACTAGTTGTCCCTTTGACATAACATCTCATGGATCTACTAGTGTTCACCATGTGAGTCACAACGGTCACCTGCAGAGAAGTTGTAACAAAAAGCTCATTCAAACAAGTTATAAGAGAAAAAATCCCTTTTCTACTACAACATATATATGATCAAGCCTATGTCCAAGGATATAGGCATTATTGCTATGTGAATGCTTTCATAGTCAACACAAAATATTCATCACAATGAAGATGCATCTATCAATTTAGGAACATTTCCCAAAATCAAGTAAAAATAAAAACTTGCAATCAAATCTCATATGCAGAATAAAATAAAATAAAAACCCAACAATTTCTGACCCATCAATTGCTCCTTCAACTGCGTTTATTTAATAAACTTTCCATACATAAATGCATCAAAATTACAACAGAGAAGAAGTGTGTGCTAGTCTACAAGTACATACCATATCTTTGTAAGATAACAAAAGTTTGCTCCCATGAAGCTCCTAAAAATTAAAAAAATAAATAAATAAAGAAGGAAAATTAAGAAACAAGATAAATTCTTTGAGGAAAATGAATTGCAACTCGTAAAAAGCAAACAATGGAAGAGAAAATCAATTACCTGTTGTTTAAACAATTTCGAACAAGCTTTCTTCCGAATATCAGGCATGTCATTTAGGACTCCCAACTCCATTGATGGCAAGTATCTGAATTGAAAAAATTCAATAACTTTAATTAATTTCTTCAATTTACGAGCATTTTCTCAGTAATCAAACAGAATAATATCAGTTCGCAATACTTCTGAGAGAGATAAGCATTAACAAGGGAAGTAGCGCAAGTTCTTCCCGTAGAAGAAGAAGACTCCCATTGTGGCCTATAAGAGGCTAACTTTGCCCATTGGTTTCTCAAGTTCCGCTGTGCCGCTGGTCTCCATAGGCGCGTAACAGATGGTGGCAGTGGCGAGGAGATGCAGTTAGGCTTTGAGATTTGAGAATTGGAGGAGAAGGAGGTGGTGGTACTTATGATTGCGTTGGTTCGCTTCGGCGTCTCCATAGAAACGCACACAGCCGTGAAAGTGGGCGGCGTTGGAGTAAGGTTTTCACGCCCTTATAAGATTGTGTGGCGAAATAATAAAACTGCTTTGCCACGTCAGAACTTTTTTGTAACGTGGCTAAATTTTACCACTTAGAACAACTCATTCGTTCCATCAAATCAAGTCAAAATCTCTCCGCCTACACTCAGTCCGTCAGTCGCCAGGGGAAACAGAGATCGAAATCAAGTATGTCGTCACACAACAACTCATCGTCGGCGAACGATCCACGCCAGCCATCGGCGGCGAAGCCTTACGTGGCGCCTTTGATTCCACCTCAAGATCTTCCCGTTGATTACGCTGGTTTTATCGCCGTGGTTTTCGGTGTTGCTGGCGTCATGTTTAGGGTTTGACTACTCTTTACTTTCACTTTGCCTGAAACCAATCTGATGTTTTTGTGTCTGATTGAATGTTTAATTATTACTTAATTTTTAATATATAATCTTCTGTGTTTATGCTTTCCATGTATTTGCAGTACAAGATCTGCTCGTGGCTTGCTATTATATTTTGTGCCCAATCACTTGCCAACATGAGAAATTTTGAGAATGACCTTAAGCAGGTTTCAATGGCCACCATGTAAGTTCGCGTTTTCTTTACAGTTTTGGTTTTCTTGTTGTATTCAATAAGTGTTGGGTTCAGTTTTATGAGGATATAACCCATGTAGATATGGGTTGAGTAGGGCATCAGGACGAAGGCAAAATATATTGTTCTTATGTTAGATCTGTCAGGAATAGATGTAAAGAAGTGAAAAAAGGTTAATGACAAGTGATTCTATGAGTTGATATACTATTTGTACTTGATTGGTTTGATCTGTCAGGAATAGATGCAAAGAACTAAAATTATGAATGTTCAAGAGGATGATGCAACATATGATGTGGGTGGAGTGGAAGCAGGACAGTGTTGAATACATAGAAAATTTCATGATAGATAGTTGCTCTATCCAGGCTGTTCTGTTAGTTCTCCTGGAACTATGAGAGTCTAGAGTGAGTAATATTAACAACCATTCCATGCCAATTTTCAGAAATGATGTAGGCTTTTAGAAATGATGATACTGGAGTGCTCCATTATCATTAGATTTTTTGCTGAGAAGGAAATTCTGCAATGCTCTTTGGTACATTGCTTGACCATTTGTTTATGTTAAGTAGGTTCCTGCTGGTTATTTGGCATATACTTGTTGGCCAAAATGTAGCTCAAGAGAGGCTAATTAAACTGGTTACAAATGCTTCTACGTTAACTACATGAAGTGGTTATATTCAGGTTACTAACTATGCCACTTTGGAGTGCTCATATTGCTACAAACGTCTGGACCTCATTCTCATGTTTTGGCTAGTGGTAATTTCTAGGGCGTTCGTGAACTGTGACCACATTATAGTAATAGCCAAGCGTTTAGAAATGTCTAATTGTAGGTAATCCTTTGATTTAAGAATTACAAGTGTGATCATCTTCTAGAGATCTCTTTGGGGGCTTGAAAAATATGAGTTATTTTTGCTAGGGATAAATGTTTCAATTAACTGAAAATCAGACCTAACAGATTCAATTTTAGTAATTTGATTCGGTTTGGTTTTAGTAACAAAAACTAAAATAACTGAGGCAAGCCAAATTTTATATATTTATATATACATATACTATTGTAATGTATCATATACATATACTCTGTATATTTTCAGAAAAAAAAAATTTGGTTAGTTCATTTTGGTTTTTTAATTATTTCTATTTTCTAGAATTTTTTTTTTTTATGAATTTCAGTTTGGTTAGTTCAAGCCAAATGGTTTGATGAAAATTCAAACTGAACCAACTAAATGCTCCCATTTTTTCCAAGTTGGCTAAGGGCCAAAGACCTACCATCCTAATAATTTGTGAAGATAAAACTATTCTTGCTTTGTAATGAGCCAATTGCATGGTTTTCTGTTTGCCTTTGAACAAGCCTCTTCCTTCTACTAGGGTTTGCCATTGGTCATCAAGCTCTTTGTTTTATTAATTATCTATTGTAATGTCCATATTAAAATACTCTGTATATTTCAGAAAAAAAATTTGGTTTAGTTCATTTGGTTTTTTATTATTTCTATTTTCTGAATTTTTTTTTTTTATTGAATTTTCAGGTTTGGTTAGTTCAAGCCAAATTGGTTTGATGAAAATTCAAACTTGAACCAACTAAATGCTTTCCCATTTTTTCCAGTGGCTAAGCCGGCAAAGGACCTACCATCCTAATCAAATTTGTGAAGATTAAAACTATTCTTGCTTGTAATGAGCCATTGCCTATGGTTTTCTGTTTGCCTTTGAAACAAGCCTTTCTTCCTTCTACTAGGGTTTGCCATTGGTCATCAGCTTCTTTGTTTTATATATATTATATATATATATATATTAATATATTATTATATTACTATATATATATATATATATATATTATTTTTTCCACATATATTATTTTATTCACATCCAAGTCACCAATTAACTCAAATCCTAGTTCATTAGAATTGATAGCCAAAACTACAGTAGTCCTAATCAAACATTAGAATGCCCTGACTAAAACTGATAATCAAACCCTACAAAAAAACCTAGAAGGCAAAAGGCAAATTCTTAGATAAAAACAATAGTGTTCCAATTTCAAAACTAAAAATATCACTTGAGTCTAGACAAATTTTTTAGATTTAGAAGCTAGTGTAATTAAGTGGCCATGACTGTGTTACAAAATTCGTGTGCAAGAAGAAAGATCACCACTTGATGCTCAAATGAGGATGGGGATTCCTTGAACTTGATGCTGCAGAAGAAGGTTCTGTGGTGGAGGTCTTGAAGGTGAGCTCAGGTTTATCACGGTAAAAATTTTGTAAAATGAAGCATTGGAAGGGAGACTTTTATCAATGAAGAATCTGACCTTTATGAGTTGGTAGTTGCACTACTAATGCAGCAATGCAAGGCAGTGAATTTTTAGCTGCTTTGGATTTATGCTCATTATCATTTTTGATTATTAACCTAAGTTTTATGCTCGGACGCCAGGTTTGCAATTATGGGACTTGTGACAAACTACTTGGGGCCTGCTCGACCCAGCGCACAAGCACAAAAATGAGATCCTTGGATGAGATTTTAGAAGAGATGGTGACAGTTCAAGGTCAGTTTCCATTTCATGATGATTATTGGTTCTGAAGGCTGTTACCAAGAGTAGATTTGACAAATTTGAAGGAACTATGTTTATCGTCGATGTTGGAATTCTTATATATATATATATATATATATATATAATATAATAATTTTTTTCATTGCTCTGGAGTTTCGAGCTTTCATGCAGCCTTAATTTTTTCATGCTCTGGAAGTTCGAGCTTTCATGGCAGCCTCTATTGTTATCTGTTTTAGCTCCTCTGTTATGATTTTTAAAGCAAAAGATGCTGAGTATGAACTTTTAATTTTTAAATATACTTTGAAATGAAATAGGAGCTCCTTGTTTTTGAGCCATCTAGCAGGAAATGAAAGTGGTTTGATGTTGAAACGTTTAATGGCTGATATGATATTCCTAGATTTAACTGTTGGCGGATACTTGGGTATGATACTACTAGTTAAACATACCGTGGATGCAGCGTTAGGCTCAAACTCGATTTGAGGTGGATTGAGTTTTAATTTTGTGTTTGTACTTGAAATATTTGAGCTTGACTTGATTATCATTAAAGTTTCAAATAAATATATTTATTAATTGAAATAAATTTTGAATAAATTTAAATATTATGAAAATATATTTAAAGTTTAAATGCTTGATTAGGCTGATGGATTACTTGAGACAAATCTTATAATATTTGAATTTGACTTGATTCATCATCCAATTCACTTGAGTTCAATTTCAATCCAATTAAGACTTTTTTTTCTGTTATTTTTTCCATTAGATATTATATACAATGAATGTATTACAATCTGCTGACAATTTGCACTTAGACTGCAATTGAATTGAAGTCGCAATTTCAAAAATAAATTACATGAAAGCTGATTTAAGGGCAAATCTGATCAATAAGGGATAGAAATTTCAATTATAATTTTAAGCTGAAAAATGTTAGGGAAGAGATTAAGCTTATGACCTTTTGGTTATAGATACCTCATCTTAGACATCTAGGCAAAGGGTCATTGGCCTCCAATAAGGCATTTGCATTGCATGTAAGACGATGCAGTGAAAAGTTAATGGATGCCAATGGAAAAGATACAAGTGAGAATTAACTTTCGTTTGTAAATCTTAAAAGAAATAGAATGATGGATACAAAAATTATTTAATATCATTCAATTCCACCGTTCAAACCCTAGATAGTTGAGAAAAATTAACATTTGGATATAATTATTTCTATTTTCTATTCATTAAGAGTCCAACGAGTCGAAATTACACTAGGAGCTATACGACACATGAGTAGTCCTTTCCTTAAAAAACTATTATAATCGAGAGAATGTAAATTCAAGACCAATTAGACCACACTTGATTGACATATATTAATTAATCTCTATTAATTCTTATTTACATTATAAATGAAATTATTAACAAACGGGTTTACGACATTAATCTCTTTATATTCCATCCTTTAAATACCTAGATAGAGAACTGAGATTAGAAAAGAAGTACTCTATGAAAAATTGCATAGCTAAACAATGGTCCATCCATATACAATTTCATGGCCAAACCATAAAAACGAAGAATACAAAGTTTTAATTACAACTATCTTAAAAAAAAAATAATATTTAGATCTTAATATAATTTTCTCACAATCACAATTACAATTAGAAATATATAACCACAAGTTTACTAAGCAATAATTTATTGAAATCAATTCTCTCTCCTTTTTTTTTTTTTTTTTTTTTTTTTTTTTTTTTTTTTTTTTTTTTCAAATTTCGCGATCCCTTTTTCTCTCTTCCTAGAAAATGCAACATTTTTTAGTGTAAAAATTAACTTTGAATAATTTCATGGGAATTTATTTTGGAAAGTTTTTACTATTTTAAAAAAAAATTGAAAAGTTTTCGATTTTGTTTGAGATTTTTTTTTTTTTTTTGAAAAGTAGGGTTAATTTATTATTTTACATTAGCATAGGTTTGGGCGGTCCTAAATAATAATATAATAATAATAGCACATTTTACCAACCTTTGGAATGAGTTTGGCACTTTTATTCATAGCTTGAAAATGTTTAATTGTTATTTTCCCTTCAAAAAAAAAAAAAAAAAAAAAGGTTTTCCTGTTTCTTTTTTTCCGCACTAAAATATTCCGATAATGAATTAATACACGGCCTCACAGAACTAACTTTTAGCGCAAAAAAAAAAAAAAAAAAAAAAGGTTTTCCTTTGTTTTTTTTTTCCCGCACTAAAATTTCCGATAATGAATTAATACACGGCTCACAGAACTAACTTCTTTATGAGTTCTCTAAAAAAGCAAAAAATTAAAAAAATAAAAAAGAAAAATTCCCTCTATCTCATAATTTTTGTCCTATTTTCTTTTTCCGTCCATCCTAAATTATTGTCATGTTTTTTTTTTCAGAAATTAATAATATTTGAAGCTTAGAATTTTATTCTTATTTAATATCCTTCTTTGTCAGGAAATGTAACAGTCAAATTACTATATTGCACTAATTAAATATTGATATAAATAAATTAATATATGTCAATCAGGTGTGGTCTGATTGGTCTTTCTATTTCTTGTAGAAGATGTAAGAAGTGAAATGTCTTTAGTTCTCGAGTCCTTTTCACTACAAAGATTATTGCTAGTTTGGTGGATTTTATTCAAGCAGGAGAGCTGCATGCTCCTACTGTGTAGCTCATAATATTATTTTGGCCCATTGGCTTTTTCATGTATTAAAAAAAATATTAATCTTTAATCTGCCAATAAAATTATATTTAATAATGTGTTTGATCAATTTTAAAAACATTTAATATGAATCATTTAATTTTTATGGATATTAATATAAATGGTATATTATGAAAAAATTGTAATTCAACCTAAAATTCATATATAGGGTTTGGTAAAATTTATAGCATTTATTATATGTTTTAACATTCCATATTTAGGGTTTGGTAAGTTGAACCTAAATGCTCTTTAATGGCTAAATGCAGCTGGAACCCTATATATGGAAAGTGGATATACACAAATTTTGTGCAAGGGAGTGAAATATGGAAAGCACTAAAAAGCATGTAGTGATTGTGCCATTTCCTGCACAAGGCCATGTGAATCCTGCAATTAGGTTAGCAAATCTGTTGGCTGATTTTGGACTCAAGATCACATTATTCACTACAGATTCTATAGGCTCAAGACTCTCTAAAGAGTCAAAAAATTACAGCAATATTGTTATTTTCTCTTTTCCTGATGGATTAGCAAAAGATGAAACAAACAGACATGCTGGGAGGATAATAATGGAGAACTTTGTTAAATTAATGCCTGCTTACTTGACTGATTTTATTAACAGAGTACAACGTCAAGAAGAAACTATTGATTGTATCATTTCTGATAATATTTGGGCTCTAAAGACTGCAAAAATGATGGGTTTAAAGACAGCATCTTTTGTACCGGTTGGTTCAGCAGCTTTAGCTCTCGGGCTTCGGAGTTCAGAGCTTCTTCAGGCTGGCATTGTTGATGATGAAGGTAAACTTTTGTTATTGAAAATGAAACTTAAATTCTTATAATTTATTATGTTTTCAATTTTTTAAAATATGGTTAAATATTTTATTATTAGACTCTATTAGTAAATTACAATGAAACTAAAATAAAATTTTTAAAATATATTATTTCTCTTTGATTTTTTTGAGAGAATGTTGTACGCTTATTTGGATTACGTAAGGTAAGAATGGAATTATAATATTTGACTAATATAATAAGAGATTTTTTCTTTTCTAGTCTAATGAAAAAATACGCAATAAAAGTTTGAATTAAGGAAAAAAATAGCTATTTGGGCATATTTTTTATTATTTTCATTTTTAACTTTTCTATATTAAAAAGGAAATAAAGAGAAAATTTAAGAGCTCTCTTATTATTCAATATTTTAATTATTCTTTTATTTTTCAAATTTATGGAATTTTATTTTTCAAATTTATGGGTAAAATTAATGCGTCCTAAAAGAACTAGTTATTTTAAATGCCGGTGCCTTATATTATTTCCGTGTTTCCACGTGTCCTCGTTTCTGTTTCCGTGCAACATAGGCTAACAGATTTTATATGTGCTAAAATATTATGTATGCTGCTATTTCAGGTACTCCATTGAAGAAAGAAGAGTTTCTTCTGTCACCACATTTACCAGCTCTTACCAATACTGATTACATGTGGAATTTTCCAGGGGACAAATTATTTCAAAAATTCTGGTTTCAACTTTTTATCAGTGTTGAAAAATATTTGAAAGAATCAAACTGGGTTTTAGGCAATTGGTTTCATGATCTTGATCCTTCAGCTGATGATTTACTTCCAAATGTAATACCAGTTGGTCCATTACTTTCAAGTAACAACTCTTCTGGAAGCTTTTTTTCTCAAGATTCAAGTTGCTTGACATGGCTAGATAAACACCCTCTCCAATCAGTAATCTACATTGCCTTCGGTAGCACTACTAAATTCAATCAACAGCAGTTTGAAGAACTAGCAATTGGCCTTGAACTCATAGGAAAGCCATTTTTATGGGTTGTTAGACCAGATTTTACCAATTGGATGACTACTGAGTATTTTGATAATCTCCAAAAAAGAGTGGGAAATATTGGCAAATTGGTTGAATGGGCTCCACAAGAGAAAGTACTGAGTCATCCTTCCATTTCTTTTTTCTTGACTCACTGTGGTTACAACTCAGTTCTTGAAAGTATTAGTTTGGGTGTTCCAATGCTGTGTTGGCCTTATTATGCAGACCATTTTTACTATAGGAGCTGTGTATGCAATTCTTGGAAGGCTGGTTTGGAGTTGAACCCTAATGAGAATGGGATAGTCACAAGGCATCAGCTCAAAACGAAGGTTGATCAATTGCTTGCTAATAATGGGATAAGGTCTAATGTGCTCAAACTCAAAAAATTGGCTCAAAAGAGTATTGGGATCAATGGATCTTCCTATCAAAATTTGGCAAAGTTTGTGGAACAACTCAGTGATTGAAGAGGGTTGCTCTTTTTTCTAGGTATAAGTAATGTATGGCCTTAGAGGCAAATAAAAGAGAGGCCTCCATCTCTCCATGTTCTAATTATAAGAAATTTGGATGCTTTAGGTTATGGTTGTTACTAAGAAAGTTCAATAAGTGATAATCTGTATAACATTAAACAGATTTTCAGTATTTCTTTAATGTATTTAGTCTAATCAAACTCTTACTAATTTCGGTGTTCTAAACTGAACATATCGAAATAATTTTAGATGTAAATCAAACTGACACTAGATCACTGCAAAAAAAAAAAAAAAAAAAAAAAAAAAAAAAAAAAAAAAAAAAAACTAGATCACTGCAAAAAAAAAAAAAAAAAAAAAAAAAAAAAAAAAAAAAAAAAAAAAAAACGAAGAAGAAACGCCATTTTCACCAATGTTAAGAATTTTGTCGCTAAATCTAAAATAGCAACCGACTAGCGACAAACGGAATCACCGTCGCACTAAGCCTTGTGGCTGAGAATTCGGCTGTATCCGTTAAGTTCAATTTGGTATTTTAACTATTTTTGACGGATAAGTGCACAAAGGAAAACAAACAAGAAGAGATAATTAAATATACCTATACAAAAACAAATAACATAACATAAGCAATGATGCAATCACAAATTAATTAATGGGAATAACAACAAAGAATGATGGATATATATAATATATATATATAGTAGTATATATATATATATATATATTTTTTTTTTTTTTTTTTTTTTTTGAGGGAAAGAAGGATGGAATAATCAAGCACTTACGTTAATTAGGATAAATCCAAATTAAATGTAATTTTTTTTTTGAGGGAAAGAAGGATGGATATAATCAAGCACTACTTAATTAGGATCAAATCAAATTTAAATGTAATGTTAATGTCTATCATGGCAGGAAAACCTCATGTGCTGGTCATTCCATACCCAGCACAAGGCCATGTCATGCCTCTTATGAAGTTAGCATACAAAATAGCTGAAAATGGTTACAAGGTCACATTTGTCAACACAGACGTCATACAAGCTAAAATTATGTCTGCAATGCATGAGAATTTTAAAGAGCAAACCCATATAAACTTTGTTTCAATTCCTGATGGACTGGAATCCAACAACGACAAGAAGGATCCATTCAAGGATTTAAAAATTTTATGTCAAGTAATGCCAAGTCATTTGCAGAATTTGATTGAGAAAATTAACCAATCTGAAGATGAAGAGCAGATTACTTGTGTTATTGCTGAAACAACAGCTTGGTGGGCATTGGAAGTAGCACAAAAACTGGGCATCAGAAGAGCTGCATTCTCACCTCCTGGACTTGGAAACATGGCTTTAGTGCTGCATATTCCGAAGTTAATTGAGGCTGGAGTTATAGATGCTAATGGTAATAACACAGTATAAATTTTCTTTTAGTGTCTGTTTAGTATTACTATCCAAATTGCTACTGAGGAAAGTACTTTGATGCTAAAAATATTGAGAATGTTGTTTAGCTGTTTTGAAGTTTTTATGCGAAACAACTTCAATTTCAATACTAAACAGGCTGTGAAATATGTTCATCATGAACTAATTTTAGGCTATAATAACTTGACTGGAACACTTCGATTTGTGCGTAGGAATGCCAATAACAAATGAATTAATCAGCTTGTCAAGAGACATCCCTGCTTGGAATCCCAAAGAGTTATTATGGAGCTGCCCAGGTCAACCCGAGTTACAAAAATTTATGTTTGAAAATTTTTGTTCTAAGGCTATTCAAGCGATTAAAATTTCGAATTGGCATATCACGAACTCATTCTATGAACTTGAGCAATCTGCCAATCACTTAGTTCCAAGTATCTTGCCAATCGGTCCGTTAACAAGCACTACTCATTTGTCACATTTTCCTGGAAGTTTTAGGCCTGAGGATTCAACTTGCTTAAGCTGGCTAGATAAGCAACCTGAAGGTTCTGTCATTTATATTTCATTTGGCAGCACAACAGTAATAACACAGAAACAATTCGAGGAACTGGCATCTGGGCTTGAACAATTAATCCAACCATTTCTGTGGATTGTTAGATCAGATCTAATCAATGGAAGTTTTGCAGAATTCCCAAATGGGTTTAAAGAAAGGGTAGCTAATCGCGGAAAAATTGTCGAGTGGGCTTCACAAGAGAAAATATTGTCTCATCCTTCTATTGCTTGCTTCTTGAGTCATTGTGGATGGAATTCTGTAATGGAAGGTATAAGCAATGGAATCCCTTTTCTTTGTTGGCCTTATTTTGCAGATCAGTTCTATAATCAGAGATATACATGTGAAACTTGGAAAGTTGGTTTAAGATTAAACCCAGATGAAAAAGGGATCATAACAAGGCAAGAAATAGAAACAAAGATAAAATTACTGATATCAGATAATGTTATAAAGGAAACTGCTGCTAAGATGAAGGAAATTGCAAGAAAGAGTATTACCGCAGGTGGGTCTTCTCTCAGGAACTTTAAAGTCTTCATTGAACAATTGAAGTGTTACAAATTTTCTAGTAAATGTAACTAAATTTGATAAATTCTGTGAAAATTGAAAATTAGTTTGTATTTCATTACAGTTTATCTGCTAAAGAATATTTTAGTTAGGCTATATCATTAGAAAAATTTGACTTTCGGCAAATTAAGCCAATGTTTTTAATCTTGTCTAGTATTACCTTAGACTTATTTTTCCTTATCAATTATAGCCTCTGTTTGTAGTCCATCAGTTTAAATCAAACTCTTCATTTGTAAATAAATTAATATTTCTTTTCAAATTTATTTAGACGAAGAAGGTAAAGAAAACAGTAGTCAATATATCCAATTAATTTCTTATTTCCTGACAATTAAATATATCCAGTTATTGATGAGTTATAGGTGTGTAAGTGATAATACAGTAGCAGACAAACACAAGCCTAAATAAGACACTCAATGACAGAACAGAACAACAGTACGTACGCTATTTAGCATAAGCAATGATGTCATGAAAAATAAATAATTGTTTAAGCCCTTGAAATAAAAAATCAGAAAGAACAATTGACAGATATACAATTTAAAATCAAGTACTACAATGCAGTTTGCTTTTCCATTTGATAATATATGATGGACAGGAGAGCTCATGTGATAATTATACCATACCCTTCACAAGGGCATGTTGGTCCTCTCGTGAAGTTATATGAAGTTAGCATATAATCTAGCTGATGTAGAAGGAGTCTAGGTTATATTTGTTAATACAGAGTCTATACATGCCAAAATCATGTCTGCAATTCCTCAGGAATTTAGGGAACATAGCCCAGTAAGATTAGTTTCGGTTCCTGGAGGATTGAAGTTTAACAATGTTGGAAAAGGTAGAGTTGAAGAAGTAGAGAGTGTATCAAGTTTATGTCAGATCATCTGCAAAATTTGATCGAAAAAATTAATCGGTTAGAGAATGATGAACCGGTAACTCATGTCATTGCTGATATATCAGTTGGGTGGGCACTACAAGAAGCCAAGAAAATGGGCATCAAAAGTACTGCGTTTGTACCTTATGGATCAGCAAACTTTGCTCTGGTACTGCAGTTTCCGAAGCTTGTTGAGGCTGGATTCAAGGATGTTAATGGTAAGAACATTAAGTCTCTATCTTTTTCAGTTTCATTTATTTATGAAATTAAAACTGCTAGAAAAGGTTAAGGGAAAAAAAAGAAAAGATTTGAGTGTAGTTTAGCTGTGGAGACTTGTTCATGGATTAGATCCAGACAAATAAATGCCAAATTTCATAGATCAAGTCTTACGAACATGTCAACGGTAGTGTTTTTTTTTTTTTTTTAAAACCATCCGGGATCCAAACTGGCCCGAGCCAATAAAGAGGGCGCAAGTAATAGCTCCCTCCCGAGTGAGTGTTTAAAGGCACTCCATACTAAGGCTCGAACTTGAAATCTTTGGTCAAAGGACAAGGGACCCTTGTCATTCCATCTCATCTTTCGATGATAAATTGCACCATATTTTTAACGGTGGTCCAAATAATAATATTAAAATGAAATAGTTTTATTTCATAAAATGTATTACACAATAATAGCATCTCTTTATTTCTCATACAATTCTCAGCAAGATTCAAGACTTGTCATTCCATCTCATCTTTCGATGATAAATTGCACCATATTTTTAACGGTGGTCCAAATAATAATATTAAAATGAAATAGTTTTATTTCATAAAATGTATTACACAATAATAGCATCTCTTTATTTCTCATACAATTCTCAGCAAGATTCAAGAGACTTGGTGGAAATCTTATAATCTTTAAATTTAAACTATTAACTATGATATCTGTATTTTTATAAAAACATGCACTTGAAAGTCTTCTCTATAGGAATTCCACAGAAAGATGAATTCATCTCTCTGTCAAAAGAAATTCCAGCCTAGAAAACAAATCAGCTGGTCTGGAGCTTCCACGGCGATCCAGAAGTGCAGAAACTCGTATTGACTTTTCATTCGTGAAACTGTAGAAGATGTCAAAATTTCTGACTTTCTTCTTGTGAATTCAGCTTATGAACTTGAGCAATCAGCCTGTAACTTGATTCCTAATGCCATACCCATTGTTCCATTACATGCAAGTAACCATTTGGAAAAATTTGCCGGAAATTTTTGGCCTCAGGACTCAACCTGCTTAACCTGGCTTGACCGGCAACCTAATGGCTCAGTCATCTATCTCGCATTTGGCAGCACAGCAGTCTACAACAAGCAGCAATTCAATGAATTGGCATTTGGCCTGGAAATTACAGGCCAGCCATTTTTGTGGGTTGTTAGATCAGATTTTACTGAAGCAGAATTTCCTGATGGTTTTCTGGAAAGAACAGCAAATTCTGGGAAAATTGTGAAATGGGCTCCACAGGAGAAAGTGTTAGCCCACACTTCAATTTCATGTTTTGTTTCTCACTGTGGATGGAATTCAACTATAGAAGGTTTAAGCATGGGGGTGCCCTGTTTATGTTGGCCTTATTGTGTAGATCAATTCCATAATAAGGATACTATATACAAAAATTGGAAAGTTGGTATTGGATTAGTTCCTGTTGAAAATGGGAGATGAAATTAAAAAGAAAGACAGAAAAATTGGTTTCTGATAAGGATATAAAATTGAAGGAAATGGCTTGAAAGAGCATTAGTGAGGGTGGATCTTTTTTTAAGTAAAATATTATTTGATTTTCATACTAATGCATAGCCTATGAATAGGATTTGAATGGTTTTTGAGAGTTTACATAATCTATAAATGCATTATATATATATATATATATATATATATATTTATCATATATATATATGGAAAAAAATGAAAAAGATTAATTTGCATAGTGTATTGATATATTTTCCATGAACTCTTATCATTTGGATGTTTTATAAAAAAATTATATAATTTTGGTAACTAATGTGAAACTATAGTTTAATTGCAACCAAATATGTCATAGGCAAAGCAAAGATGCCCATTCAAAAATGAATTTTACATATGTATTTTATAATTCTTTAAAGCCACCCATTTGGATCGGCTTAAATTGGGTTGGGTGGTTTAGAAACACTCCTAGCCATAATAATCAATGTACCCAATTACTTTTTTGTTTTTTTTGACAATTAGATAGATTCAATTTGTTGGGAATCTAACTGATCCCGAGTGAGCCCGCAAAAAAATACCGGTGGTAAAAGTAAAATAAAATTACTATTACCACATATACCTCCAATAATTTCGTATCGGATATTGACGATCGAATCCACCAGAAATATCGAATCCACCAGAAATAATAACCACGGTAAAAATAAATAATTACCGAATGCCAGATGAAATCAAGAAACACGCAGACATTTACGTGGTTCACCCTAACTTTTTATGGGCGTACGTCCCAGAACAAAAATCCGAATAATTCTTTCCACTAAAAGATAGTAAGGTACAAAAAGAGATACAAAATAGTGGCACTCTAAGTGTTTCCCAAAAACACCTAAAAATTCAATCCTGCCACTATTTTCCCTCTCTCTTTCCCAATTTTAGGAACCCTTTTCCAAATTTTCTACACTAATTGTGTAATATTACTTCTATGTTTTTGTACATTTGTTCTTTAGGAAAATTAAAAGTAGGAAGAAAGGGCGACGCGTCATTAACGCGCTCCCACCGAATGGATGCGTAATCAGCGTCCCAACCTTTCACACAATTCCCTTTTTTTTTTTTCTTGTCGCAACCTCATTTGACACAACCGTGATTGTTGAGTTTTCCCCCTTTTTTTTTTTTCTCCCACCGATGGAATTGCATTAAATACCGTCCAAACTTTCGACAAATCTCCCTTTTTTTTTTCTTGTTAACGCAACCCTCATTTTTTCTTTGTACGCAACCTCATTTGACCAACACGTGATTGTTGTTTCCTTTTTTTTTTCTTTTCAAATGTGTATGGGTCCCACATGTTGGAGGGACCCCACAACACAATTATTTTTTTGAGTACTAGAAAGGTGAATTCGAGCCTAGATCTATTGCTAGTTCGTATTAGGCTATGGCATGCTGTGCAAATTACACGACTATTTTATTCCAAGAAGACGAAAGTGATGGTACAAAAACAAGGGGCAAAACCAAGGAAGAAAAGGATAAATAGGCTGGATGCTAGATACTCAAGAACAAATTTTTATTCACTTAATGACACAATAACAACTGATTTGCATAAGCAATGATGTAATAAAAAATTAATAATTGTTTAAGCACTTGAAAAAGAAAAAATAAAACAGAATAATTGACATATATATAATTTAAGATCAAGAAGCGCAATGCAGGCTTTTCCCTCTGATCATAATATATCATGGACAGGAAAGCACATGTGATGATCATACCATACCCTTCACAAGGGCATGTTGGTCCTCTCATGAAGTTAGCATATAATCTAGCTGATGAAGGATTCAAGGTTACATTTGTTAATACAGAGTCTATCCATACCAAAATCATGTCTGCAATTCCTCAGGAATTTGAGGAACATAGCCTAATAAGTTTAGTTTCAGTTCCTGAAGGATTGGAGTTTAACAGGCATGGAAAAGATAGATTTGAAGAAGTAGCAGAGAGGTTTGATCATCTGAAAAATTTGATCGAAAAAATTAATCGGTTAGAAAATGATGAACCAATAACTCATGTAATTGCTGATATATCAGTTGGGTGGGCACTGCAAGTATCCAAGAAAATGGGCATCAAAAGTACTGCATTTGTACCTTATGGATCAGCAAACTTTGCTCTGGTACTGCAGTTTCCGAAGCTTATTGAGGCTGGAATCATGGATGTTAATGGTAAGAACATCAAGTCTCTATCTTTTTCAGTTTCATTTATTTATGAAATTAAAACTGCTAGAAGAGGTTAAGGAAAAAAAAAAGCGAGTATTTAGGTAAAACCCTGTTTACAAACCGGAAAAACTTACCTACACTCTGTCTATGTCTCCACCTATAGATCAAACCAATGAAGAATCATGGATGTTAATGGTAAGAACATCAAGTCTCTATCTTTTTCAGTTTCATTCATTTATGAAATTAAAACTGCTAGAAGAGGTTAAGGGAAAAAAAAAAGTGAGTATTTAGGTAAAACCCTGTTTACAAACCGGAAAAACTTACCTACACTCTGTCTATGTCTCCACCTAATGAAATTCAGTATTCTTATTGAAACGATGATATTTCTCATCATACATTTCAAAAAAAAAAAAAAAAATTTACTCGTGAAAAAAAAAATTTACAGTCGTGACTGGTGACTACTCAGTTTACTTTTTAATTTATAAATTTTAGTTTTTAGTGCAGTTTATAGTAATTAGGACGGTGTCCGTCCGGCACCAAAAAAAATGTGCATCCGCCCTACTCAGTTACTTCTAATTATAAATTTTAGTTTTATGATTTATATGTTAAGTTAAGACGGTGTCTCCGGCACCAAATGTGGCATCCGCCGTCGGGTCTCTCGAGACTGGACGGCGAGTGTTACAGGAACACTTTTTACAAAATCTTGAATTTCATTTGCTTGGTTCATGAGGAGCTATGGACCTGGCTTAGGCAAATTTTTTCCTTTACAAACACTTGTCATCAATCCGTATTTTTCTTCCTAGATTAAAGTCCTAGGAGGAGGTCAACGGTGTGGTTACGGAGTTTGTTTAGAGGCTCAGGCCAAAGTAGTATTTAGGTATAGAGGTTTCTTAATCAGTAATCAGAATATCGGTGAACATTATATGCATAGTTCTTTCTACAATTTGCTCTTATGTCGCAAAAAAAAAAAAAAATCCATTCTTTGGATTTTTCCTTTGATTCCAAAATTTTTTCTAACTAATTTAAATTCAATTTAATTAACTATTAACTTAAGGCTCTATTTGATTTATGATTAAAAGGAAAGAAATCATGAAGCTGAAGTAACTCATTCAAAATGCCTTTTAATGGATTACGTGGTACGATTGGATCGAATAAACCCTTATGGAATAAAAAATTAGCCGATTGCGAACCTTCAGGTACTATCTTATTCAATATTTGTTCAATAACTCTCATACATGCAATATGGGCGATCGGTTCAGCCATAAATCTATTGATAAAATTTCACCATTTTTTTCTAATCATTCAGTATCCAAAGTCCACCGGTCCGACTAATTTGAATGCGTACCAGAAAACCCTACAAAGGGGGCAAATCGCTCCTCCCGAGTGTTTAAAGAAACTTCATACCTAGGGCTCGAATTCAAAGACCTCTGTTAAAGGAGAATGGATCCTTATCATTCCATCTCACCCGTTACGAGTAAATTTCATCATATTTTTAATAGCAGCTCAATTAATAATACTAAACATAAATCGTTTTATTTCATAAAATGTACTACACAATAAGAGCATCTCTCTATCTTATGGAATAAAAAATTAGCCAATTGCGAACCTTTAGGTACTATCTTATTCAATATTTGTTCAATAACTCTTTTACCCATAAATGCAATATAGGCGTTCGGTTCAGCGATAAATCTATTGATAAAATTTCACCGTTTTTTTCTAATCATTCGGTATCCAAAGTCCACCGGTCCGACTAATCTGAATGCGTACCGGAAAACCCTACAAAGGGGGCAAATCGCTCCTCTTGAGTGTGTAAAGAAACTTCATACCTAGAGCTCGAATTCAAAGACCTCTGTTAAAGGAGAATGGATCCTTATCATCCCATCTCACCCGTTAGGAGTAAATTTCATCATATTTTTAATAGCAGCTCAATTAATAATACTAAACATAAATCTTTTTATTTCATAAAATGTACTACACAATAAGAGCAACTCTCTATCTTCTCATACAATTCTCAGCAAGATTCAAGAGACTTGGTGGAAACTTTAAGCTTTAAATTGAAACTATTAAGTATGATATTTGTATTTATAAAAGCATGCACTTGAAATTCTTCTTTACAGGAATTCCACTGAAAGATGAGTTCATCTCTCTGTCAAAAGAAATTCCTGCTTGGAACACAAATGAGCTCGTCTGGAGCTTCCACGGCGATCAAGAATTGCAGAAACTCATATTTAGACATTTCATTCGTGAAACTGTAGAATATGTCAAGATTTCTGACTTTCTTCTTGTGAATTCAGCTTGTGAACTTGAGCAATCAGCCTGTGACTTGATTCCTAATGCCATACCCATTGGTCCATTACATGCAAGTAACCATTTTGCTGGAAATTTGTGGCCCGAGGACTCGACCTGCTTAACCTGGCTTGACCGGCAACCTAATGGCTCAGTCATCTATCTAGCATTTGGCAGCACAGTAGTCTACAACAAGCAACAATTCAATGAATTAGCATTTGGCCTGGAAATTACAGGCCAGCCATTTTTGTGGGTTGTTAGATCAGATTTTACTGAAGCAGAATTTCCTGATGGTTTCCTGGAAAGAACAGCAAATTCTGGGAAAATTGTGAAATGGGCTCCACAGGAGAAAGTGTTAGCCCACACTTCAATTTCATGTTTTGTTTCTCACTGTGGATGGAATTCAACTATGGAAGGTTTAAGCATGGGGGTGCCCTTTTTATGTTGGCCTTATTGTGCAGATCAATTCCATAATAAGGACACCATATGCAAAAATTGGAAAGTTGGTGTTGGATTAGTTCCTGATGAAAATGGGATTGTGACGAGAGATGAAATTAAAGGAAAGATAGAGCAATTGGTTTCTGATAAGGACATAAAAGTAAATTCACTAAAATTGAAGAAAATGGCTAGAAAGAGCATCAGTGAGGGTGGATCTTCTTTCAAGAATTTCTTAAGCTTTGTTGAACAAATAAAGAAATTTTGAAATTTCTATTGTAAAATAATTTGAGTTATTGGAAAAGTATTATTGAAACATGAAATGGATGAATATAATTTCTAAATATCTGTTTTTTTTTTTTTTTGGTTAATTAAGATTTATAAAATAAGATAAGCATGTTATATCCTTTAGTTATTTACAAAGAGAAATTCATAATAAATTAATGAGAATAAATACCAACAACAAAAAAAAAAAAGGAAGAGCATGAAAAGAAAAAGAAAACTCTTCAAAATAAAAATAAATAAAGGAAATTTGTAATAATAAATGAATAAATGAATTTTAATTGATATAGTAAAAGAAAAGTACTACTATAAACAAAGAAAAAACAAAACAAAACCCTTTTTTTTTCCCTTTACTTCTCTATAGTTTCTATGTCTTGACTATGTAATAAATTGAGCAAAACATAGATGAGATGACATTATCAAATCTTCATTATTTGCACCAAAAAATGAATAAATAAAGAAGAATTTGAAAAAACTAATAACAATTATTGTAGTCCATTCCTCTTTGAAGTCTTCCAAGTACCCATTCTTCTCCCTGCAGCCAATGTTCAAATGTCTGCTCAGTGGGGATAATAATGAATAGTAATAATTCAAAAAAAAAAAAATTTGAATATTTAGAGGGAGAAATTCATAATAATATAAATTTATACTGAAATATAAAAATTCAGTATGTATCACCTTGAAATTATGAGCAGTGTAAAATTCAGTTGGCAATCTATACTCATCCATCTTCCAATGTGTTTTCTTGGCATTTGGAAATTTTCCAGAGAAATAAGTAAAATGGAATTTGAATGCAAAAACAGTTCCATCTGAGTTACAAATGGGTTTTTCTTGTCCATTTGCTTTCCAAAACCCTATTCCACCTCCAACAATTCTAATTCCTTCACTTCCTCCAGCAAAATCTTCATGAATAAAGAAATACCAATTTCTTTCCCCACATGAAAAGGTCACTGTTTCAGGGGAAAAAAAAAATAATGGTCAGCTAAAAGGAGAATTGTTAAGTTGATTGTGAAAGAATTTGTTGATGGCTGGTATTTTCTCCTCCTTTCAGTTGGAAGATGTCCATGAAATACTCAAACCCTAGTCCTAGAAAATATTCTAAAATTCAAAATTTTCTTTTTCTTGGGAGAGAAAGCACTAAATGAGTATAATTTGAACAGAGATACACAAGCCTTATATAGCTAGATAGACATAATTTCCTTCAAATTAGTTCAATGTCACCCTCCATGCATATCCTTCTTTCACACATTATTGCACCATTTCATACGTATAACTTCTATTGCACTTGTGCATACGATAATTTCTTCCTTATCCACATGTTAGCCTTCATTTTAAAAAAACTTTTTTTTTTTTTTCAATCTTCAAATAATTTGCTTTGGTTGCAAGTATACTGTTGTCTTCTTGATTATGATATCTTCCTCTTCTTCTCCCTCCTCTTCATTTCTTCATAAGGTTTATCTAAAAAAAACTAATTAAGTATCATTTCTTCATTGATACTCAAAATGATGGTGATTTTGCATAATGCACGCACAAGAAATTAAAAAACGACACAAAACCAAAAAAAAAAAGAAAGAAATATATTACCAAGGCTACTGGGAGGCTTGCTATAAAGGCGACTGGCTTCAGTATCTTGAATTATTTGTGCAGGAAGAGGTCTGTTTAAAACTTTGTTTATCAAATAATGAGTCACCAGTTCTTCATCTGTTGGCAAAAATCTGTACCCAACTGGTAATTCTCTGAGATAACTTGTTTCTTGCGCATCATCATCATCCAAAAAAAAAAGAAAGAAATATATTACCAAGGCTACTGGGAGGCTTGCTATAAAGGCGACTGGCTTCAGTATCTTGAATTATTTGTGCAGGAAGAGGTCTGTTTAAAACTTTGTTTATCAAATAATGAGTCACCAGTTCTTCATCTGTTGGCAAAAATCTGTACCCAACTGGTAATTCTCTGAGATAACTTGTTTCTTGCGCATCATCATCATCCATATATCAAGAAATGCAAATCCTTTAATTTGTTCCTTTGTATCTTGATTTCGTTCGTTGAAAAGGAAATGGTGCAAGAGAGCTAAGCTCTTCATTTCCTTTGATATTTATAAACAAATTTCACGATCGTAACGGACTTGAAGTGGAGTGGAATCCTAATATGACTTGGATACGTAATGATAATTATATATATAAGAAATAATAATAGAAATTTGCTTTTTTAAGTAGTAAGACCTTTTCTCAGTTTTGTTTTTCTTTTAACTTTTTTTAAGGATTTCAGGATTTGTGTTGACATTGATGTCATGTCTTGGTATACGACTTGTCACATTGTTATTCTTTGGTATGTTGATGTCTAAATGGTGTAATTAATTGCAAGCTACATAATTATCTTGGAGTGCACTATTGCGAGAACTCCTTGCAATAATATTTATTAATTAATATAACCATTGAAGAAATTTTTTTTTTATATTAAATTTGTCTTAATAAATTGATCCAAGAATATTCTGATAATATTCCTTTTTGGAAAAAATAAGGAAAAGAATTTGTCTCTGTAAAGAAGCATAAGCATACTTTCATTAGCACGTGAAAGGATTGAAAGTGAAGAAATCTAAATAACTTTGTATTGAGGTCCTTTCTCTTTTGAATGTTAATTGGCAATTGCATTGATTTGGTTATCTTATGCTAAAAATAGATAATATCTCTAAGCTGAACAATCCCAATTCCAATTTTGAAAAGCATTTATCTTGAGAAAAAGCTAACAATTTCAAGATAATAATTAATTAATCAAAGGACTAGTAAATTATCAGTTAGAAAAAAAAAAAACTTATTTTGAAGGGAAGGAATAATGTGGTAATAGAATCATAAATTAGAGATCTCATAGTTGGTTTTGTAAAAAAAAAAAAAAAAAGAAAAAAGAAAAAAGAAATAGAAAAAGAGAGGAGTGACAAGTTTCAAGATCAAGTTATCTCCGCTAAAAAAGTTAATATCTATTCGGTGAATGTTATTCGAAGTGGTAAGCTATTCTTATTTTGTAACTCACAATGTTTTCCGTAAAATATTCATCTATCTATATTTATAATCTAGAATAACAGAATACATAAATTTACCTACACTTTCTTACTTTAATTTTGTAGCATCTTAAACTTTTGCTTTTATATATTAAACACTTCAATTTATAAAATTACACCTATTAGACACTTTAATTCTCAAAACTATTTTATTAAATACTTCAACTTGTAAAATCAGATCAATTCAACACTCATTAAGATTTTAAAATTAATGAAAATTATTATTTCAAAAATCATTTTAACACATATCAAGTTAATATTTTATAGATAAAAAGCCAAAAACCCTAAAAGTTATTGATATTATTGTCAAAAGGTATGTCATATGACTGAAATTTACAGGCCCAAATGCAAAATAGATCATCCATAAAGTTTATAGTGCCATAAGATTAAAGTTGCAAAGTTCAAAAATGAATTCATGTATTCAATTAATCTATAACATATATAAACGTGAGAACGAGAGAGAAATAATAAAATTTTTTTAAATATTCTAAAATATCTTTAGTTATGCCTACTTAAAGTATATTAATTTAAAATATAGATAATATTTGTAATATTTGAAATTTGATTTATCTAAAAAATTAAATTCAAATGATTAGCTATTAATTTCTAATTATTATGATTTATATAAAAGTTACAATTAATATGATTATCCATTTTAATTAATTAATTAGTATAATTTATCTAAAATAACCAAAATAATATAATTATCCATTTTAATTAATCAATTTAATCAATATGATATATTTAAAAATTAATAATTATGGCTAATAAAATAATAAATATCTTATAGATGTTTAAAAATTAGTATTAATATTTAATATTAATTAATATTATCTAATTATATATACACATATATACATATGGTACATATGTGAGTAATAAAGTTGTATTATTTTTCTAAAATTTATTTAAAAATTGAAATTTTAAAATTTTAAAAATTAAAAATTTAATATATCTATATATAATATAAATTAAAATTTTTTAATTACTGTTATAGATATATTAAATTTTAAATTTTCAATTTTTAAATGAAATTGTACAATTAACATGTAATGTATATAATATAATAATGAAAAAATAATGAAGACTTCTTAAAATATATTTATTTGAAAATTTTGAATATGGTATACATGACTTGGTAGACCTACCAATTAAGGAGATTTTTAATTGAGAAATTATAGAGAACATAAATTAAATTTTATTACTGTTATAGATATATAAATTAAAATTTTAAATTTTCATTTTTAAATGAAATTGTACAATTAACATGTATGTATATATATAATAATGAAAAAATAATGAGACTTCTTAAAATATATTTATTGAAATTTTGAATATGGTATCACATACTTGGTAACCACCAATTAAGAGATTTTAATTGAAAATATAGATAACATTTGATTAATTGTATATTAATATTTGATTTATCTAAATAATCAATATTTTATTATTTGTACAATAATAAAAATATATAAATTAATAATATTAATTTTTAAAACTAATATTGACATTAGTACTTTAATATTAATTAATATTTTAAAAAATATAACTATATGTGTATATGTATAAATTGATTTGAAGAATTGTAACAATTCTATTAAAAATTAAACTAAATTGTATATAAATATAATATCTTAATTATAATTATTTATTAGCTATTGTATTCACGTTAACATTAATATAAAATCATATTTTTATATTGTAAAAATAAATAGTATATGGGAAAAATTATAAAAAAAATAATAGATTAGTAAAAATGAGTAATAATAACTGCAGTACGTGTCATAATAGAATATGGGACGTAACCGTAATTTTACAAGAACAATGGGACAGCATATAATTTCAGGGTAAGTGGTGGTTAGTCAAAACCCTAGTCCTAGAAGCCTTGCCATCCTCTGTATACCGGGCACTCACTTTGCCTTGGTGTTCAGCGGCGCAGCGGCATCAAAAGCACAGAAAAATGGAGGCAGCAAGAACTGTGAAAGACGTCTCTCCTCATGACTTCGTCAAGGCCTACGCGGCCCACCTCAAACGCTCTGGCAAGGTAATTAAGCCGCCAATGTACTACTTACATAAATGTCTTTATTTGATCGTTTTCTTGTTTTGTTTACGTTTCAGCTATGTCTTTTTAGTTTCTCATTTTGAATTCTTTTCAAATTGTCAAGTTGCTTTGTAGATGATTGAAGCTTATATATTTGGTTATTAATCTCAGGATTTTTTTGTGGGGTTTACTTTTGTTGTATTTAATTTAATGTACTTTTGTTATATATGGGAACTCAAAATGAACTTGTAGGGATATTTTCTTTTGACACTTTCTTGTAGCATTTCTAGTGCTGCTTGTGTATTATCAATCTATTGGACTGGTTTAATATAGCTTGAGTGCCTGATTACATATCCCAGGAATAGTTTGTGAAAGTCTCTGTGTATTAGCATTGCAATTAAAATTTGCGTTAGCTGCTTATTCATTTATTTATTTCATTGTTTTTAGACTTTTCCCAAAGTGATATCATAGCCACATTTTGAATAATTTCATGATTTGCTAAAAGTAGGTCGAGAATATGTTTTTTTAGTGCAGTTGGCTGGCATATCCAGAATCCAGTTTATTGAATGTTGTTGGGTTGCAATGATTGTTTGCAGTTCAATTTGTTGCGGGTGAATAAATAGTTGTCCCATCTCTACCTCTGACTTTAAATATTCATGTCTTTTAAAAATTTTAAAAAATTCATGTTTCCTATGTGAGAGGTCTGATCTGTACCCTTTTAAATTAAAACTTCTATGTATCATTGTTTTGTATAGATTGAGCTTCCTCCATGGACTGATATCGTGAAAACCGGAACATTGAAGGAGCTTGCTCCATATGACCCTGACTGGTACTACGTGAGGGCAGGTATGTCTCTCTCTGCTTCTGTTGTCTAAACCTTCAGACACTGTCTATTTAAGTAGTTACTTGCTTAGTATGATTGCAGGTTTCTTCATTCTGTTTAATTAATCTAAATGGCAATGCAGCTTCCATGGCTAGGAAAATATACTTGAGGGGTGGCCTCGGTGTTGGTGCATTCAGGAGGATATATGGAGGGAGCAAGAGGAATGGTAGTCGCCCACCGCATTTTGGAAAGAGCAGTGGGTCTATTGCCCGTCACATTCTTCAACAATTGCAGAACATGAACATTGTTGACCTCGATCAAAAGGGGTTAGTCTCTTTCTGTATTTTTCCAGATTCATGTTTTCTAATTGGCAGCTGGGTAATTATTCTTTTAGCTTTATAGCTGATTAGCTATGAGATTTTCGGTTATAGTACGAGTAATGATTAAGACAAGCAGTATCTGACTGTTCCTTCTCTATCTTGTACGCTGAGTTTGTTTGCTTAATCTGCTTGGGCTGCCATTTTCCTTGCATATTCAGTCATAAAAGCTTCAAATTGTTTGAACAATCACCTAAAATTTTTCCACATCTGAAACAAATGATTTTTTGAAAAAATAGTTTCAACTTTAATATCAAAATTGCTTGCATAGTAAATATTGCGCTGACAACTTTTTGTTTTTGGTTGAGCAGTGGAAGAAGAATTACATCCAATGGCCAGAGGGATCTTGACCAAGTTGCTGGACGGATTGCAGTTGCTCATTGAGGGATTTGCAATAATTTTTTGAGGATGATGGAAAATTTATAATCTAGTTCTTTGAGTTGAAGTAGATACAGAGAGACCATTGTTCGTTACTTGTGTTGTTGGTTTGCTTGGTGTTGTTATGTTAAAAAACTTGAAAAACGCATCTTGTGACCCTTGAGTATTTCAGTTTTTCTTTTTTTTTTTTTTAAATATACATCAATGATTTATATGACATTCCATTGTAGTGAGAAAGTGAAATTTACCTGCTGCTAATAATAGGCAAAAAGGCACCGATGTGAGGTTTTAATTTATGAAAAAAGAATCATAGCAACACTCAACGGATAATTCCACCTGCTTCTTCCTAACTGAAGTTGAAACTTCGAATTTCGTATTTGCAAAATTACAAAATATATAGAATTAACACTCATTTCCTGAATCTAAATATTTTCAAATTAAAATTAACAAAATTATCTTAAATACAAAAAATGAAAGAGTTGTCAAAATTTTATTTCTTTATAAAATTCTCACCAAAGCTGTCTCTCAGCCACTCAAAGCTCATGTATTTATCATGGTGCAAAAGCTAGTTTGCATTGCCGACTTCACGATTCATAATGGTAAAACTCATGCATTTATAATATTACGAAAGCAGGTTCGTCTGGCCGACTTTACGATCCTTAATGGCGAAGGATGGACAGCAATCTCTGAAGCACAGGTTTAGATTTACCCTGAATGGAAAAATAAAATAAAGTAATTAACAACTTATCTCCATGGACCAAGAAGCATTCAATTCAAATCTTTTTTTGTCATGCTTTTTCTAAAGTCTGGAGAAAGCTGCAATCAGTAGAATTTTCCTAACCCTTCCTTCTTGAAAAGCTAGAGGAAGAAAGTGAATTCTTTTTCCTTTCTGCAGAGGTCAGAAAATTGAATCGTGTTGTAAGAAGAATGTGAGCATCATGAATATGATATAAAAAATCACTTTCATTTTTGTATTCTAAATGAATATTAATTTAAGCTAATTAGAATTCACCGGCATATGATATGAAAAACTCATTTTTTATCACCTAATAGCTATTAATCGCATAAGCTATAATCGATTCACCTTAGAAATTCGATTCAGTTTTGTATATGCCAAGATTGATTTGAAATCGTTCGACCGAACTAACTGACTGTTCACACTTACCGTGTGATTTTGGTAAAAGAAAAAAAATTAGAAACATAGGAAAACGGTTAGTCGTACAATGCTAAACGACTTATGCAGAGAGATGGACCGGATTCTTTGAACATGTCCTCGGCGCTCCTATTCATTACGCTGTCGTTGAATGACCGGCACTTCACCCTGCGAACATAGGGCCACGTACATGAAACATTGAATGACCTGTCAACTGCCCAATCTGCCACCGTGACTGTATAGTGGGACCAAGAAAGATTGTAGTGGGGCCTATAATTTGACACCTTCGCCACGTGTGCTCAAAGATTCGAATCTTGTTTCTTCTTCGTTCTCTCTGGAGACACGCTCTTCTGGCCTTCCCGGCTTTCCTGATGAGAGAATCTTTCTCTCTCTTTTTTTTTCCTTTTCATACATGCACAATTAGAGAATCCTGAATTATCGTTTTTTTATTTTTTTTTATTTTTCGAAGAAAGAAAATGCTTGTAATGAAATAAAATAAAATAATAATTTATAATAACAGTGACTCAAAAAGCCCATACTTTTAAAAATTTTTAATTTAAATTTATTGATTTCGAATATCAATAACCCATCTTCGATTTGATATAAAGGGTTTTTGCTTAGGTGCTTAATTTTCAAAATTCGAGTGCAGTTCCTCCCTTTCACTCTATCTCTAGATTTCCTTTTTCTCCCTAGATCGACCGGCTTTAGGGTTTCATCTTCCTTCGATCGTCTCTTTCTCTGGTTCGTTGCCTACTGTTACTGTAAGCTATTGTTGTAATTATTCTTTTTACTTCCATTGGCAGGAATTAAATGTCATTTTATATGTATATGTTTCTCATTTTCTGTAACAGAAATTGAAGGGATTTGATTTTTTTTTTTTATTTATTTTGTATTGCAAATCTCTGTTTCTATTTTAATTTGATTTTCTAAAAATATATTTTTATTGTGGTTTGGAATGATGATGGAGTTTAGCTACGTTGCTGCGCTATCAATTTGAGTATTGCTTGTAAACAATATATGCCATTGCTGTAAAGTAAAGAAGAATTATATCAAATTTTATGGTAACATTGGTTCTCTGCATTTCTTTTTCGACAGGTGTTGGTTGTGTTATCGTTGTCTGTATGTTGTCTTAGAAGAGATTTGGATCTTTCTTTCAGAGAAGTACGGTGGATGCTATAGTACCTTATTCAAATTTGTGCACTTGTTTTGAGATGCAAGTGAATTTTGTAGTGTAATTTGAATATGGGATTGGTAGTGAGTTACGAGTGAAATGTGTACTAAGTTTCAAGTGTTGCTATTATATTTTAGTTAATGTGCTTTGATATTAGAGTAGTTTGAAGGATAAATAGAGCTTTCGCTGTTCTGTAATGTCGTGGTCTCTTTTGATTATGGTAGTGCTTATAGAATGAGAAGGAATACATTTTGAAGAATGGATGATGATAGAGAAATTGAAATGTTGCTTCCTGGTTGGAATAATCCAATTGAATCTCGCATTTTTATTTTTTCTTGCTTCCTTGCTGCTTTGATTGGTATTTTGACAATAGCTTATACGGCTTTCCAATGGAGAAGAAACATTAATCTAAGTTGGATGAAAGCTGTAGCTAGATCAAAGAAAAACCCAAAGGCAAGGCACAAGGTTCCTGTAGCTCCACATAATTGGGTATTAGAATCTGTTTCTCGTGGAAAGAATCTAAACTGCTGTGTATGCTTGAAGCCCATGTCTCCATCCCAAACTCTTGGACCTGTTGCAGGATCAGATAGTTTTATTCACCATTGTAGCATTTGTGGTGCGGCGGCTCACCTTAGCTGCTCTTCAAGCGCACACAAGGATTGCAAGTCTGTATCTATGGTTGGATTTGATCATGTGATGCACCAATGGACTGTTAGATGGACAGAGATAACAGATCTACCTGATGAAACTTCCTTTTGTATTTTATGTGAAGAGCCATGTAGTGGTTCTTTTCTTAGTGGATCCCCTATATGGTGCTGCTTGTGGTGTCAACGACTTGTACATGTCGATTGTCACAGTAGCATGTCTAATGAATCTGGTGATACTTGTGATTTAGGTCAATTTAGAAGGCTGATTTTATCACCACTTCATGTTAAGGAATTGAACTCATCCAGTGGATTTTTGAGCTCTATCACACATGGAGCAAATGAGATTGCTTCTTCAGTGCGTGCAAGTATAAGAAGTCAGAGCAAGAAGTACAAGCATGGCAATGAATCCTCTGTTGATTCAGGTAACAGTGCTAGCACTTGTGATGCATCCGTTGAAAGCACAGATGATGCCCATCCTAAAGTAAATGGTTCTCACGGTATGGAGGAAAGCTGTAATGGTAGCTTGAATGTGGGGAGCCCTCAACATAGTGGAGTTGTGGATAGGTTGGACTCAAAGCCTAGTTTAAAAAGAAGTGGTTCAATTAATCAAAAGGATGAGTCTCAAATATTAGGAATGAAACAGAAATATGAAATAATTGATATGCCTTCTGATGCAAGACCGTTGTTAGTCTTTATCAACAAGAAGAGTGGGGCTCAGCGTGGAGATAATCTGAGGCAACGCTTGAACTTTCTTTTGAATCCTGCTCAGGTTTGTACATCTCCAATTGGTCTTTCTAGCTCCTAACTTTGTTGTTGTTTGTTTCATTCATTTAACTTAGACTGTCTGAAGAGTATACTAATAAAACTAGACTGAGAAAGTGAACCAGAAAGGAAAACTTTGGTCAATCGAATCAAACACTTCTGGTTTTCAGTTTTGTACTGTTCCATAATTTTTTGATTAACTGACCAAACGTATGTCACATTCATGTGTAGAGATGTGTTTTGCAGAGGCACACACAGACACATCCTTAAAACTGATTAATTAGACTAATGGATTTTGATTATTTGAAAATATAACCTTTCAGCTAATTTGGTTTTAGCACCATCAACCATTGAACAAAATAATTAGGTTCAAATTGATGAACTAATCCTTCTAGTGTTATTTCTGAATTTTCTCATCTTTCAGTTACTTGAAACATGACTGACCTTAATGTCTTCCCTCACCAAGGGCTCTGAATTTTGATTATGTTCAATGATGAAACTGAAAGAACCTTTTTAAGTCCTAGCAGTTTTCAAATGTTTTAGCATGGCTTTATTGAAGATGTTTGTGATTGATTTTACCAAAGGAATGTGGTATTTTGTTTAGAAGAAAGTTTGTGAAATTATTATCTCTAGCTCGCATTATCTTTGTCAATGAAGTATCAGATGAAAGAGATTCTTTCATAATCATAAGCATAAATCTGAGATGACTTCACTACTTTCCCAAGGTAATATGATGACATTGTGGTTCTTAGCCTTTGTAATCACAAAAAAGATCTCATCCAATACTTCTTTGGCCATATATCAGCAAGTTTGTCCTGCTATCACCACAGCGTTGGTTTCTTGTGTACTTATGCTGTTCAGTCATGTAAAATGCATGTATAGATTTGCGATATTTGAGATTTGAGAAATGAGGCCGCTTTGGATCGCTTTGGCTATTGTGATATTCTATTGGTTGTCTGATAATGGTGTTCCTACAATGAACCAGTCCAAACTCTCTTCGACAGTAGGGCCTTATGTCTTAGTTGTTCATTTGGGGTATGTTAAGGACGTGTCTTTCCTGCACATGGGATTAGTTTTATTTAGAGTAGAAACTAGACCTTATTCCAGAGAGACATCTTTTTACCACAAAACCATTAAGCAAGAATGTTCACATTTGATCAATAACCATCTTTTGGAGCTGCTGCATAAAAGTTCCTAAAAACTCTGTTCTTAAAAAAGGGATGCACAAACTTTACAAATCAAACTGTAATATTTTGCCTTCGATTGACTTGGAACATGTGGGCAGCCTTCTTCTTCCTTTTTTTTTTTTTTGACAGTCTTCATTGTGATGCTTGGGGGAGTTGCTTATGCTGATATTTCTTACAGGTATTTGAGTTGAGCTCAACACAGGGGCCAGAAGTAGGCCTTTTCTTTTTCAGGAAGGTGCCTCACTTTAGAGTTCTTGTGTGTGGGGGAGATGGTACTGTTGGCTGGGTTTTAACTGCCATAGATAAGCAAAATTTTGTTTCTCCTCCACCTGTTGCTATCCTTCCTGCTGGAACTGGAAATGATCTGGCAAGAGTACTATCCTGGGGAGGTGGTCTGGGCTCAGTCCAGAGACAAGGTGGCCTTTGCACATTGTTACATCACATAGAGAATGCTGCAGTAACCATTCTTGATCGATGGAAGGTAGCTATTGTGAATCATCAGAGGAAGCAACTTCAGCCACCTAAATTTATGAACAACTATCTTGGTAGGTAAAAATGCTTAAAATACGCATTTGTTAGCCGAATCATTTGAGGGATACTAAGTGCTTTTTTTATGATAAATTTGGTCTATAAATGGGTGTGTGCCTGCTACCAGCTTTTGGAGTGGTATACTAAACCATAGTGATTGTGAAATCTCAACTCAAAGTCTGGCTTTGATCATCAAATCATTGTGTTCCAAATATCATTTCGTAGGGTTTGCTGTGTTGAGGTTTCATACTTCTGAGATCTAATTTCCTAAAAGCATGTCTTGGGTTGCCTTAGTATTTCTAGAAATGTCTAAATGTTTTCTTGTCGTAAATATTCTTTGGCAGAATGATGACTCATTTTGGCAAGCATTGTTTACAGGAGTTGGGTGTGATGCAAAGGTAGCATTGGACATCCACAATCTGCGGGAAGAAAATCCAGAGAAGTTTTATAACCAGGTAACTGCAAAAATTTTGACTATGATGAAGTAATTGAACTGCTCTTTTACTTCTGTCTGACAATCCTACTTTGAAATTTCAATTACTGAAAGTATTTTAATATAACTGCAGTTTATGAACAAAGTTCTGTATGCAAGAGAAGGTGCTAGGAGCATAATGGACAGGACATTTGCAGACTTCCCGTGGCAAGTTAGAGTGGAAGTGGATGGTGTTGACATAGAGGTCCCGGAGGTTAGTTCAACATTTATCTCAACTATTCGGTTAGTAAAATTTTGAACTTCTGCTGATAATTCGCGCATTATATCTGTTTTAGTGTTTATTGAACCCATTGTTGAGAAAATTATCTTCTTGAATAAGATTAAAGTATGTTGCATTATGTGGTGTGCGGTCCTAAAATTTTCGGAACATAAATAGATTCCTACATGTTTTGCAAAAGTATCTAAAAATGATGCTTTTCTGAAGTAGTAGGTCAGAACATGATATCTAGTGAATAAAATGGTTATAACAAAGAGAAGCATAAATAAGTTATGTTTCTCATATGATGCCCCAAACAAGTGGAATTCCTCCTGCTTTCCACCTTTATTGGGGATGCTTGCTTTTTGTTGGACCCAGGAGTAACTTCGCTAGTTGAAAACACCCAATTTCATCATTTTTCACTCTCAAAAAATGGCATTGAATTGAGTTTTCTGACTAGTTTCGTAGTTACAATGAATGTCTTGAATTTTCCTTATGGTTACATCGGGTCTCAGATTTTAGATTAATTACTACCCCCCACTCCTCTTTCCCCCTTCTCTCTCTCTCTCTCTCTCTCTTCAAAAAATGGCATTGAATTGGAGTTTTCTGACTAGTTTTCGTAGTTACAATGAATTTCTTGGAATTTTCCTTATGGTTACATCGGGAGTCTCAGATTTTAGATTAATTACTACCCACTCTCTTTCCCCTTCCTTCTCTCTCTCCTCTCCCTCTCTCTCTCTCTCTCTCCCTCTCCTCCTCCCCCCCACACCCCCCCCCCCTTCTCCTTGAGACCCTTAAATTTTGTTGAAGGTGCTTATGTCTTTTCAGTGTGTTTAGGATTCTGTTAGTTTCTCTGGATTCTTCCAAAGCTTTTAAGGATCTTGATGACCATTGGTGAAGGTTGATTGTGGACTAAGATTGATGGTGGTAGAATAAAAAGAAGAGGCAAAATTTGTCAGAAGAGTTGCAAAGGGTTGTGTGAGTTATGTGGGAAAGAAAAAATAGATGAAGATTAATAAAGGAAAGGAATGTGGAGATGCAGGAGTTATTTTTATTTTTATTTTTGTGTTGATGATCGCTTAAGGAGCGTAACATAGGAGATTTGTTGGTCTAATGGGTATGTATCGGGGGACTATTCTGAAGCTTTAATCCAATTTCATGTTGATGATCTTCAGTCTTTGTTGTCATTGTTTGAGGGAGTGAAAATGCTGCTGTCAAATTCTAACTTGAGAAAACTCAAGCATTGAGGCACTGGACACACACACACACACACACACAGAGAGAGAGAGAGAGAGAGAGAGAGAGAGAGAGAGTTATGGACCACATTATTATGTGGTGTTTTCGCTATTTCTCCTATTTTCATGAGGGAGTGAAAATGCTGCTGTCAAATTCTAACTTGAGAAAACTCAAGCATTGAGGCACTGAACACACTCACTCACACACACACACACACACACAGAGTAATGGACCACATTATTACTTGGAGTTTTCGCTATTTCTCCTATGTTCATGTACTGCAGATTATTTGTAAAGTCTAACTGAGCAATTGAAATGAATAATGTTGAGGCTCATTGATTATTTTATTTTATTATTGTTTTTTTTTTGAGTGTTTGGGAAGGGGGATTTGAACTTGGATTTATTGTCATGTCATATATGCACTTACCATTAGGCTATGCTTCAATGCTCAAGCTCATTGATTATTGATTATTCATATTTATTACAAAATTTTATTCCCAAGTCCTGCTATTAGTCTTGTAGAAATTATTGATTTGTTCTATACTCTCAGGATGCAGAGGGTGTACTTGTTGCAAACATCGGAAGCTATATGGGCGGTGTCGATCTATGGCAAAATGAGGATGAATCATATGATAACTTTGATCCACAATCTATGCATGATAAGATACTAGAGGTTGTTAGCATATCTGGAACATGGCACCTTGGGAAGCTTCAGGTAAAGTACTTTGAAAGTACTATGTTTGTGGTTGTTTTTCCCAGTTGATAATTCTTTGTCAAAAGTTTATTTGTGAATTTCCATCGAGGCCTAAAACTAACTCAAGAGGGCAATATTTGAGGTCAATTTAAACTTGCATTTAGACCACTTTGTTTTACAATTTAGTTACTTGGAAGCGGGCCCAGCTTTCAGTTAACACTAAAAGTTGAAATTTTGTCAATGCTCTCATTGCATTGTGTCACTTTGTTATATTCCCAAATCACCTACGTTCTTTTGATAGGAGATGAGAACATGGAATTGACTGACGCGGACCTAGGATTAGGCGATGTAGAACCTCAATTCTAATACCCAAAATACTATAATTCAACGGAAAAACTAATATGCCTGTAGAGACTACAACCTTATATAGAGAAAATTAAGATAGGAAGCACTAAAATAAAAACCTATAAATGTAATAACCAAATGATGCTTTAAAAAGTTCTAATTGAGTTTTCTACAGAATGTTAATAATTATGAAGAGAAAAGACAGGTAGTGGTCATGGTTAGAAATCCATATCTATGGAAAGGAATATAAATGACATCAATATGTTTACTTTCATTTCCTTGTACTTGTATGAATGACATTGAGCTATTGTTTTGTGTGGTCTAGGTGGGGCTATCTCGTGCTCGAAGGCTTGCACAGGGACAGTCAATTAAGATACAGCTTCTTGCTCCATTGCCTGTACAAATTGATGGAGAGCCTTGGTTTCAGCAGCCATGTACTTTGGCTGTATCCCATCATGGGCAGGTAAGGTTCTCTCTCTTTCTCAGGGAAAATTGGATGTACTAGGTCTAGAAGCTGGCATTATCTTGTTTTTATTATGTACATACGTGTAAAAGTTTCCCCTTTCTTGGATATGGAGGCACGATTCCTGCACTTTGATGTGCACAGTGTTACCTTATTTTCCATCTTAATCTTTTACTATTTACATTGTTTTGTAAATGCTCAATTATTGAGTTCAGGGACCTTTAAGCCCATGAAATCCACTCAATCTGTCATGTATGCATCATCTTGTAGTAAAGTCATAAATGATAAATACAACAAGAATCACTTGAACTTAAATATTGAAAGTGCAACATGAGACATGCAGTTGCAGGTAATTTTATTAGGTTTTTTGTCTCCCGCACTGATGTGAGAGCCCTTGTAGAAACATTTGGATGAAAATTGTATTATTTGTGTTATATTATATCCTAGAACATCTATTCTCAATTATCTTATAGTGATTAATTGTTTTCCCTTGATGTACTTTAGCCTCACAAATTTTACATGAATGCCTCAGCCTCCACTATGCCTGAGGCAGTTTCTTTTTTGGCATGCTTCTGAATGCTCATGCTAGCTCTTTTATGCTGTTTATTGTTTTAGTAAGAGTTTGAACTTCATTAAGTACTTATATGAGAATCTTTTAATATAGTTGTCTAATTTGTCTAGAGGAAAATGAAACTGGAAAATGCATTTACAGAATACAGATATTGAGGTCTAAGAGATGTCTTTATATATTTTGCTTGCCCACCTTAGTGGTGCAAATGCCTCGTATGGATGTCAATAGTTCTGTAACTATCAAGGTCAATGTTTGTTTTCTAGTGCATGTCAGTCATGGTGTTGTCCCTGTTTTTCTTTATTTATGTGGTCGAGTTGGATAAATAGGTCAATATAGCTATCGAACTTTTAAAAAATTATGTGAAGATGCATTTTGGCTTCTTGATGCTATTCTCCAACGTTGTCACCTCCACCTTGCCTTCTCTCTCTTTCTGTTTTCTGTCTCACTCTATGACATGTACACAAATATTCATAATTCTTATTCCATCTGAATAAGTGAATATCTTAAACTATTCCTCTTGCATTGCAGGCTTTTATGTTAAAGAGGGCAGCTGAGGAACCTCTAGGTCATGCAGCTGCCATAATCACGGATGTGCTTGAGAATGCTGAAACCAACCATGTAATTAATGCTTCACAGAAGCGAGCACTTCTTCAAGAAATGGCACTTAGGCTGACTTAGAGGTCATCATCTCCAATAGCCCTGTCAGGTATTGTGAATTTGGTTCGCTGCTTCCTTGTGAAAATGTTGTGCGTTTTACGTAGCCGATTATATCTCTTCATAGGAATATAATATGTTTTTTTTTTATTTTTTTTATTTCTTAACTTGGTGCTTTTAGCTGAGGCATGTTTGTAAATGAACTCAATTTATAATTCATAGTTTTCCCCATGTCGAATATCAATAGAAAGGGGGAAAGTGAAATTTTGGATTTGTTGTTAAAGAAAAATATAGAAATACGATAGAGAAAAATAGTTTTGGATTTGTTTGTACTTCTGATTCTGTAGATCTTTGGCCTGAATTTGAGAGTTCCAGTCGTCAATGAGACTGATCTGAACAGATAAAGCAAATAAATATTTTATATTATATTCACACAAGAAAATTGATTATGGATATCATCATTTATTATACGAGGCTTTGACATCATATTTAGTATTTACGCAAATAAAAAGCATTGGGTGATGACAAGAAGTGTTTGTTCCATGAACAATTTTTATTAATTGTCATTTCTCTGCTTACTCCATAGCAGCCCTTGTTTAACCTTCTTCCACAGCCTGCTCATCAATCCCCCACCAGCTGTCCTGCTTGCTCTCTTGTCAATGGATCTCCGAGCAAGCTGGGAACCCATAATTTTCTTTGGTGTTTTTGCATTTTCTTTGTAAATGCTATCCAACCGTTGGCCGTAAAAGGGGGATTTCAAGTAGGACATGAGAGTAGGCGATGAGCAATTTAAGCTTTGAATGGCCTTGTTGAGTTGGTTTGTCACAGCTCTGAGCTCGAACGAGTCATAGAGGGTGCTGCCATTGTGCCGGGGACTCATCCTGAAAATGGGTTTCATAGCGTGGGCAGGAGGAGTCATCGGTTTCTCCTTCTCACCCGGAATGTGAAGGGATGCAGGCAAGTCTCTTTGCTTCCAAGCTTCTCCCATATGTTGGAGTTGGTAATGATGATGTTTTTGACTTCAGTTAGGCTGTATGAGTTTATCTATGTCTTCCCAAGTAGGATAGCTAGCTAGATTTCATGCTTAACAAAAAAATTTGCTTTGTTTTCTACGTCTTCAACTTAGTTATCATATGGATTTGGGAGTATATTATGACAGAAGCAATGCTATTTTAGACAGCATCGACAGGTTCAACTATTCGAATACTCAAACCTTTCTCTAATAAAAAGGAATTAAAACAATATCTTTTCATTTTCCTTTTTTTTTGGCAAAACTTATTGTTAAATTATCAAGACAATGGTATAAAAAAATTTTGAAATAGATAGGTAGCCATAAAAAGAGGAGAAATGAAACTATATTAAAACGAAGAGGGAAAAAAAAATGCATTTTTAGTATAAATATTATATAAGAAATATATATATATATTTTTTTACATTACATTAAATCCATCACATTTAATTATGATTAATAAAACAAAATCAATTATTTAATAGTAGCATAACATCCACATGGTATTCACATTTTTGCCCTGATAGTCTAAAATCTGATGATCTCACAAGTTCTGCCAAAAAAGTATTTTTGCATCAGCTTTCAACCAAACGTCTCCTAAAGAACGAAAGATGAGTAGTGGAGAAGGGTCAAACCTGGTAAATGACTTAGAAGAAGGGAAACTTTCTTAAGGACAGTGACCTTCAAAATTCTGAGATGTGACCAGAATTTGCTCCGCTGATTTGGCATTTTATATAAGTTGGTACTCTCACTTCAATTTGCATTTTATCAACTGCTAACCCAACTTTAGGGTTCAGATTTGGACTCACAACCACAGTTTCCTTAATATTTTTTAAGTATTTGCCCTTCCCCATACCATTAGGCTCTCTTCTTACAGAATTCTCAGGATCTTCCGACACCTGTCCATATGATGATATTAAAATTTAAAAGTAAATAATCATAATATGCTAAGGGGAATTTCTTTAATTTTATATTATTATTTTATTATATTGAACGTTTAATTTTCACGAACTACTTAAGGGAATTTCTTTTATTAAACAATGAAAGGGTTAGTCAATTTTTTTTTTTTTTTTTTTGGAAAGGATCAGCAATTTCTTTATTTGAGAATGTAAATAATATTTATTCATTTATATTAAAAACAGGATAATTAAACCTAACACATTATTCTTTAACATTTATATCCAACTATGCATAAGAAAATAAAACTTCAACCGCCAATGAATGGGTCTGGGGCACGTTAACGTTTACTTCTGGAAGATCATTAGGTACCTAAAGATAATAAATTATTGGGATATTAGCGTAATAAATAATAACAATCAATTGTATTCATTTAATCAAATAAGTAAACAAAAGTCCAATCAGAATAAGTCAGAAAATACAGTAAATTTATAGCGAATTTAATATCTAAAATAATGCTAATTTTAATTAATTAAATTGTGTTTGATTGGTACAATTTTCATATTTAAGAATTCATTTATGTTTGCGATTTTTTTTTTTTTTTATCTTCCGGCAAAAATACTCTGTACTTTATAACTTATTGCAGTTGAAAAATATTTTTAACTTTTGCCAAGTTACCTGAAAATGAGACTTAGTGATTAATTACATAATATTATGGAAGTAGAGTGAAATTGCAACAGTATAATAAATTCATAATATTTTTCATATTAAAATGATTTATATATATTAAATGTCTTGAATTAAGTTAAATATTCAATTGCATATATTTTTGAGGAAATATAATTTTATAATATTAAAAATTGAAATTCTTAAATCATGTTTCATGGAGTTTTTACTTATTAAGCCTTTTTTATCAAATCATTTTGATGCTCACCTTAACCTCTTTAACATATGGATGAAAGATTTAGACATAAAAGGATAAAAAAAAAAAAAATGTACATTTAAATTTATTATAATATTTTGAGAAATTAAATGTAAGAGTCTGTTAAAAATTTCCATATTTAATAATACTAAAAATAAAATTTTAGAATGTGATGACCTTTGCCGACTCCCTGCCTCCGTCGGTACCATTGAGAGATCTTTTTATTTTATTATTATTATGTTTTTTAGTGGGGGATCTTTTTCTTTTTATGGTTTTCATAAACAAAATTTCAATAATTATTTACTAGTATATATATATTGATGGGATGCTTTGCTAGTGGTAAATAATTAAAAATAATAATAAATATTCAAAGAAAAGTCTTTTTTTCATAAGCTTATTTGGAGTAAACAAAAATCGATATGTCAATATGGCACAAGGCTAAAAAAAAAAAAAACAAATATAACTTTATTTTTGCAATATTTTGATATTTACATTTTTTAGAATTTGATTACAAACGGAAAAAAAAAAAAATCATATACATAAATACATACATTTTGTCCCTCTCAATTAAAAATAATTAGCAAAATAGTTTTTACTTATTTCTATTACCTATTAAACTAAAATACCAACTAACTAATTAATTAAAAATTAAACACAAATATAATATATAATAATAATATAATATATATATATATAGTGTATAGTTAGAAATTAAAATATTAACTCAAACAACAATAGAAAAAGTTACAATACTCTCGTAAAAATTAGCATCTAAAAGTCTTTACGCTCTAAGATTTGATGGGAAATTACACCTCTTGTTCTACCAAAAAAATAAGCCTCTAAACTAACGGTACTCTCTTTTCGCTTCTCTTTATTTTTATTATCAGATAAATATAATTATTTATATTTTATTTATTTACTTTTTGTAAGTTGACTTCACGTTTTGTGCATGTATATTGCGTGGCTGGTATAGTTAGAAATAAAATATAACTCAAACACAATAGAAAAAGTACAATACTCTCGTAAAATAGCATCTAAAAGTCTTTACGCTCTAAGATCTGATGGGAATTACACCTCTTGTTCTACCAAAAAATAGCCTCTAACTAACGGGTACTCTCTTTCGCTTCTCTTTATTTTTTATTATCAGATAAATATAATTATTTATTATTTTATTTATTTATTTTTGTAGTGAACTTCACGTTTGTGCATGTTGTTTGGTGCTGAATTTTGGGCATTCTAAATGGTATCAACACCTTAAATCTTTCATTTTTTGGAGTTTCTTTTCAATTAAGCTCTGTTTATTCTAAGTAATAATAACTCTTTCAAATGGCTTTGATTTCACTCCAAACGACATTTTTCAATCCACCAAAACTTATTCTTTCTGGTCTATTAAGTTTCCTCTTTTTACCATAACTAGCAACTCATTATGGCATCTGGTTAATTCCTTGTTTACTACATGAAAGGTAATAATTCTAAATTTTGCATCTAATGTACTTGTACAGATTTCGAGTTTAAACCCCAATTGGAATTAATAAAAAATGTTTCATTTCTGTAGAAACTCATTCCTCTAATGTGTTAGTATAACTAGGACGTGTAATCTCCTTGAGTCGTAAGGTGTAAGGTTTTTAGCCTCTCAGCAAAGCGCTTTTCTCGAAAATCAAATTTGTATTCTCGTCGGAATTTGAAATCACTTACCACCCCAATCAACATTTTGTTAGTATTTGATATTCTAAAATTAAAGCATACAAATACAGATGTTAATTTAATAAAAAATACTGATAAAAAGTAAGTAATAAATATAACATAATAATTAAAATTAATTGATGAAATATTTATCTACAAAGGTAATAATGTCTTTAATTTTTTATTTATATGAAAATGTAAATAGAAAATGAGGCTATATCCATGAATTTATGAATATAGTTTTCTTGGGAATATAATATTAATATATAAACTAAAAACTAAATATTAAATCTACGTTATAGTATTTTTGTGTCGATCAAACTCTAAACCTTGATGGTCACCGATTACTCTTGGGTTTATTAAGCAAAATTAGATGTTTTAGTATCTATTAACTGTTTCATCAAACAAGTGAGTAATGTTTCCTAATTTACTCTCTCACAGGCTCTAAACACTAAACAAACGCTATGCCACCGAACACCATTTTTACTATCAAAACATTAAAAGTTGTATGAAAAGCTATTGCGGGAACATGGCTTTGCCATGAGATTCCAGCAATAGAAAGCTTCCTTAGTTTTATAAAGTCATATTCAAAAACAAGGTATAGTGATACTTGGAGCTGCTATTCATAATCAATGGATTTTGTCCAAATGCATTAATTGCCAACTTCGTTTCTATGCTCAACTGAATTTTCAATAAAATGGGTAGTGTTCAAAATCTTGAGTTTGGCCGGTTTTTTTCTTCCTTTTATTTTTCAGTTATTTTTGCACCCAAATGGGAATTTAGAAAAAAAAAATAATAGTTTCCCTTATTTGGTACTGAAAGGTCCATTTTGGAAACGTGTTGCATGTTCCATTACAGCTTTTCTAATCTGACTTTGCTTGAACATGTGAAAGTTAATAGCCACACCACACATTGGAGGGGTTGGATCTCTTAGATTAGGGAATTTACTTTTGGGTATTTAAGGAGATCTTGGTACTATAATTTTCCAGCAAGACTACTTTTAGTCTCTCTCAAATTGCATATATTGTCTCCTACTTTAAACCAACCTCTTTCTCTTCTTGGTTTGTGAAAATATAGCACAAGAGATACATAAAGGTAATTACTTTGTCTTTAACATTCATTTTTTAACACAAAATTTCATGAACTTTTGTTTATAGTTAATCTTTTTATGTTTCTGTTACCTGTTCTTGCGGAAACCTATGTATTCTTTTGGGTTATTATATCTGGTCACTGGTCTGTTTAATGTGATTCTATTAACAGTTCCTAAGGAAATGAAATTTGAAATCATTTGTTCAATATAATTATTACTATTTGGTTGGCCTTTTCTTTTTATTAATTTGTCTCTCTATATGTGGGATCCAAAGCCATTTCACTTGTCCCCCCTTTGATCTGAAAGTTGCTATCTTTTTCACATGGTCATTGTTATTATTGTTCTTGTTGTTATTATTTATGTCTATATGATCATTGGCTGCTTTTCTTTTTTATTTTAAATTTTAGATACAGAGAATTGAAGTATTTGATTGCACTATATAACTGTTTGTAGAAATTACCATCTTCTTTGTTTCTTTCAGATGACAAAAGAAATTTTTGTTTCTTTCAGGTTTTAGATAGCTGGAAAAAATGGTGAAGATCTGTTGTATTGGTGCTGGTTATGTCGGGGGTCCAACAATGGCAGTTATTGCATTGAAGTGCCCTTCAATTGAAGTAGCAGTTGTTGATATCTCAGTTGCTAGAATTGCAGCCTGGAATAGCGATCAGCTACCCATTTACGAGCCAGGTCTCGAAGAGGTGGTGAATCAGTGTAGAGGAAAAAACCTTTTCTTTAGCACTAATGTTGAAAAACATGTCTCAGAAGCTGATATTATCTTTGTTTCTGTTAATACACCGACAAAAACTCGAGGCCTTGGAGCAGGCAAAGCTGCTGATCTGACATATTGGGAAAGTGCAGCTCGAATGATTGCTGATGTATCGAAATCGAACAAAATAGTTGTTGAGAAATCAACTGTTCCTGTTAAAACAGCTGAGGCAATTGAAAAAATCCTGACCCATAATAGCAAAGGCATAAAATATCAGATTCTGTCAAACCCAGAATTTCTTGCAGAAGGGACTGCAATTCAGGACCTTTTTAATCCTGATAGAGTTCTTATTGGTGGAAGGGAAACTCCTGATGGCCAAAAAGCTATTCAGGCTTTGAAAGATGTGTATGCTCATTGGGTTCCTGAAGATAGAATCATCTCGACCAATCTTTGGTCTGCAGAGTTGTCAAAGTTAGCTGCAAATGCCTTTTTAGCACAAAGAATTTCTTCTGTCAATGCAATGTCAGCTCTTTGCGAAGCAACTGGAGCAGATGTTTCGCAGGTTTCTCATGCTGTTGGTAAAGACACAAGAATTGGACCAAAATTTTTGAACGCCAGTGTTGGTTTTGGCGGATCCTGTTTTCAAAAGGACATACTCAACTTGGTCTACATTTGTGAGTGCAATGGCTTAGCAGAAGTTGCAAACTACTGGAAACAAGTCATTAAGGTTAATGATTACCAAAAGAATCGATTCGTCAACCGGGTTGTTTCCTCTATGTTCAACACAGTTTCAGGTAAAAAGATTGCTATTCTTGGTTTTGCATTTAAGAAAGATACCGGTGACACAAGAGAAACACCAGCTATTGATGTATGCAAGGGCTTATTAGGCGATAAGGCGCGATTGAGTGTATATGATCCACAAGTGACTGAGGATCAGATTGAAAGGGATCTTTCATTGGAAAAATTTGACTGGGATCACCCAGTTCATCTTCAACCAATGAGTCCTAGTGCTGTTAAGCAAGTGAATGTGGTTTGGGACGCTTATGAGGCTACGAAGGATGCTCATGGAATCTGCATTCTTACTGAGTGGGATGAGTTCAAGAAGCTTGATTACAAAAGGATTTTTGAGAATATGCAGAAACCTGCATTTGTGTTTGATGGGAGAAATGTTGTGAATGTGGAAAAATTAAGAGAAATTGGTTTCATTGTTTACTCAATTGGGAAACCATTGGATCCATGGCTCAAAGACATGCCTGCTGTGGCTTGACTTTCTTCTGCCATGGGCGTTCTTGCTGGTACTTAGCTTTGGGAGTTGCCGTTTCATTCTTTGAATTTTTCCTCTTACTTTCTTTCTTTCCTTTTTTTTTTTTTTTTAAATGTGTTTGTTTCTTTTATTTTACTTTACTAGTCATTATGGCTTAAGAAGCATTACATTATTTCTGCTATAATGATAAATAAAGCAGAGTTCTAAAGTTAGAAAAACTGTTCTTTAGGTATGTTATTTACTATCAGCTTGCTTTCTTTCTTTTTTTTTTTTTTATATATATTTTTCAAGGAGTATTTTCATACTTTTCGAGTAGGAGACTAATTATATTTCGAAGTTCGTGATTAAACCCTTAATCTTGTAAAGATTGTCCGCTCAATTAATATAAAAGCATATGATCCTCTCCATTAATTGAGGCAAATGACAAAATGAGATAATAAAAAAAAAAATTGAAAAGAGAGTGTATATATTTTAAAAATATAAAAAAAAATTATGAGGAGATAACTTAAATTTTGAGAATCTTGGACAAGCTTCCATATGAACCCTAAAATTTAGATTTAATTAACAAATGAAATTCCAACTGGCTTTTTCCAAATCAAGTCAGATTTGATGAAAACCTAAAATGTCAGACGAATGGCCATTGGTATTACTTCAAGACCTTTTTAGCAGGAAAGCCACATTGATGATGGCTTAGATAAGAAATTATTTTGGGAATCCGTTACTATGTAAGTTCAGTTCAACGTTGCTGAGAACAAAATTCTTCTCCTCAGACTACTTGCGGGGGGAAATGAAGGCATTTCTTATTATCATATGCTTCTTTCAGTACTTTATAATACCTCTACTCTTAAGGACTTGTAGCATCTTGAAGATTACGAGGATGAAATATATTCAGCCAACCAATCAGTAGAGATGACATTTGGCGAATTTGAATAACATTTTTAATCAAAATGTGAAAATTAAAGAAATTGAAAATCTTGTTAACCGGTCCAATTTAACTAAAATTAGTAATTAACCAACTTTAATTGAAATAGAAGTTACGGGAAATTTTTATTATTATGCTTAATTAAAATGATGTACTTTTTAGAGGTCAGTTAATTTGAATAATTCGATTAGCTAAATTTTTAGCTCAACCTTTAGTCCATCACCGAAAATTAAAATTTTTTTTAAATTAAACTATTAACTGATTTTTTTTTTTCACCGAATTGAATTCGCCAAATTAATCTAGTTGGCGAAATTGATTGAATTGAATACTCATCCATACCAATCAACACAGAAATTGAATTTAAAAATATGGGAAATATGAAGATGCTAGTTTGGATGAAAAAAAAACTATCGATACAAACAATTGAAAACTGTTTAATTCAAATTGAACAAATTAGGTATGAATTAGACTTGTTTAGACGGAATTTTATGAGCCTCATGAATTAAAACCAATGAAAATAGAGGTAAAATATTTTTTAAATATTATTTCTATTTTATTTATTTTTTCACTGCATGATGAGAAGCACTTTCATCCCAATAAAAATTTATTTTTTATTAATTTCGTTTACAAGTAAACCTTAGATTCGGACATGGGATCTAGGCAAGTAAAATTCATTGTGTTTGTTAGGTATAAGACAGAAAGATAAAATAATCTTGAAGAGTAATCTTATGCTTTTCTTTTCTTTTCTTTTTTTGTTTTTTTGAAATATATATATAGTAATTTTATGTTAAAGATAGAAATAAAAACCCAAACATAGCAAGTCTTTTATAAGTCCAGTCATTTCAATTTACTAGAAGAGAAAAACTCACAACAACGCGTTTTGGTTTTGGGACTGGGGCTGGGGCCTGGGGGTCGGTCACCAATCCCAAATGATCTTCTCCAACAACAACCAAGAAGCCACCGTGCCGTCCTCACCCCGCCAAAACTAAAACCTCCTCTTCTCTCTCTGCTTTGGCTATAAACTAGAACTAAAGCTCAAAGTTTCAATTTTTTTATAACTTAGTTTTTGTGTCAATTCTTTGATAATTCTGATCATTCGAGAGTTAAAACGAACATGGGTTGCTGTTCCAGCCAACACGCCGATTCTAAAGCCAGTAGAATTTCTCGTTGGCGATCCACCGGTATTGTTGCTTTGCGTGACGCTAAATTGAAGGCAATTCCCAATCTTTCTATTCTTTTCTTCTTTTTTTTTTTTCTTTTTGGACTTTTTCCTTAATTTTGATTATTGGGCTTCTGTTAAGTTTGAAATTTGTTCATGGGTTTTGCTCATTCGAATCTTGCTTTGATTGTTTATTTGTTTGCAGATGATGATGATGGCCTTTTATAGCCTTTCTTAGTTTTCTTTTGAATTTTGATCGTATTACCATTTCGTCTTGTTTGTTTGTTTCTTTATGTCTCTATTGATAATTTTGTTGGTTAAAGCATTTAGCGTCTATGAGTGTGTGCAAGGATATGTTTGCATTCCGGTAGTTCATTTAGGACCGAAATGCAATCGAGTTATGAGGGCATTTAGCTATAAAATCAATGATTTGTTGGTTTATCCTTTTATTTAGAATGTATATATGGACAATCTAGAAGTGACAATATGATTCTTATAATATATGACAAATTTACAATAGTTTCCAATTTGGGGTATGGCTGTATGAGAAAGGCAAATGAAATGAAAGTAACTCCATATCTTGCCATTTTCGCTGAGTAAATTATAGCACATTGAATGTGCTGAATTCTTTAATGTCAGTGTGTCAAAATATGAATGCTGATTCTTTAAATACCATATACTGATATCAGCTGTAGAAGTTCAGGTGTTCACATGACTTCTTATGTTCTAGCTTGCAAATGTAGTTTTTGTTGCTAATTTAATTGTTTATTCATTTACTTTTTCATTAACAGACTTTCCCAGATGAGGTACTTGATTTGGACAAATCTGTGCGCACGCTTGATTTAACTCACAATAAAATAGGTAATGATTCATTGCCTTTTGTCGGTGAAGCACATAAATTAGAATTCAAAGAATGACCTGTATGAACTTTGTGGTTTGTGGTGACACAACTGCGAGTTTTCCCTTTAAAACCTAATATTATTGACAAATGTATATTCTTTGAGCTGATGGCTTTTCTTTTAATATATATTTATATTTTACTGCAGTTGATATTCCTATGGAGATTAGCAAATTGGTTAACATGCAACGCCTGGTAAGAGTTATAAGCTTGCAGCTCTCTTTCATTTGTTTTACACTTTTTTTTTTTCAGATAACTTATGGAAAAAGGGTGCAATCAATTCATAAGACCACATACTCAATGTTGGTTCATCCATTTATCATGAATTTATTCATGCAATTCGATCGATTATTGAATCCATATGCTCATAGCATAGCAGTTATTTCTTGGAAATAACATCATTCATATTTATAATGACATTATTACATTCCTATACAGCATTAGCATGTGAGATGATCTTATAGTATATTGAAGTTCAATGTTGGTTTTTATGGCTGAAGCAAGTTAGACAAGGCTTCCTGAAAGTTAATGCTGCTTGTTCTCTTCAGGTCTTGGCTGATAATATCATCGAGCGACTACCAATGAACTTGGGAAAGCTGCAATCTTTAAAAGTTATGATACTTGATGGGAATCAACTTACTTCTTTGCCTGATGAATGTAATATTCTTATCTAAATAAGTAAGATAATTTTATTTTATATACTAATGCATTTCCTTTACCTCCATGGTCCCTTCATGGATTTATCTGCAAGCTTCATGCCACCCCTGTTTCCTGCTTAAGCCTGTTGAATAGGTCCTGACAAATGTTCATTTCCTGTGTCTAGTGGGACAGCTGGTGAGGCTTGAGAAGTTGTCCATCTCAGGAAATATGTTAACAAGCTTGCCTGAAACCATTGGGAGCTTGCGCAATGTAAGTGACTGAAATTAAGCAAATTTATTAATGGAGAGAAGCTGAGCTGAAAAAGTTGAGGATTTAGGATAGTAGAAATAGTCCCTCAGTTATTGTTGAAATGTTGGCTGAGGCCCACCTGTTAATTATCTGTATCTTAGGCATTAGAAATTGACTGAAAGTGCTTTACTTAGCATGTTAACATTTTAACACTATTTGATGTATGGAAAATTTATTGTATCTTATTATTTAATGTGGAATGCAGTTATCCCTCTTAAATGTTTCAAATAACAAATTAAAGACTCTTCCAGAATCAATTGGGAGCTGCTTCTCATTGGAAGAATTACAAGCAAATGGTATGTTAAAGCATATGCCTTAATATTAATATTTTTGCACTGGTTTTCTCCAGTTCAGTAATGGCTACATCTGATTGAAGTCATCTCTATGGGATTTAGCTTGAACAATTATTATATTCTGCATTGTTTTTGCACTGATTTTTTTGTCGTATTCTTTTCCTCGATGTTTTTAAGCCTGTTGTTCTATGTTTGCCCACTGGAATGAATAACCATGTCATTACTGCTTAAAGCTTAATGATCTTGTCCAACTTTGCAGATAATTTCGTTGAAGACCTTCCTGCATCAGTATGCAATCTTGTTCACCTGAAGTCACTTTCCTTAAACAACAATAGTGTGAGCCAGGTATTCTGGAGTTCAACTACTGTCTAGCTTATATGAATACATAGAATGATTTGGTTTTTTCTTTGGCTCGGCGATAGTATTTTTTTTTTGAAGAATAGTGATACTAGAATTTTTGTTATGATAATTAAATAGCAAGTTTGAACCCCTAGTTGAATCCTAATTAATTAACCCAAAACAGAATAAAATAAAGTTGTTCGACATTCAACATTTTTTGCCCCCAAGTAATTAGTCCAAATAATATATACCTATGTTTTGACTTTTGGGGGTGGGTGTAATGAGAGACCATGTCAATATAGCCAAAATTTCAAAATTTGAAAATTTGGCAAATGATTTGGTTGATCTACTGATTTGAATTTTGAATATATTACATTACTAGCTTTTTCTCTCATTATGTTTTTTTCTTCAACCTCATTTAGATTTTAGATTTTATATTAAGATAATCCGCATCAAAATCAGTTCAAAGCATTCAGTTAGTCATGATTTGAAATTTATGGTAATATGGATTTTTTATTAGCATCTGACTGACAATGCAATTTCTCTTTGCTAGTGATTAAGGATCCATCTCTCTTGGCTTTCTAGGTTCTTTGACGGCATAATAGCATTCTAAGGGCATCTGTCAAAAGCTTTGTTTTCCATTGACGGATAATTTATAAAACAATGAAACTTGATTAAAACTGGCCACCTTTGTGAAATATCCACATTAAGTATTATTCATTCTCGTGTTTTTTATTTATTTTTTTTATTTTCCAAAAAGGATATGGTGGGACTTTTTGGTTGGATAGTACTTCATAGACCTTTTTACCGTTTGGTTTTTAGATCCCTTCAAATCTATTGAAAGACTGCAAAGCGCTCCAGAATATTTCCCTGCATGACAATCCAATTTCTATGGATCAATTTCAGCAGGTAAGTCACAGTTCTTTATTGCATTCTGTGTATGCTTTAAATTTACAAGGCAAAAAAAATTCTGCATCTTTCATTGCAATTTGAAATGCAAGATAAATTGCGTTTAGATGGAAGGATTTCAAGAGTTTGAAGCGAGAAGAAAGAAGAAGTTTGACAAACAAATTGATTCAAATGTGATGATCAGTTCGAAAGGGCTTGACGAGGGCATTGATCTATGACAATACTCTGTCACACACCTTGCATGAGTAAGTTTCACATGATTACTTTAATGGCAGCGGTGACTTGACTTTTGCCACACCTCTGATACTTTGTTTTGTTGGTCTCGCATGTTGATTTGAACATCAACTATTTTTAGGCATTTATTGCCTTTTTAAGTCCGTCCTTAGCCATATCTTGCAGTATATATTGTTGAATAATAATTCTTATGTTGCTTTTATATTATTTAGTAAATATATAAATTAACTTCCAGTTTCTCTGGAGCAGAATGCACATTGCAAAACAGAGCCGAATTTGGACTGCTTGATGCTGCCATGCTGAATGCAAGGAATCAGATTTGGATCTGCATAGCTGTGAATTCTGAGTAGCTCTACATCAGACCAATATTTTTTCTGAATATTCTGCACATAGGAAATAAAATAGAATCTGAACTGATAGTCTCTTTGTCCTTGTAAATGTCAACAATAGATGTTTTCGACAGTTATTTAACTGTCTCCTATATTCTGTTGGCGGTTCCTTATAAACTACAGGCTAAGGTTAATTGGTTGAGCTGGTTATGCAAAATACAGAGTTATGACAGAGTTGAGAGATGAACCGAAACCTTCTTCGACCTTTTTCAGAAGGATAGGTGAAAAATGCTGTGCAGTCACGTGTTTTTGCTGCCAAAATGAGCTCCTGTATAAGATTTTTTTTTTTGAGTGCAATCCACATAAGTTTTAGACTATTGTATAAGCTTCTGTTTATCCAATTTTTATCATACATTGAGAAACAAGATAACCAATTGAATTTTAGCTCAATGGCAATAAAATCTTCTTAATTTTAAATTTTAATCAAATTATTATTAATAATAAATAAAATAATAACTTAGATTGTCAAAATTTTTACAAAAAGAAATCCATGACTAAGATTTGAACTATGAAAGTCAGTATTTGATAAAATTTTGATAGCAGTTGCTTTTAAGGTTGATATATTATTGGTTATGCTAATGTATTATATAAATAAAAAATGTAATAAAATTTATTATTTTTAAATAACTATAGATAAAATAATCAGAAAAAATATTAATTTTAAAATTTTCACAATAAATATTTTTCAAAGGTTAAGGTACATGTAGATATATTTGTATTAAATAAAATAAAATTTAATAAAAAAAAATTTCCATGATAACTGAATCTGTTTTAACTTTCAATGCAAAACTAGTATAGTTGTCACGTAATTAGAGTTTTCTTTCTTAGAGATTTTTTTTCCTCTAAATTTCTCAACAAAAATTGTCAAAATTTTAAAAAACATTTCCGCTGCCAGGAGTCGAACCCGGAAGATTTCACTATAATCCAGTTTGTTTAGTGCTACAGCGGAGACTATTTTCGGTTGATTAACCTCAAAATTTTATATATATCAGAATTAGAAGAACTTCAAAATAATTTGTTTTTCTTCATAGGTAAATATATATTTCATTTTATTAGAACCATCCAACATGTATTAATATGCAGACGAGATTTTTTTTAAGCCAACTCGTATAGATTTGTTTAACCTAATAATAACTTTACTCAAAATGGTAAAATAATCTAAAAAGGTTAACAATAGCCATCTAATATCCCTTTACATAACAAATTTCACATTCAAAAAAGTCCGATCAGACTAGAAATTTTGGAGGTGATTATTTGAATTTATTATAGTTTATTAGACACCTATTTTATTGATTCAGATAAAAAGAAAATAAGTTTATTTATTTTGTCTTTTCATATAAGAAGTTTGACTATGAAAGCAAAAAATTAAATATTTTTTTTTATCGAAAGATAAAAATATCTATATCTAATAAAATCACTAATTATATCCTAATTTGTAAAAACCTTTTTATATTCTTCCTCCTTTTGAGAAAATTTTCTCATGTGATGTTTTATTCCCACTTTATTTTATTTATTTATTTATTTGATGTATTTTATTTGCAATGTTTATTTACTTTATTGCTTTATATTTTTAAATAACTTATTTTGAAAATTAACTCTTTTTTAATTTATTTGTGTTGTTATTTCCTCAATTCATCTATCCCCAATGGAATAATGACAAGAAAATAAATTTCTTAATATGTATACTGCTTTAATAATAGACCTTTTCCTTATAAAGAAAAATTCATTAGTATAAAATTTTATGTTTTTTTAGTGTTTTTTTTTCAACTAATGCAATAATAAAAATTCCTTATTTCCATTGACAAAATATGGAAGTTAATGTTATTTTTTTTCATATTTTAGTATTATAGATAGTTTATGCTATTATATGAAAAATTAAGTTAATTAAATTTAAATTATAAAAATTTAAAAATTGTTTGATAAGTAAATTTATTTTCAAGAAAATTTGGTTGTCAAATTATAATAATATTTATAAATATATTTTTTCCTCAATAAATTATTTTATTATTTAATTTTTTATTTTATTATTTTGTGAATGCTCTTAAATTTTTAATAATATAAATTGTTTAAAATATTATAATTTTATAATAAAATTATTAGAAAATTATATATATAAACTAAATTATATTTACTTTAAATGGTTAAAAAACAACAAATATAAATAACTATAAGGCACGTTTGAGAAAACTAGTATATATAAAAATGAGAACGGAGGGGGTAACAATTTGATAGTCAAAAACATCCCTACTAAATTTATGATTGATAAAAATATCATTAAAAACTTTAATTTTATTGGTTGAAAAATGAAGGAAATTTAATTTTGATTAGTTATATTAGTTTTCTATTTAAATCTAACCTCAATTTAATAAAATAAGAAATATTATATAATAAGGTATATATTAAATATGGTAATAATATAATATATTTAAGAATTTTAATTTATTAGTTGAAAAATAATTGTAGTTTAATTTTCATTGGTTATATTAATTTTCTATTTACAAAATTAATAAAATACTATATATATATATATAGTTAAATTACATTTTCTTAGTATAAATAACGTTCAAGAAAACTAGTATTTAAAAAAAGTACTTCAATAATCTTAAGAGTAATCAAAGTTGATTTCTTTTTTTTTTTTTTTAATTTTGTTAGATTTATTTGACCTTTAATGAATAAAAAACAATAGTCTTAGGGATGGAAATGTAATATAGTCTTGTACTGTAATTTTGCATTAGCGTTTCTGATTTCTCTCCATTTATAGGCCACCACATACACGTACTTCATTATACATTCTCATTTACCAAATTAAGAGTGGCAATTCTCGTAATTACACACATAAAACGTACCATTTTTGGGATTTTCCCGTTCTCAGACAACCTATTACAGCTTGACAGTACGGACAAAAGGTAACCCTAAATTTTGCCCATTTTCGTCATTAAAATTTCCTTATTCAATTTCGATTCTTTCTCCTTCGTAATTTTTCTGAGTTTCTCTTTTTGATCATTAAAGGAACTTCCGATTCGAATTCTCCTCCTTTTTCTCTGTCTATCAATCTCAATTTCAACTCTATCTGTTTTCTCTGTCCATTTTTAGGTTTAGGGTTCATAAAATTCTCGATCTGTCGTCTTTATCTTAAGATCCGTTCAATCTCTTTTCAAATTAACGATTTTAAGTCTTGGGTTTTGTTTTTCTCGTCCAAGATGTCATTTTGATTTTGTAACTTTTTTTTTTGGGAGGAAATTTTCGTTTTGACTGATAATTATAGATCTATTATATCTTCAATCAATTGTTCGCCTTTTGATTGTATGTAGAATTTGAAGATCTAGGGTTAGGGTTCCCGAAAGATTAGAGCTTTTGTTGGTTTATTATTTTTTTGGGGAAAAAATTCAAGTTTGATATTTTAATTGATTGGGTGCAAATTGAGCTCAGCCTTTCTCATTTAAGCGATCTGCTCTATCAGTTGAAGGAGAATTAAATTTTTTTAAGGTATAAATCAGTTTTTTTGATTAATTTTAGATTTAAAAATCTGCATATTAAAAAACTAAAAATTGAGGATATAGAAAATAATTGGATAAGTTTTGGATAGTTATATGATCTCTTTTTGTTATTATTATTTTTTATGCTTTTCAATTTTACCAAATTGCCCATGAACGGAAGGAGATGTTGCCATTTGCGCTTTAAAGGGATTGGCCGCTTAAATCATTGACCCCATTCCCCTACTACCCAATAATAATTACAGTTGGAGAGAATGAATAGGACATAACATGTTAGAATTTATGGAATTGGTGGTTTGGTCTTAAGATTGCATCATTTTGATGACTAATGATTGAACATCTTTAAATATACACTATAAATTTTGCTTTTAGTTAAGAGGTCCTGCCCATTAATGGTATTTAATATGAATGGCCTTCGTGAATTGTTTGCTCAAGTATTTGGGTACACATACTGGATATGAAAAGTTCTGGTAAAGATTGCTTTGTTCATGTCCAGATGATTGGCTTATTATTATCGTTACTACTTTGTTTCCACTTTAGCAGATAAACTCTTTTGGTTTCATGATTTCATCAATGATATGCTTGAAAGGCAGTTGGTTAAAACTTCCAGTTGTGTTTTGCTTATGCATTTACCATGTAAATCGATTCTGGTGGTAAGCTGTGTAAATACAGTTGACCGAGTAATAATTTATGATACGGCAGTTTGGATTTTAGACCCAACATATGGTGGTTTTCCACAGAACTTGTTCACTAAGCATTGTTATGTGGTTGGGATAATGTAACAAACATTGTTAGATTAAGTTAACCTTATCTTCAATTTACATGTTACTGCGAATGCTAGACATGGAAAACAAATCATGCGACTTTCAAAGTGGAGTATAATGGAAATTATGCTTTTATGCTTAACACTATGGTAAAAAAGTCAACCGTATCTCCTCTTATTCTTTCCAAAACATAAGAAGAGAATCTAAGAGTTCAAATTTTTAGTAAATCGGAGCTGTTAATTGATGTTGATGAAAGGGATGAGATGGCTGGATTTTCAGAGTAGTATCGAGGAAGCTGATGAATTATTAAAAGTTTCATCAGTGTTCAGATTGGTTAAATAAGGGTAGCATATTTTATGCTAATCTGTTTCTACATTGCCTTGAGCCTTTGTTTATTCGTCATTGTCATAATTGTCAGATGTTTGTTTTTGGTTACACTCGATGAATCTCGGTTTCTTGCTTTCTTCTTGGTGCTTTATGGTTATGAGTTTATCTTGTGCTGTGCTCTTTAATTTATCGGAACTTTTATAATGCAGTTGAACATGGTACTAAAAAGGCCTTTTTATGATGAGGAACTGTACAATATTTCTTCCAAACACCCAAGACAGGTGGATTACAATAATCGGCTGGTCTCTTTTTCAGAATTTGTTCCTCCTGAAGTTGCTTCTCTGACACCTTGTCTTCCAGGTGAGCAGTTAATTAGTCTCTGATGAACTGTCGTGGGGTATGTATTCACTTGTTTTTTACATTCCACGGATTGGTGCTGCCTCTTTTGTCATTGCAATGAATTGTGCTTTATTCAGAATCATGGATCTGTAATAATTGAGAGAAGCAGTGTAAATAGAAGTTAATGCAAAAAAGAATAGCATGATCACACATGCAATCATGTTGATTCTTTAGAAGGTTCAATTTTTAGTTCCTTTTTGCATTGATTTACATTACATCTGCACCACTTCTCTCAATTACTAATGATCCATGTTGCTGAATTCTTGGCTGTGATAAATGTTGTCAAATGCTTAGGCAACCGGACGAGAATATTTTCCTTATTATTTTGTAATAACCTGATAGGTTAATTTATTATTTGGTGAAGGTGAGTGTGGACTCACTGAAAATGCTATTGAAGGCCATGAGAGGCTTGCAAGTGACATAGTCGCTAGATTTCCAGTTAGTGTTGAGAAGGATGTAGAGACCATTGTTCCTGGAAGAAGTTTAAACTCTTCCTCAGGTGGCATTGGTATTAATGAAGAGGCTTTCCATCCAGAGATGGCCATATATGTATCTTGTACCCCAGAATATTTTAGCCCTCAGCGTCCAACAAGGACAGTTGCTCATCATGAAGATATGTACTCTTTACTTTTGCGTTATCCTCCACGAAAAGCAATTCCAATTGGATCGAATCATCAAGCTGATATTCCAGAATGGAACCCTTATGATAGTAAGACTACAATAAAATCTTCAGGCACATCTGGTATGTGTCCGGATACTAACCTTCTTCTTGAGCGGAAAGATGAAAATAGACTGATGGGAACTTGTGTCATTCCAATGCCTGAATTTGGACTTGCTGCTAAAGTTGGCAATGTTAGGATAGACTGCAACTGCCTTGAAAAGGGTTCTATTGTATGTGTCAAACAGCACATTGTTGAAGCAAGAGAGAATCTTAAGAGAATCCTTGGGAAGGAGAGATTTGAGCAGCTGGGGTTTTGTGAAATGGGAGAGCAAGTGGCAGAGAAATGGAGTGAAGGGGAAGAACAATTATTCCGTGAGGTTGTATTTTCAAATCCTGCATCATTGGGCAAGAACTTTTGGGAGCTTCTTTCTTCCGTTTTCCCTTCCCGAAGCAAAAAGGATATTATCTCCTACTACTTTAATGTATTTATGCTTAGAAGGCGAGCTGAACAGAACAGATGTAATTCAATGAATGTTGATGACAGTGATAATGATGAGTGGCAGGAGAGTGATGATTATGGTGACAGCAAACTTGTTACGTCAGAGGAAGATGAAGACTCTGTTGTTGAGTCCCCTATACCTCAAGAAGATTGCACTCATGATCAGAGCTGGAAAGATGATTTACACGTGTGTGATGAGGGTGCTGTGGATTATGATTGTGATGACAATGAGAAGTCAGATTTTCCTTATGATAGATACATCATGAACGACTTAGGAACATGCCCTAGTGCATCACTTGATTATGGTGGCTCAAAACCCAAAGATGACTCATGTGCATCCTCTGATACAGGAGGTTTTTCACAAGGGACCCAGTTGAAGGCTGAAAATGATGACCATTGGCCTTGTAGTGTTGATGGATTAAGCTATGGAAGTGGCCAGGATAACAATTGCGACATCAGAGTTTGGGATGCTGGTTACTTGGTATGCCCTAAAGGTAACGTTGACCTTTTACCTACTTGCAGTATGATTGAAGAGGTTTTTGGAAAAGAATCATGGAACTGCAAGGCAAGGGACGGATGACAACAGCCTGAGCTAGTCTTTTTTGTGCATACCATTTTCAACTAAAGTTGAGTTTGGAAAAGCATTTGCTGTTCAAGGCTTTGCCTTGAAGCGACTGACAAACAAGTTTTTCCCATATGAAGCACAAGAAGGTTCCAATTTTCTGACAAAGAAAAATGAGAGATTTTCCTTTGTATATTAATATGTTTGAACACAGAAGCCCACTTTTTATTGTAAGACTGTGTTTTTAGGAGATTGGTTTTAATCACCTAGGTTTAAATGTATTGTTTTATTACTTTTGAGAACCTGCAATTTCCAGGTGCTCATTAAAGTCACAGTTTTGGGTATCTGTCCTTTGTTGGGACTTGGGAGATAAACTGCTTGTAATGATATCTATGGGTTTCTATAATGTAATCTGTTTTATCATTATTAATAATATTATTTTCCATTTAATGGAGAAATAACATTTGTGAAGTGATCAGGAGATATTCATGTACAAAGGAATTGCTTAGCAGAGCACAGGTTCAGTGTAACTACTGTTTTTTCACAGCTGCTTACACAACTTGCATTTTTTGGCCTTTCAGTTTATGAAAAGTAGAAAATATTCATTTTTCTAGAAAATTGATTCCATTTTTCCAATATTAATGGCTTTTTGAATCATTAGATTATTTTTTTCATCTGTTTTTTTTTTCTTGGAGGCATCTCTGACTATTGTTTAAGAACTTGGATTATCTTTGAACAAAGTGACCTATGAATGATGCAAAGCAATATCTCAGAAAAGTTTATGGTTTAAAAAAAGAGTTGTTCAAAATATAGGCAGTCAAAAAGATTGACATCCACTGAAGTGGGTTTACACACTTTTTTCTGATCTGCAAGAAACAGTAGTAGTAGTGTGGAATATGCTGCTCTTCTTCTCTGATATCATTCTCATTTGGAATTTAATTACTTATGAGAAATAGATGCTTTTTACTATTTTGTCTAATTTATAAGTGCACTTCTTTGCAAGTGGTTATTGTGGACTTAAAATAGTGTAATTCCTATAGCATCTAGTGCATTTTACCACATCAAAGCCTATATCAATTTCCTTTTTTTTTTCTTTTACCCCACCAGAATTTATCATCTCTTTTTTTTTTTTTTTTGTGTGGAATATGCTGCTCTTCTTCTTGATATCATTCTCATTTGGAAATTTATTTACATTATGAGAAATAGATGCTGTTACTATTTTTGTCTAACTTTATAAGTGCACTTCTTTGCAAGGTGGTTATTGTGACTTAAAATAGTGTAATCATATTAGACATCTAGTGCATTTTACCAACATCAAAGGGCCTATATCAATTTCCTTTTTTTTTTCTTTTACCCCACCAGAAAATTTATCATCTCTTTTTTCTTTTTTTTTTTTTTTTATCCAACATGAAAACCATTGAATTGGGTTACCCTTTCTTTCATTTATTTATTTTCACGTAATAAAATTTAAACTTAAACCTTCTTCTGAATGTGAGCTCGAGTCTTTATCGCTTGAATTTTTTTATTGAAAATTTTGTTATATTTTCTTTAATTATAACTGAAGCAAGTGTGATATGTTAGACTCTTCATCAATAAGGAGAAATTTGATCAAAGTTGAGTTGTACCATATTTGTCAAAATAGAGTATTTTAGTGACTGATTGTAGTGTTGCTTACTATATTAACCACCAATTTTGCTGGCACACTTTCTGCCTCAAAAGCAATTAATTTTTTTTGAAACAGTAAGGCAAATGTTCATAAATCAACTACCAAATATTATTATTATATTGGTAATAGTGGAATCTACTTGGAAGGAAGGAGATCTTACATTGACTTAAAAGAGAGTTTTAAGAGTCTAACCTTTTTTTTTTTTTTTTTTTTTGTCCAACCTTTTTTTTTTTTTTTTTTTTTTTTTTGGGCTAATTTTTTGGGGCCTTTCAAAGTATATGTATAATGTCTTATTCTCAAAAAGGAGTGGTGGCTGGCTTCCTTTTTTTTTTTTTTTTTTTTTTTGGGCTAATTTTGCTTTCAAAGTATATATAATGTGCTTATTCTCAAAAGGAGTGGTGGCTGGCTCCTTTATACAAATGCAAGGTATTTCTGTAATATATTCTCAATCTAGATAGCATCTCATTTTGCTTGCAACAACCATCTTCATGGAGGACAAAGTTTTTAGTTGAACATTTTCATAAAAAAATATTTAAACTTTAATTGCTTGAAGCAAGCAAAGTTATTATTAGACTTATTATTCTAATCATATCTCATTGAATCAATACTTTGATGATTAAATACTTGTCTCGTAATATTAGAATTTTAATTTTTGACTACTCTTCCTTTTTTAAGTCTACAAGTTACCAAAAACATAAATTTACATTGATTGATTTTATAAACCTAATGTGGTCAACAAAATACTTCCTTCATAATGTATTGGGATTAATTTATTTACAAGAAAATCTTATAATTCTTATAATTATCCATCAAATGGTAAGTTTTTTTCTTTTTCTTTTTGGTTAATCTATAAACCAATTGAAAAACATATATAAAAGATATTTTGTTCAATCTTTGGCAATCAATTCCATTGACTTTTTCCATATCTTTAATAAATTTCTTGGTTTTTTATGAATCCAAGGATCACATGTGGTTCATGCTTGTGGGTTTTCAACACAAAATGGGCATGAATTATACTGGCTTGACTGAGTCCCAATCTTTGTTTAAAAATGGGTTAGTGGGTAGAAATTAATGTCTAAATCCGGGTTCATGACTTCACTTATGAACCAAACCAAAAAAATTAAAGTTTCTTTAAAAACTGTTTCGCATTTATCTCTTTTTTTTAAAATGAATGATCAGAAATATCCTCATTTCAATAAAAATTCTCAATTTCATCGATTTATTTCATAAGTAAGGCATGGACTCGATCTAGGCAAGATGGGTTAGTGGGCAGAAATTAATATCAAATACAATTAGTAGATAGACTTGGCTATCCTTGTACTAGTTTTATGTATGTGTCTTTAGGAGGCAAATGGAGCTTATAATGCAAGATTAGAAATATGTATGTGGGTTTAGTAGAAATTGACCTCCATTATTAATTGATTAACAAGTATTAAAAATTAATTAAAACATATGTTTAAGATTTGTAAGTGGGTAGAAAGCTACTCTACATGTCTTGCATTGCATGAACCAATATTTGGTTCTAACACCCACATGGGGTTTGGATAAGGAATATGCTACAAGTCATTAGCTAAAAGCAACAATTAAACAAAAATTAAGTTAATTAAGAGGTGATAGTGCTGGTGTGCTAACTCCAAACTACCTCTACCATCCAAATAAAGACTAGGTGAGAAATGGGTCCCATAGTAAATTAACATTATATTTTTGTTAATTAATTTCTCAAAAATATATCATTTTAATTATATTCTTTTTTTTTTCCTTTTTCTTTTTTCATTATATTTGTTTTTATGTCCACTCTTTTTGAGTATTCCCTAAGCATTTCTGGTGTAGACTTGCTCATCAACACATGCAACATTATTACTCATATGAAGGAACACATGCACCTTTATGATTAGGGCATATATTATATAAATATATACTACAATTATAAAGTTCATTTAGTGCATAATTAATTTTTTAAAATTGAAATATGTTTTAGATTTAAAATATGATGATTAAGAATATAATTGTGCATGAAAATTGTGTTTTTTTTTTTTTATTTAAACATGATAAATATAGATTTCTATATACATTTTTCAATAAAATCAAAATTCATTTGTTTCAAACTCAAAGCATGCTTTTCATTGTTTTGAAGCTAAATAGCTACTTAAGCTTCAAAAAGCTGTTTGAGTAAAGAATGCCCTAACCTCCAAGACTACTATATAATGAGGATAATTTGATTAAAGCTGAATATGCTTATAACTTATGCAAGCTCTTTAATCATTTTATAACACACATATACAAGTTGGGTAAAACCCTAATTTGATCCATTAAGCAAAATCAAACTGTGTCTAATTAGCAAGGTTTTGCTTAATTAAGAAACCCATTATCCATTTAATCTAGTTAAAGTCTATTTTCTTTTTCAACATATAATTTATTAATTTTTGCTTTTGTGGAAAATTTTCACTAGAGGTAAAGCATCATGTGCCTATCCAACTAAGATACTTCCTGTTTGATTAAATTTTAAAGATTTGATTTTGCAATCTATGGAATGAAGCAAAGAAATTCTTAAAGCAGTACATTTGTAAAGGTAGCTTGGAAATTGAAGTCAACATAAAAATCCCTTGGGTGGTGACAAAGGAAAGAATGAGAAAAAAAAAAAAAGAAAAACCCTAAAATTAGAATACAAGACATTATGAGCATGGCATTTTTTTAAAGACTGTCATTTTTTATTACCGGTTTGGTCTCTGTTTTTTACCTGCGAAAAGACATTTATACTTTTACTTGCGGTAAATTTGTTGAATATATATATATATATATAAACATAATTGTTTTATAAAACAAAAACAAAGAGAGCAAGCATAAAGGGAAAGTAGGGCATCTTATCTTAAGAGTTGATAGAAATGGTAGCAGGCAGGGCATGGCAGAAGACAAGAGGGTGGCCTCTAATCTTTCCTTGGAAGGTGTCTACTGTCTAGTTGTCCATTTAAGCATCACTTTTGGAGGGCCAACACTCTTCACTCTCAAGTGAAGTTTCTACATACACTCTTCATGGCCATCACTCATTACTCTTTTATATTTATATGTATATACTATATTTACATTGCATATCAAAGTGAAGTTTCTTACATACACTCTTCAATGCCAATCACCATTACTCTTTTATATTATATGGTAATAACCTATAATTTACCATTGCATATATATATATTATATATATATATATAATATATATATATATATATATAAATATGTGATGCTTGTATGTAACTTTTAGGTACAAAGTAACAACACTTTACAGTCTAGTTGTTGGACATCTCTTCTCACTTTTTTCTCTAAATATTAAAAATTAAAAATTAAAAAAAAAAAAAAAAAAAAAAAAGGAAGAAAGAAAGAAAGGTGTGTTGCTGTGCAACCTGCCCAAACTTCCCAAGTATACACCAAAAAGAAAGCAATTCAAGCTGGCATGTCCTCTTGTCCACGAATCTGGTGCAGAATTGGTAATTTTCAACTTGGGTAATTGATTATTTCCTTTTCAGTTCTTTTTTTTTTTCTTATATAATGTTTATGGTACTGATAATATTTCTCAAGTAATCATAAGTCTCAAATAAAAAAAAAAAAAAAAAAAAAAAAAAAGAAAGAAAGAAAGAAAGAAAGGTGATCAAGTCAATGCTGTGCCAACCTGCCCAAACTTCCCAAGTATAACACCAACAAGAAAGCAATTCAAGCTGGCATGTCTCTTGTCACGAATTCTGGGTGCAAATTGGTATTTTCACTTTGGATATTGCAATAATTATTTTCCTTTTCAGTTCTTTTTTTTTTTCTTTAATTTTATGGCTACTGATAATATTTCTCAAGTAATCATAAGTCTCAAATAAAACATAAGTAACACGAGAAGAATTCAATTTGATTATTTTTTTAATTTTTTAAGAACGTAAAAAATAAGAGAAGTATAATATTCTGAATTTAAATCTTTTAACCATAAATATGACGAGAATCGTACACCGCATCTTTGGTAAAATTAACTGTTTTGGTATTGTTTGAGTAGTATTTAACTGTTTGAGTAGCTAATAGTTGTTTAAGTAGTTTTTCAAAAAATACTAAAGGTTAAACATTATAGAAGTTATGTTACTGAACACTATAAAAAATATCGTTAGCATTTTGACCAACACAGCCATAATAAAAAATAATTTCTATTACGTAACTCTCTGTGTTTATAATCAATTTAATCTCATATATATAAAAAAAAACAAAAAATTGAAAATTATTTGATGTTGCTAAAATACCAGCATAAATATTAAAGTATTACAATGTTCAGTAACCTGCTCTTCAATGATTTTGCTCTTTATTAAAGTATTAATTAATTTTCATTAAAAAAAAATCCATTCTAAAACCAAGTTAATCATAAAGCTAGAATCTTAAATAACAATATAATATAAACTTGAAGAAGCTGTTAATCAATAATTGGACTTTGGCTAGCTCCCAAAATAATTATGCTATAAGCACACACATACAATACAAGCCATACTCACTGGCTAATGTGCATGCACATGTTAATTAAAAATATTTTAAACACAAAGCAATAGCAAATTAATAATTAATTAATATACTCTAATTACAGCTAAACAATGCACTAAGGTGCCGGCAAGAAGGGCACAAAGCAAGGGATTTATGAGGGAAATAACATATTATTATCTTTAATTCTTTTTTTAGGGATTTTGATTAATTTTAATTTTTTGTGCCCTAATAAGACATTAACACTGCGGTTAGTGCAAGAAAATTAAAGCTAGCCGGCTCTATGCTCTCTTCTTCAAACAAAGGCCGGCAAGGCTCTCAACAATTACTCAATATTACCTAATTAACACCTCACACTTGCTTAAATTCTGTGTATTAGTTAACAAAAATTGGCTTTATATATACATATAGATTCCTACTACTAAATATATTTTAACTATATATGATGGACCCACTTTTTTTATTTCTTAAATGTACGTTATAAGAGAATCTCCGATGTTAATATGAATTGTGGCTGATTTATCGTATAAATTAGAAAGTGTAAATGGCGATGTGGTTGGATGTATATTTATATATGTTGAATTTTCAAAATCTCTCTTCAAGTTACTAGTTTTGAATCATCTTCCATCTTCTTTTTTCTTTTCTTTTCCATGCGAACAATTTAATATGCAACTAATCATTAAAGAGTAATAAATCTTCATATTGTCTAATAGACTTTGTAGGACGGTGCAATATATGATGTCTATTTATTTTTTTGAAACTTCAGCTTGACATACCAAATAGACATTAGCATTGTAAAATATTTTTAAAAAGATCTTTCCATTTTTCTGATATGGCAATTAAAAACAGCAATACACATTACCATTTGAGATGCTCTAACGAAAAGTTTATAGTGATTTAAAAGTTGGAATGCTTGTAATACAGAAAGAGAAGAATTCAAATCTACATACTAATTTTTTTTTTTTTAACAAAAATAACTATATTATTGTTAACAAATACTCTGTGTGAGTCGTCTAGAAAGTTATTCAGTTATAATTTTTTTTTTTAGTATTAAAAATGGGGATTTAAATATGAATTTATTATCAAATCGTAAGTATACTTACTACTAGATTAAGTCTATGTGTGCTATTCGGTTATAAATTTGAACTCCATGTAAAGCCAAATTAAAGAAGAAAAGAAATATTCTATATTGCACCAAAAAGAATTAATTGGCTACTCAATTTAACACCTAAATGGCCTTTGGAAGCAAAGAAAAGTTAATTGGCTACTCAATTATGAGTATATTAAAGTGTTTTTTTTTTTTTAATCCCACTTCATTTGTCAGTTTAGAATTTTTTTTTTTTAATGTTTCAACTAAATAAGCATTAATTAAATAGTTGAGAAATTAATAAAAGAATAATTTAGTCGATTAGAATTTATTTTTTCTTTACAATTCAAGTTACCTAATGATTTTCTCTCATGCAGTTATTTTAAATAACACTCGTAGTGGGACATAGATAGTATAATGATTTAAAATAATTCTTAATACTCGCCAAAATTTAGAGTATTTAAATGTAATTATACTAGAGGAAAATAATATTAAATTAATAAATTCCTTAATTTCAAGGCATTTTCAGCAGACTGAAAAAGTAAATCCAATTATATAGAATAATTTAAAATTTTTCTTTTTAGAAGAAATTTCTTTTAAAAATTTTTTTTAATATTATCATGTGTATGTATGTAAAGGGATTGAACAAGTGGATAAAAAAAAAGTAAACTTAGTATGATAATACGACAATTAACTAGAGATTAAAATAAAAAATCATATTAAGAATAACTTATAATTGACTAAATTGTTAATGAGGCTTCAATTCGATGGTTAAAGTTGAGGTCTTTGGATTAAAGGGGTTACAAATTCAATTTCTATTCATATGGGTAGTTGTTGAAAATTTACAAGAATGTTAGTATTTGATTAGTTTACTTAGTATGGTAAATATAAATTTAACTTTTTGATTCTTTCGTAGTTTAATTGGGCGAAGTATTATTGTAGATTATACATCAAGAGTAGCTCTCGATTTGCTTCAAGCTTCCTTAACTCAAAGATATCAGTGAAAACTTTGATAGTCGGGAGGACTTTAAGGGCGAGCAAATGGTCAGTTCAATTCAAATCAAATCAAATCGAGATAAAAAACATAAATCGAAGTTTTTTGTCAACAAACCAAACCAAACTAAAATTGCCTTTTCAATTGAATCGAGCCAAATTTTGATCAATTTTACCATTTTAATTCAATTTTAAGCACAACCAACGTATTTGTACGAAGTCGAATCGAATCAAAATATAAATACCGAGTCTCTCTTAATTTAACTGATCGAACCAATCCAAAATGAATCAGTTTGATTTTTGATTCAATTCGGTCGATAAGTTTGCACATTTCTAGAGGACATAAACTTAAAATACTCTTTGCATTAACGAGGGGTAACCCTAATTTTAACTTGATTAGGGTAAAACTACCTAGTTGAACCTTTTTTTTACATATAAGTACTATTGGTCCATTGCTAAGGGGGAAAAAAAAAAAAGGAAAAGTCCAAAAGAATAACGGCCGGAGGGTGGAACTTTTCACTTGGTATGTGTGAGTGAGAGAGTAGGGCTATAGTATTCCTTAATAGCAAGACAAAGGAAGGAATGGTTAGGGGGAGGTGGGGCAGTTAGTTGTAAGTCGGTTCTTGTATCGTAGGGTATGCTCAAGTGGACAAATCTTGGCCGTTTGATTGATGGTGGCGTAGGATTCTCAAGTTGAGTACACGTGCTCCCTCTCTCTCTCCCTCTCTCCTTTACCTCTTTTTATCTTTGCTTCCATGCATGGATTTCTCCTCCTAAATATAGTGAACTTGTAGTTGTGGAGAGAGAGACACACATACAAAGAAATAGTCACTTTCTCCCTCTCTATCTCTCTCTCTCTCTCTTTTAGTATTTCTTCTTTGGCTTTGTTCATTGCTATCATTAACAACAAAGGCAACAGACCCACACACTTCTTCCAATTTTCTTGATCTTTTAATTCTCTCTTGAAAATTTCAACTCTCAATGAGCAGCTAATAAGCTAAGCTAGCTGCCATTATACATTTACTTCTTCTTCTTCTATAAAACAGAGTCCTGTGTTTTTACATATATCTCTCCGTGATTATTATTTCTTGTTACATCTCTGGATCTTTTTCCTTTTTCTTGCTATGAAATCTAAGATGGCTTTTTGCCCAATTAGCTCAAAAAGATGATCTGACACAATTACTCTACAGATTTGAACTTTCTCCTTGTTTTTCTGATCTGGGTCTTTTCACTACATCCTCTGTTTCATTACCATTTTTGTTTCTTTTTTTAATGTAATTGAAGCATTTTGCTTCTCTGATCTGTTTTCTTCTTGAATTCTTGAATATTATATTTGTGTGATTCAAAAAATCCGATGAAAGAAGAGCAAGAATTGTTCAAGCACGTATGCAAGTTCTGTGGCAAAAGTTTTTCTTGTGGTAGATCTTTGGGTGGTCACATGAGGTCTCACATGATTAATGACATTTCAGCTCAAGCTGATGGTACTAAGCTCACCAAGAAAAAGCTCCCATCTCTGCCTACCAACAACGACAACAACAACAACAATAATAATGGAGCTAATTATAGCAATACTATTAGCATCGAAACTTCTGGTTATGGTTATGGTTATGGTTATGGGCTCAGAGAAAATCCAAAGAAGACTTGGCGAATTGCAGATCATTCAAGTGAAGATAATAGTTCTTCCCTTGTTGATAAATCTTGCAAAGACTGTGGCAAAATTTTCCATTCTTGGAAAGCTTTGTGTGGTCACATGAAGTGCCATTCACTAGAGAAAGAAAAAGTTTTGAACAATAATAGTATGGAAGAGGAGCAGCAGCTGCAAGATTCTTCAACTAGTGCTAATAACCAGAAGCAGCTGGTTATGGATAGCCAATCTGATAATGAGACCACTACTGCTGCTCCTAATAGAAGAAAGAGATCAAAAAGGCGAACCATAAGGTACATGGGGACTACAAATTCTTCTTCGTTGTCATTTGCTAATAATACTGCTACTACTACTAATAATAATAATAATGCTTCGTCCTCTGTGTCTGAAATTGAGCAAGAACAAGAAGAGGTTGCTATGTGCTTAATTATGCTTTCCAGAGATGTTGGTCAATGGGGTGTCTTGAATTCTGTTTCTGCTGATTCTTCTGATAACAACTCTGTGTCTTTTGAAACTAATAAGAATAATCTTGTTACTTCTAATCCTACTGAGACAGTGAAAGTTGAAAGCAGGAAAACAGAGTACTCTGTCTCTAGGATTTCAAGAAAAGGGTTTATCAAGAATGATGATACAACCAAGAAGCCAAATCATGATTACGATGAATGTAAATTTGAATTGGGAAAGAATTTGAGCAAAGAAACAGAAATGGTTTCAAAAAAGAGAAAATTTGCGGATTCATTTGATCCCGAATTGAAGTCAGAATACTTAAAGAATTCTGATAGAAGCAGTAGCAGATTTGAGTGTACTACTTGCAATAAGGTTTTTCACTCTTACCAAGCTTTAGGAGGCCATAGAGCTAGTCATAAAAAGACCAAAGGCTGCTTTGCTTCAAAAATTGACAGCAGTGAAAATAGCATTGAAACAGAACAACTATCTCCTGACAGAACACCAACAGAGAGAAATAAACTCACAATAAAATCTGTCAACAAAGAAGTTTCTCTTGATCATCAATTGGCTACAGGTTATAGTGAAAACAAGGCAGAGACAAGTTATGGAGCAAAGAAGAGTAAAGGACATGAGTGCCCAATTTGTCTCAAAGTGTTCCCATCAGGACAAGCATTGGGTGGTCACAAAAGGTCTCATTTAGTGGGAGGTACTGATCAGGCTAAAACTAACCAGACAATTTCAATTCAAGAACCAATTCCACCAATTAAAGACTTTCTTGATCTTAATCTTCCTGCTCCTGTTGAAGAAGAAAGCAATGGGCTTGTTGGGTTTAATTCTTGGTGGATTGGAAGCAGCCACAAGCATGAACCCCTTGTAGGTTTGATCTCTAACTAAGTTTTCACTCTCTCTCTCTCTCTCTTCAATCTTGGCCATCCATTGTTTTCAATAAAAAGCTTCAAGAAAAGAGTGTATAGATTCATTCATTCTTTCAAATATTCAAGAATTAAACAAGGTATTATTTCATCTTATAGTCTTTTGACTTAAAGAGTTAAAACCAATGTTAAACTCTTAAAGAATTTAGCACCATTAATATTGAATTTGAATTCTGATCAAAGCAATAGCTTAATAGTACTGGATTTGTGTTTGGAATTATGAGATTGTTATTTGAAGTGCTAATGATTTCTAAATGAGAAGCAAGCTAGATAGTTGCTGCTTCTTGTTAATTTTTCTTTTTCCCCTTTCTTTGGGTAGTTATATTTTCTTGGCATCAAAGAGAAATGAAATGAGTGAGGTGTTGAAAAATTTGGATGGGTGAGTGAAGTCATGAGAAGGTAAAGTGATTTTTATAATGTACACAAGGATAGCATGTGAGCTCAAAGGTGGTTGTTTAGTCACCTACCATAAAACATGACAACACATCTTTCTTACTTCTCCTCTCTTTCTCATGCTCACTATACTATATAGGAGAGTTAATATATATATAATGCTTAAATTTTAACTAGTAGTGGTGTTTATTTAATGGCTAAGCTAAATAGATATAGCTCACTATAATTGGGACCACTTTTACTAGTTTTAGTGTTGTTTTTCATTAGCTCAGCAACACAAAATTTTTGATAGAAACTTAAAGATAACTCTGACCGTTAATCACGTATTATCATTTTATCACAATAAAATGAAAAGTAATAGGCTATGGAAAAACTTATCCAGACTGGGTCTATGACCCATTTATGATCCAAAACAATGAAATTAAGGATTTTTATTGGAACGAAAGTATTTTTCTGAAAAAAAATGATAAAATCGGGGTACTTTTTAAAAAATTTTTAATTTCATTTATTTGGTCTATAAATTGGGATTATAGACCCGTTTAGATAAATATTTTCCAACGGGGGGGCTAATAGAAAGTTTGAAGACACCATATCTCAAAATATAGAATCAAAATCTAACCAAATCAAGAATAGTTAAGAGAAAATCTCAAACACTAATTAAGCCTAGCCAAGAATAAGATTTAGTTATAATAAGTATTTTCAAGCTGATGGGATGCCTTAATATTAGGTATAGGTGCACAAATTCTTATGTGGACAGGCTAACCCTATCTTCTCAATTTAAGCACAAAAGGGTATATAATTATGGTGGGTCAAAAAATTGTGAGCAAATCTTAGCACAAATTCTCACGGGCAGCATGAGTAAATAGTGTGCCTAATTTGGCCAATGACTTAGATTAATTAAAGTGACTCTATTTTGTTATATTCCACATATCTCATTTTGCGATATTTGAGAATCGCACTGAATAATCCAGTGTAAGTAAGTCCGGTATGATTCTTTTCGGATACTGTTTACAACTAACCAAATAAGAATTTTCAAATGTTGGTCCATATAAATTCAGCATCTTTGGTATAGTTAGACTTGTTAGACCATAGAAAAGTAAGTGAACTAATTACTTTTTTACTTCACTTGCCATGGAATCTAGCAATTGATGCTTCTTTGTCCAAACTGATGCAAAGGATCAACTTCTACTCTCCTGTTAAGCCTTTTTTTTTTTTTTTTTTTACCAATACCAATAAAATTAAATGTTGGCCATATAAAATTCACAATCTGTATAGTTAGACTTGTTAGACCAATAGAGAAAAGTAAGTGAACTAATTACTATTTTACTTCACTTGCCATGGAATCTAGCAATTGATGCTTTCTTTGTCAAACTGATGCAAAGGATCAACTTCTACTCTCCTGTTAAGCCTTTTTTTTTTTTTTTTTTTTTGGGTTCAACATTGTTAAATTAAGCCAAATTGAGAATTTGATAACTTTTTTTTTTTTTTTTTTGGGTTCACATTGTTAATTAAGCAATTGAGAATTTGATAAAGAAGGGATCTTTTAATAAGGAATTGGAATTTAACACCTATACAAGTAACCCTAATTCATCAAATTTTTTGGTTTTATTTTTTAAATTTTTCTTTATTTTGTTGGGCTTTTTCAGATCTAAGCAAAGAGCATGGCTGCACCTTGGCCACATCATTTTAGTCAACTTTAATACAAAGTCAACTAGGTCATTGAAAATATGGGTTAATTTTCTTTAAAAGCCAAATTGGATAATTTATATTGGGGAATTTCAACTTGCTTGTCTTTGGTATTTACAAAATAAAAAATTCTCAAAATATTAGGAATATTCCTTTTTTTTTTTTTTCTAAAGAATTGTGGTAATTCATCTAGAATTCATAAGCCCATAGAATAAGATTCTTGGATAATATTTAATTTTTTAAATATACTTTTGCTAGCCATTTCTGAAATCAGAATATGTCATGCCTATGTGATCATCACATCATTAGTAACTTTTTTTATTTGTCAAGCAGGATGAAAATTTTGTATGGATAGAAATAAACCAACTCATATTGGGAAATCCTAAGCAAATGTGAGTCTAGAAGTCAAACCTAATTTATTGTTTGGATTAGATCTAAAAATTACTAATAAAAAATTAAATAAACTCCTTAAATTAATTAAAATATATACATTAATAAACATATTTATTTATGTTGCTTTTTTTTTCAGAAGACTAGCTAATTAGTTCAAATCGGATTTCATGATACAAAGCTCAATTGGTTAGTTAGTTCTTTTGGACATAATATTTATTACACTTTTACTCAATTTTATTCTTAAAAAATTTATTAATTCTTTAAAAAATAATTAAGAATTATGTTTACAATAAAATCAATTTTATTATTTGACCCTTTAAAATTTAATCCAAATTCTAAAAATGAATATGCTATTTCCTTTTTTATATATAAATAGAAAACACATGCACAATAAAATGACAATATACACCCTTTAAACTTATTCATATTGTAAATTATAAGTATGTGCAAGGAGATTATTATTTTTAAAGTTTGTGTATGAAATTAATGTACCCTCATAGTGTAACTAAAGGTTGTGGTTCAGTTGACGATGCAGGTTGGCCATGTGGGAAAAGTTTTCGAGTTCAATCCTCACTAAATGCATTTATAAGGAGGGATGAATAGCCTTAATTGTGAATAAGTCTCGAGCCGAATTAGATAGTCCGGATACCGTGATTCAAATGTAAAGGCAACCATCCATTTTGAAGAAGCAATGCATAAAATAAAATTACAAAAATGTGTCTTTAAGGCTCAAAATACCTAACCCCAAGTTAGAATTGAGGAAATGAGCTAATAATGGTATAATGTAAGAATTGGTATGATTTAGCACCATGAGTTGACTTTTTTTGTTATACTAGTAGACCACACCCACAACTATCTATCGAGATAACTTTAATTTGGTGAGCTAAAAAGGGAAAAGTCAAATCACTTTTCTATTATTTTAAGTAGCCATAATTGGCATATAGTAGTTTAGTATCCTTGGAAATTTTGCTTAATTTTATACTATGAGAAAAATTAATTCAATTGGTAAATGAAATTGATTAATATAACTCCCTCCTCCCATAATTTTTTTCTCCTAATTTAGTTTCACACAAAATAAAAAAAAAAATACACTAATATAATTTTTGCTTAGTCTTTTGTAATATGTTCTTATATTAATTATAAAATAATTCATGTTGTTCAATTATAAATAATGCATCGTACTAATCTGAATGAGATAACTTAGTGACAAAGAGCATCTGCAGAGTCAATTATAGCTTAGATCATGGGTTCGATTTTCCGCAATGCAAACTCTTCTGGACCAGTTCATTTGCCTCGAGAGCAAGCAAGTATTAATCAGGTTTGTTTTCAGTGTTATAAACAAGTTATTAACGAATGCTAGCATTAAACTCAAGACTGAATGGCTGCCATTCTTAATTTCTGCTTCTAGTTCATATTAGGGGGCTCCCCATTTTGGTGATATTCCAATAGAGCCCAATACCTTTTGGGCCGAACTTGAACTTGAATCCTGACCCGGACTGGCACCCAGATCCAGACCCGAAAATGAACCCGTTTCCAGGTAACTTCACTGTTATTTCTTGCATTCAAATTCCAGAGTCGAGTTGAGCTGGCGATTCAAATATTTATTCGCTTGAAATTGATGTTAACATCTTTGGATTAATCACAACTCAGAAAGCTCTATTTACCAATTCTCCAATCTCTGCACTTGAACCTATCAGTTTCTTTTATATCGTCAACTTGTCCAGGTACACATACAATCTCTCAAGTTTTTGTATTAAAGGGCACTTTTTCTTTGCTCTCTTTATCGAAGACTGTGCTTCAACTGAAGCTCTTTGATTGAATTTCCTGTAGATATTGTTGCTTAGGATTGTTATTTCATATAAATTCAGTTTGATAAGGTCATATTGTTCTATAAAGTTGTCTTCTTTCTGTTTTTTGCCCTTTCATTTCATTGTTTTTTTATTGATAACTTACCAAATTTGTCTGATTAATAATTTGCACTATTTCGGTCTTGTACAAAAATCTTATATTTGTTTTATTTTGGGTTTACTCTGTGTGATATAATGTATAAAACCTCCTTTCTTTTGTTAATTGTTTCTGATTCAGTAGTAGTTGTAGTAGTACTGATGGATGAGGTTATTTGAATCTTATATGTGATAAGTTAAGTTTGGTTTTCATATATTAGAAGCTATTTAGCAACAGGGATCCTTCATCTTTAATTTGATAGAGAAAATTGCCCCTTATTAACCTCCAGTGCAATTAGAAATGTAGTTGTAGCTCATGTTGCTTTCCAATGTTATGGTCATATGTTGAAAAAAGTTAAAAATATTTTAATGTTTGAGGAGATGAAAGATATGAATGAGTTCATCTTCTTTCCTCAATGTTCAATTTTTCTGGTTTTTTTGTTCGTCCTATTAATATCACTGTAACTTTTCGTTAAATTGGTACCGAATGCATTCTAAAGTAACTTCATTTTCTCTCATAGGTTAATCCATTTTACTTAGCAATACAGGTATCTTTTCATTTTGCTGTGAGCCTTTCTTTCTTAAATGTCGAGTAGCTCCAGTGACAGCAGCTTTAATATAGAGGATCTTTTGGAGATTGGCACAAGATGCAGAGAGGTATGTTCCATATCCTTTTTCTTTCTGCTATGGAAAATAGTAGTATCGTCCTGTATTTATTCAAAATGTCATCCAGGTTACATGAGTCTCTTATGGCCTTAAACACCAAAGTTTTTGTTAAAAATTTTAACATTGTTTGGCATTTTGTATATTTTGCAGCTATTGTATTCATTCATTTGGATATGAACAACCTGACTTCATTATTTGTACTTCTTGAATGGCAAATTTTTTTTTTTTTTTTTTTGGTTAATGATGAAACCTAGTTAGATAAGTACTACTCAAGTATTGTTAGTTAGTTTATTAGTATTTTCAGCTATTTTTAATTTTTTTGAATGCTTAAGTAGACAATTTTTTTTTTTTTTTTTTTTTTTTTTTTTCAGTATATTTATTTTTTTGAATGCTAAGTAGGACAATTTTTTTTTTTTTTTTTTTTTTTATGTGGATTGTTATTTTTTTTCATGAATCAAATTTTTTTTTTTTTTTTTTATGTGTGATTGTTATTTTTTTCATGAATCAAAGGGGGTTCTTTCTAAAGTCCTTTTTGAATTAACTATTTTCTTAGTCTTTTTTTTTTTCTGTCTGCAGCTACGGAAAGAAAAGGACATGTTAAGGGAATCTCAATCCCAAAGCTTTGAACTAATCAGGGTAATCTTTTCATATGACTTGGTATTTCTTTCATGTAAACAATGTACGTTCTAACATTTGTTGCCTTTTACATGTCTCTATCCATTATCCTAAAGTGTAATTGAGACTAATAAGTTTGCAATGTTTTTACTTCTTTATTTCTTGTGTTATGGAAGTTTCCTCCTTTCCTCTCAAGGAAACCTTATGAAGAAATGTTCAGTAAATTTCTTTCTTCTAGGTGTTAGAACTTAAAGTACATTTCTTGCTTATATTAATGGCAGTGTTCCATTTCTTTATTTCCATGACTGTAAATCATATAACTCATTAACCCTTGTCCTATTGGCCAAATCTTAAGTCCATCTTTGGAAACCCAACTTTTTTGTTTTGAGAAGACATCTTTCAGCATTCATACTCAACTAAAAGAGAAGAAAAACCAGATCTAGCTGTTGCCATAATAAACAGGATATTAATCTGCACATTGAGTGTTGATATTTACTATGGACTATGGTCATAAATGTACTGGTATTTTATAAGGTAATAAATTTAAATATTTCTTTTTTCCATGGTAATAATCTTTTATTATATTTTATTTTATTTACATGAGGTATCTGATATTTTCTAGTTTCTATTTAGGAAATTTACAAGTTTGACACATGGATAGGTATCCATTTCTGACAACCGTACCTGAGTCTGAGTAACATTGCTCCTTGGTATAAGGAGACTGTAGTTGTTTTGTGAGAGCAATAAAGACTTGGCATTGAAAAAGAATGAAATTTAGATGTAATACTCTGATTGTCAGACTTTGTTTGATGCAGAGGCTAGAACGACATGTGAAATCATTATCAGAAGCTCGTGCTGAAGACAGAAAGCAAATTGACAAGTTGGAAAGAGAGTTATTGAACTGCTCTCAAGAGATAGGTGGTGATTCTTTCTTTTGTCGTATTCAGTCAGGTTCTAATTCAATTTCGTACTTATAGGATTAGGGTTTCAAGCTGGTGGACTAATTCTTATAGCAGTTCCCTATGAATTACAATTTAGTCTTAGATGTCATTTGTGTAGTACTTTTAGGACAATTTTTTACATTACCTGATCTTTAATCGTTAATGGCATGGATAACTGATGTGTAATTCATTGATGAGATGATATTATCTGAATTTCACACATATGACATTCATTATTATGACTTCATACGAGGGCATTATAAAATAATTTTTTCATTATTTTTATATCCTGTAATAGAAAATACAAAACTAGCGCTGATACACTGATTGAATTGAAATTTTTTACTTTGTAATTATATGCACGGTGATGACTGTCAACAATAACCTGCCATCCTGATTTTGGCATTGTGTTCCTTTAATCTGGATTGACCATTTCATCTCTCTCACAGATTACCTGCAAGATCAACTAAATGCAAGGAATTCAGAGGTTTACAGCTTGGGAGAGCATGTGCATGACCTTGAGTTAAAATTAGCAGACATGGGTAATTTACAGGTGAAGGTTGATGAGTTACAGGAGGAACTGAAGAGGTCTGATTCAGCGTGCTTCTTATTGATACAGGAATTGGAGAGAAAAGACCTAGAGCTGCAAAAGTCAGTTCTATGTATAGAGAAAATGGAGGAATCTATTTCTTTTTTAACCCTAGATTCCCAATGTGGAATAGAGAGTGTGAAGCTTGATAAAATGGCTTTGGAGCAAGAATGTTGTGAAGCCAAAAAGTACCAGGAAGAAACAGCTATAGAAAAAGATGCAATGGATGGTTTAATCAAAGAACTGGGGATTCGGGTTCATGATGCAGAGGAAATGATACAATGCTTAGAAAAGGAGAATAAAGAACTGAGGGAGAAGCTTGTTACATCTGAAGCAAATGCTAGACTATTTCTTCCAAAGATAGAGGAATGGCTGGAAAATAAGGAAAAATCACTGCTTATTTCTCAGTCATGCTCCAGTGAATTGGAGAGCGAAATAATGCCAAGTGAAGTCAGGTAAGATATACCTACTATTCTATCAAATTCAATTAAAAGCTTATAATGATTAGTAAATTATATCATTACCTGTATGATAATAAGAAAAAGAAAGTAGCTATTGTTTCCTTTGTATGCAGATAGCCATAATCCAAGTGCTATTACACGGAAGAATTATTTGTTTGCTAAACATTTGGGGAATTGATCCTGCTAATGGTTGAGAGTATTTTAATTCACAGATGCTCAGCTCAACTGAGCCTTTGATCCAAACTAATTTATTCTGTGGGTCGTTGGTGATGACATTAAGTGATTATTACTTAGATATATGCTTGGAATTGACTTGATAGTATTATTTCTTTAATGTCATCGCTTGGTATGAACTCCATTACCACCCTAAAGAGGTGTATTTCCTTGTTGGCAACATAGAAGTGATCTTGGTCGTACTTTTTTCCCATCTTAATTATGTTGTTACATTTTCCACTGATTGATCTGTGGGATCCCTTTTATGAAAAACGAATTGGATTCTTGCTTTTCTGCATCTATACTGGCACTGACACAACTATAGGAAATAAAATTGAAAAGATAAACTGAAAAAGACAAAATGATAAGGGTGGATTTCTGAAAGTCCATAAATATAGTATTTGAAGGTTGCTGCTAATTACCCTAAGCATACCAATTCCAAGTGAAAAAGTTCTCTACTTAATCATACTTATTAAGGTTTGCTTGTAGTTGAGTTTAATACCATCTGATCTGTTGGCTACTTCCCTCACTAATTTACAAGCCCTAGGTGTTCATCTCTATACCCTGGGAATTCTGGGCTTAAGATTCACACAGAGACATTTAACATTCTGTAGAGGATAATGTGCCTTATAACTTGCATTAGTTTCCTTAATTTTGAGAAGTTTGTAACTTTGTTTTTAAATTTATACTGTAGTCCTTGTTTTGGGGAATTATACGCTTTAATTTCTTGTAATAGTTTCATAATATTTCTGCAGAACTTGCGGAGAGGCCCTTGCTCTACTTTTTTCAACACTGGAAATATTATTGGCACCAGATTCAAATTCAAGAAAGCAGATAGAGAGAATGTCACACCAGATAAGAGAATATGAAGTTGTTTTGAAGCAGCTTAAGGTATGGATTAGGACTGATGAAGATGCATAAATACCTGGGACTGTTATGAGGTCATATACTGAATTTTTTAAGTTTGATCTTGGCAAGATGGATTCTGCCCCTGGTTTTCATAGCTTTACACAACTCGTTGATGTTAGAATGTCCATTGTTACTAGGAAGATTTGCGAGTGGAAAAATTGAAGGCAAAGGAAGAAGCTGAGGATCTTGCACAAGAAATGGCTGAGCTGAGGTACCAAATGACATGTTTGCTCCAAGAAGAGTCCAAGCGCCGCGCTTCCATTGAACAAGTATCATTACAGAGAATAGCAGAATTAGAGGCGCAGGTAATTATGGTTTGATTTGTAGTCCAAATGTTGCCCCGGGAGAATGACTTACATTCTGGAAATGGTTTTCCTGTTATCAAGATTCAAAAAGAACAGAAGAACTCATTTCATGGAATCAGGCATCTCCATGAAGCATAGGAATCAGCTCTATCTAGAACTATGGGTTTCAATTAATTGGAAATTGTGATTGAGGTTTGTACCTCTCTAGTTCTTCCTTGCCTCTTTTTTGCTTAACACAATGTTCATCCTGTTAGCATGTCTTTTTCTCCCATCGGAGGCTGTCAGATATAGCATTTCGTTTGGTGGATTTTTGCATTTGGCTTTCTTAGTTTAGTTAAACTGCATAAGAAATATATAAAAAAAAAATGTTAGGTTTGGGCATATTTTCAAGTCAGGATCTATTTGCTCGTCCATCAAATACCGTAACTCATAAATATATTCTTGTTCAGGTGTTACCCATTATTTATACGATTAGTGTGAAAAATTAATGTATATTCTTATAGTTGTTGAGTTTTTTGATGCATGTCTCTTTGGGGAATGCTGGTTGACAAATCAAATGACAAGCTGTTTCATTCACAGAAATTTCATTTGAGCTAGAATGGATTTTTCTGTTATTAGGAATCTAATTGTTTTTGCTTTAAATCTCTTATTGTGAGTCTTTCAGTTGCATGTAAGATTGACTATTACAGATTAATGGCTCCCCTATTTTTGTCCAGGAGACTTGATACATTCCAGGAGATGGCAACATGTATGGATCTGCAGGACATCGGTGTCTGGAGGTGGGTTGTACATGTCTTATATATACTGCATTAACATAGAATATTTTACAAACCAAAATTGCAACTTGTATCTGGTAGATGGTGCAGCACTTTATGGGGCAACTATAGAGTGCAGCTATGCGTGCTGTAGCGGCATTGTGCTTACTAATTATGGGCTACAAGTGGAACGCATTGCTTTTTATTTAAAAAAAAAAAATTTAAATAAAGATTTTGTCTGATGCTGCTGGGTTACCATGATTCTGGCACAAAACATTCTGAGGGAACCTAAAACCTGATAAAGAAAAGTCTGTATAGTGCTGCCCTGTTATGTATATATGCATTTTTATTTTGGATTTAATTCATATATTTGGTGGTTTCTGGGGTCAGTTTTGAATTTGATCATTCAGAGGATTTGTATTCAGTATTCTATGTAATTTTCAAGCTGTAAGAAGAAATAGATCTCCAATGCATCTCACTGGTTGGAGGTTGGACTTTTAATTGTTGATGGTTGAGAATGGGGAATGCAAATATTTGTCTTATGATCATAATCAATTATGGTTTCAAGAATTGCTCTCGCATTAATCCTTATTCTTAGTTCCATTTTAATGAACAATTTAAAATACTTATTCTAGGAGCAAAAAGTAAAAACATTTTGAAAGATACACTTTTCCAGTTGCAAAAGTACTTAAACAAATGTAAACAGTGAAGGGCTTTTTTTTAGTCTACAAGACTACAAGTTGTTTGTCAAGTTGAGATTTGAGCAACTTTTATCGACCTTTAGGGAAGCTAATAGTCAGTTCATTGTTTGAACATTCCTTAGGCCTTTGAGGAGAACGATCATCAGTTCTGCGAGTGCGAAAAGCTGGTTCTTTAGGTGATGGAAGAACTTGAGAATCACTGCTCAACATAAACACCACCAAAGACATTGTTGGCCTATCAATCGGATCCTCTTGAACACACAATAGCCCCACATGTATGCACTTCACAGCTTCTTTAGAGCAGCATGTTTCTTTTACTGATGAATCTATCAGCTCTGCCTCTTTACCTTCCTTCCACAGTTCCCATGCCTTAAATTCATTTCCATAATAATTAACTATATCAGTAAATAATAACTTTCCAGGAGTACGAAAGGTAAGTAAAAGATTGAAATTAGTGTTAACATTTGACAATAATTTCAACCTTTAATGCCAAATAAGCTCAGATATGGTTAAGCTTATACTTACCCAACTGAGAAGGGTTAAAGAGAGTCCACTGCGATGGAAGCTTGTGTTCCTCATTCCGCTAACTATCTCCAACAAGAGCACACCAAAGCTAAATACATCTGATTTCTCTGAAAATTGCCCAGAAAATGCATATTCAGGAGACATGTAGCCACTGCAACAATAAAAATATCAAGTAAATGATTAATGTATGTTGTTATTGTAACAAGGTTATGAACGAAAAGAAACACATACTAGGTACCCATGACCCGGTTGGTATTTGCTTCTGTTTGATTCCCGCCAAAAATCCTCGCCATTCCAAAGTCTGAAATTTTGGGATTCATTGCTTCATCCAACAAAATATTGCTTGCTTTTAGGTCCCTGTGAATGACTTTCAATCTAGAAAACTTGTGGATATAAAGAAGTCCTTGAGCTACACCTTCTGCAATCTTGAAGCGTTTATCCCAGAGCAGTTGTCCTTTTTCAGATGGATCTATTATAACCAACAAATCCATCAGCAACATTCAGTATGGGTTCTAGCAAGTTTGTCAAAACATTAACAAAATTCAGTGCAAAATGTTTCATTTACTCCAAATTGGTCTGTTGAAATCTCCATTCCAATTTTCAGTTTTTAAACAAGTAAAGAAGAACTAAATAAAAGGAATTTCTTTGCAAGATTTACATTTCATATCCCTCTCCTGAAAGCAACTTAAAGATGATGTTTAGAAGGAAAAAAGAAATAAAATTTTACCAAAAAGAAATTTGTCCAAACTTCGATTGGGCATGTACTCGTATATCAGTATCTTTTCCTCCTTTTCAACACAGTAACCCAAAAGCCTAATAAGATATTTATGTTGGAGATTGGCTATCAGCTTCAACTCATTCATGAATTCCTCGAGTCCTTGTCCAGATTTTCTTGAAAGCCTTTTTATGGCTATTTCTTTATCACCGGGTTCATTTCCCTAAACAAGCATCTCCAAATGCGCAAATCAATAATTTGAACAAAGAAAAATATAAGATAAAAAAACAGGTCCAGAGTGTATTCTCATTTAGAATGTGTACCTTATAGACAGGTCCAAATCCACCCTCTCCCAGTTTATTTGCTTCAGAAAAGTTATTTGTAGCTGTTAATATACTTCTAAAGCTGAATAAAACCAGATGCGGATTGCTTTTTCCTTCAGCTGCAATACTTTTGTTGATCTCATATATAGTTCCTGATACCTTCTCTGTTGTTCAAAGCAACTATTAGACCAAAACTGATGAAAAAATAAAAAAGCATGGATTATTAGTTTGCATTTAGAGAGTACCCATTTTTGTTGCCCTTTTCCTTCTCAAGATTATCGAGAGAACCAAGCCAAGAACAATAAATATAATTATTGAACCCACAACTACACCAATAACTATTTTTTTAATATTGTTAGAACTTGAGAACTCAGAAGCAGCAAGCTTAATATAGAGAGTTTCTCCATGGGGGATATAATCAGCAATTTGTTGTACATTCAAGAGATCTCCAAACCAAATAGAACAGGTACTATTATAATAAGCATAAGCAGTGCAAGCACAGTTATTCAAGCAAGTAGATTCACATTCTTGTGCATTTCCCACTTGTATTACTGTTGTTTTTCCTGGCAATTGCATGCTTTGACTTGGCAAAAACCTGTCATTCTTCCCATTAGAATTCTCACATTGCAAACTTGCTTTCCTTTCACAACCTGCATTATAAACCCCTGAATTCCACTCATCTAATGATTTTGGACGAAAACCTGCCAAACAATGACATAATAAAGGCGGGGATGTTTCAGTGTAGCTTGCATATGCACCACAGTATCCATAAATGTCAGATTGCCTCCTTGGTTGAGCCCAAAACAAGTTCCATTGCTTGGCAGCAGCTAACCATGACATTTGCTGAATCTGCCCTCCAACATCGATCACACATCGAGATACGATGGAAGTATTATACAAAGAATAGGTGAAATAGCTTTCGTTTTCATTGCTATAATAACTAAAATTATAGATATAGTTCAACCTCATTTCAGGAATTAAACTGAAAATTTTTCCATTCCAATTACCACTAGACCACATTACATTCCTATTCCACAAGATATAAAATTGACTAGTTCCATTTGGATCTAGCTCAACAGAGAATAAACCAGGTGCAGGATCATTTTTGTTTTTCCATGAAGTAAGGCGTGCACTAGTTCCAGTGATTTTGTTTATTCCAATCCTAGCACCCGGCAAAAATGTATCAGTTGGATTATCAAAACTCTGCCATAATGGATCTGAATTAGATCCATCTCTCAACACAAGGTTTCCTTCATCAAGAAGTACTGCCTCTACAGAACTCGAATTTCTAGGAAGCAAATTTGTTGACCAAAGCATGATATTTGATTCATCAAACAGAACCAGATTACCATTTGATATTCTTAATTCAGCTGAGGATCTATCAACAACTGGTTTTTCCCGATTTGCAACCCAAACTATGGTCTTTACAGAGATTCTATTATACCAAATGCCGATGTAGTTGTTTGAGGAGTTACCTGGCTTAAAGAATCCCAGAATGAATGTCCCTCCTTCAGAGGAAATGGTTTGGTCACCTGAGAGAGATTGGTCCATAGAGATTTTATCAGCAGCCATAGAGATATTGGAACTTAAAAACAGCCATGTGAAGAAGGCAACGTAAAGCACGAACCGTAGATTCTTGTTAATAAAAGTGATACTAACATCCATGGCTGCAAAATAATTTTTCTTCTATTTGGCAGGCAATACACATTAACAATGCAGAACTCACATGTCATATGTGAAGTCAACGTCTGAGTCAAGACTAAAATAATTAGAGAGAAATTTCAACCAAAAAAAAAAAAAAAAATTACAGAAGAATTTCTATTATTACCAAATTTTTTGGCGGGCCGGATGTAGTTTCGTTTTGAGGGTTGTTTACCTGGCTTAAAGAATTATCCCAGGAATGGTGAAATTGTCCCTCCTTTTCAAAAGAGGTAAATGGTTGGTCACTGAGGAGAGGATTTTGGTCCATAAGATTTTTATCAAGCAAGGCCATTTTAGAGATATGGAAACTTAAAAAACAAGCCATGTGAAAGTAAAAGGGGGCAACGTTTAAAGGCCACGAACCGTAGATTCTTTGTTAAATAAAAAAGTGATTAACTAACATTTCCCATGGCTGGGCAAAATTAATTTTTTTTCTTTCTTATTTTTGGGGCAGGGCCATTACCACATTTACAATTGCAAGAAACCTTTTTCACCATGCATATGTTTTGAATGGTTTCAACGTCTGGATTTTCAAGGACTCAAAAATAAATTAAGGAGAGACGGGAAATTTTCAACCAAAAAAAAAAAAATAAAAAAAAAATTTAGACCGGGAAACATGCGGCATATTAATTTTAGGTCATATTTGTTTTTCCAATGATATATATATATATATTTATATAATATATTAAACAGGGAGAGGGGTTGGGTGAAGTTTTCGTGGGTTTATTTCGAGGATTGGTTTGGGCAAGGTGGGCTTGGTCTTGGGAATATTGGTCTTTTTCTTCGATTCGGTTGGGGCGAGTTGTCTGGCTATTATATAGCTAGGCTTTGGTTTTTCCTTTGCGCTTGGAGGGATTTCCGCATTGGTTTTTTTGTAGATTTGTTGCCAGAATCTTGGCATGGTTTTAGGAGGTTGGTTACCAGTTATATTTTTCCATTGGAATTGATTCGTTCGATTCCGAGTTTTAGTTGGATAAATCTCTCTTACTTTTTGGAATTTCAAAGTTTTATTGGAACGGGGATTCGAAGAGTTGCACTCTTTCGTCGTGCTATCTTTCGGTTTTGAAGCGAAAGAAATTTTATTAACTTGATTCATTTGATTTAGATCGGGCATTTTCTATTTTCTTGCTCTTATAATTTATTTTTGGAATTTCTTGCCTTTGCTATCTTGTATTTTTTGGATTTTACGTGGGGACCGATGAATATATATATATATAAACAGGAGGGTTGGGTGAAGTCGTGGTTTATTTCGAGATTGTATGGGAAGGTGGCTTGTCTGAATATTGGTCTTTCTTCGATTCTGGTTGGCGAGTTGTCTGCTATTCAAGCTGGTCTTGTTCTTGCTTGGGATCATGGTTTTTGTAGAGTTGTTGCAGAATCTGATGGTTTAGAGGTGGTACAGTTAGTTCATTTGGAATTGATTCCTTCTGATCCGTTAGTTGTTCTTATTTTGAATATTCAAAGTTTTTTGGAACGGGATCGAGAGTGCACTCTTTCGTCGTGTATTTCGTGAAGCGAAGCAAATTTTATAACTGATCATTTGATTAGATCGGGTCATTCTATTTCTTGCTCTATATTTATTTGGAATTCTTGCCTTGCTTCTTTGTATTTGATTACGTGGACCGATGACTGTAACGTTAGCTTTTTGAGATAGGTTTTTTTGTTGTCCTAAGGAAGGTGGGCTTCCTAGCAAGGTGGACTTCATGAAAATCAAACCTGTGAATTATTATTCCTATAGTAAAATAATTGTGGATTTTGTTGTGTCTATACACTTAACAGTAAAATTATGATGCAGTACGTGAATTTATCTCATAAAAAATTTTATAGTATTTTTAATTTTCACCTTAAACGCTTGAACTTTCAAAATTAATTAATTAAATATTTATTGAATCGTTAAAAAATATGAAAATTATTATTTCAGAAATTTTAATAATCATATATCAATTGATAATATAAAATTGTATAGCCTGAGATGCGAAATTATTATAAAAATGAAATTTAAAGTTTCACCAGATCGATTGTAAGATTTTTTTTTTTAATTAAATTTGAGGGGTTAATTCATATATTCGGACATAAAATTATGGTATAAAAATATTACTTAACTGCCATGCAAAGAACTGTAGGATGAAATTCTATCAACTTAATATATAGTGAAATAAATTTTAATATCCTATCAACGTGTTGGAATTCATTTGTCATTTGTCTTTTGTAATAATAATTAATCTTAGGGATTAGGACTTTTCTCCTTGTTCTTTCCTCGAAGTTTCTTTGCATGTTTTTTGAAAATCGATCCACAACTCTTTTTTGAAATATTTTCTAAATAGATTTTTAAACTATTAAATATATATTATATTATAATATGAGTCATACCTAAATATAAGAAAAGCTATATATGCTTTTTTCCCATCCACCATTTCTATTGTCAACTAAGAAATTTCCAAATTTCTTGTCTGTTTTGTATTGAGGCTAAGGCCATTTCTTTCTCTTTAAGGAAAAAAGTTTGGTGTTTGTTCAGGCTAAGAATGATGGAGTTCACGTTAATGACTTGTCATCTTCAGCTAGCTTATTGATGCAAGAGACAGCAATTTTTCCTCATCTCCCCTGGAAATCTATAACTCGAATGAAAAGGAGAAAAAAAATGTATTTTTGAGCAAAACTGAAATTTGGCTCCTCTAAAAAATAATTCTTTTTATTATTAAAAATATATAAGATAAAATGAAAAAAAAAAATAGAAAAATGAAATATTTCAACTATCACAAGAAGTAATAAATTATTCAATTTTTATTATATAACCTTTTATTAATACATATGCCCTAGTTTATAAGCAAAATTTATAGTAAAAAACATCCCAATAATAAAAATTTGCACCTTGCGAATTTTATTGAGATGAAATAGAAAATTATATGAGATAGAAAAGCAACAAAAAAAAAAATCTTTGTTTATAAAAAAAAAACATTATATATTGAAAAATAAATGGCGAAACATATAAATCATCTTTATATTTTCATGAAAAATCTTATGACAGTCTAAATTTTATGAGAGAGTTATCAACGCCCTAAATTTAAATATTTTAGTAATATTACGTGTTTCTCTATATTAACAATAATAATTTTTAGGATTTTGGCCTTTATATATAAAATACTGATTTGATATGTGATTAATTCAATTTTTAGAACAATAATTTTTATATTTTTCAATTATATTTAGAAGTGTTTAATTAATTTAATTTTATAAATTAAAATATTTAATAAATCAAATTATTGTATTTAATAGATGTATAATTAAGTTGATCTATTCGACGGATCAAAACAAAAAGATATTTACTAGGTTTTTAGTGAAAAAGTATAAGAGTAAACTGTACTAAAATGAATAAATTCTTTAGTGTTTTTTTATACTAATAATTTATTTAGAACATTAGGGTGGTTTATGTAATTTTCCTATAAGAAAATGAACAAATTAATAAGATAGGAGTACAATTTTCTTTTTTTTTTTTTTTCCAAAATAAATATATATTTTTAAACGGTAATGTCAAGTTGATGTTCCTGACGGCAATATTTTAAACAAAAGAATTACTAGTCAAAATAAATACCTTTCCATGTACAGAACGTTTCTTCCTTTGGGTATGGCCTTTGGCGATTGACGTTTTCTCACCAGTTTCCACTGTCAAGACTTGGTTTCAGTCTTTGACGCGTTCGATTGCTTGTGCTTCTCTTTCTCTCTCTAAAACTATAAAATCTCTCTCTCAAAGGATCTCTTCAAAACCTGTAACAGATTCTTTGGATTTTCTTAGTCCTGAATCCTTGCTAGTCTTTTCTCCACATTATCAGGTACACCCAGATTCTTCTCTTTCGCTTTGTTGATTACTGTTAATTCTGTTATTATTGAAGTTCTTTCTTTAATTTGGTGCTTGTTATAACTTAAATCAATCTGGGTTTCTTTGAATTCCTACTTTTATTTCGTTGCTGCTCTTGTTATTATCGTGAAGTAATTTGGATTTTATCTTCTTGTTTGCTTGTTCATTTGATTTATTTGTGCGTCTTGTTTGACTTTTAGATAACCTTTTGTTAACACTTTAATGGTTTTTTTTTCCCTTTTTGATTCTCTCCTTCTTTTTAAGTTTTTCTTTAGATTGCCTTTCTAATGCTTAGCGGATTCTTATCTATTACTTCTGTTCTGTTGGTGAGAAAATTGAAGGGGGAAAATTTTCGAACTAGAGTTTATTGCTTTTCATCGATTTTCTGGATTTTTGATAAATGGAAATTGTACTAGATTTAATAAAGATGAAGAATTATGACATACTCTCTCTCCTTCCTTCACACCAATCTATTAGTTTGACTTGACTGTTGGATTCGTATTTGTTATTTCTGTTTGGTTGGTGAGAAAATTGAAGAGGGAAAATTTTTCAAACTTGAGTTTCTTACTTTTCATCAATTTTCTACTTTTTTATCATGGAAATTGTACTATATTTAATAAAGATGAAGACTTATCACATACTCTCTCTCCTTCCTTCACGGACAATCCATTAGGTTGACATGACTGTTAACTGGTCGTTGTTTCTTGCTTGTATGATTGTTGATTGTGTTTTTTTGTTTTATTGTATCTTTTGATCCTTTTTCCAACTAAGAAAGGGGGGAAAAAGAAATTTCCCTGTTTTTATTAACTTGGCACTATTAATTTGGTATATGATCCTTTCTTTGGTTGATTTTTGATATTCTTTATGAAATTCACCTAGTAATTTCAACTGTTTCTGTTAATGATTTTTGTTCTCTAATATCGGCTTTTGTTATTCTGTGTAAAATTAATTTCCCAATTTGTGCCCCTTGCTTCATAGAGTTATCTAATTTTGTGGTTGTGTTATAAGTAATCTTTATCCGATGCTGCTCTCCTGCACTGGAACTTTCATATGCACAAATTAAATATCCAATAAATTATTGTATCCTGTATTGATTCATGGTAAATTCACTGCTAACACAGTCTCACGTGTTTATTGCTTAATCTCTGCAGGAATCTTAATTGATATTCACCAGTAGCCTGCCTGATCATTCTCTGCATTTTACATTCTGAAAGAATGTTTGGCTTGAAAAAATCTCCCTTGAGGGTTCCCAAGCATAACAAGGTTGACCCTGATCTTCCTCGTTCTAACCCTTTTGACTCTGATGATGAGTTGGACAATAAGAAAACCATTAAACCTTCAAGGAAAACTTCCCCAGAACCCAATCTGACTACGCCAAATTTTGGCACCAATCCTTTTGATGACAAGGAGGAAATTGGGACATCATCTTCATCTTCATATTCCTATGCTTCAGGAGCAAGAAATCAGTACAAGAATGATTTCCGCGACTCAGGAGGAATAGAGAGCCAATCTGTTCAAGAATTGGAGAATTATGCTGTATACAAGGCAGAGGAGACTACGAAGGCAGTCAATGGCTGCCTCAAGATTGCCGAGGAAATTAGAGAGGATGCTAACAAAACTTTGATCACCTTGCATCATCAGGGGGAGCAAATTACCAGGACCCATAATGTTGCTGTTGAGATGGATCATGATCTCAGTCGGGTATGTATTTTTTTTGCAAAACCTGTCTTGAGGATCTAAGCTATAAAGCTTTATTATGTTTATTTCAGCAGTCTATCACATGATTGTCTTGAATATTGTAAATCTTCATGTATTAATCAACTGGATGTATGGATATGTTAGTCAGCATCAGTCCTTTTCTGTTGATCATGCTTCCATGTTTGGAGCTGATCCCATGTCTTTCCTTACTTCTTGATCTTCCTTTCTGTTGTGGAGTTTATTCTTCTTTATAAGTATTGTGAACTAAATGTGTTGCAGCATGAAACTTGAATTGATATCAGTGTTAACTGTAAAACCCTGCTGTTCCTATTAGTGTAATATTAAACCATTCTTCTTTTGGCCTAGGAATGTGTAGTTGTTGTTTGCAGTTTTTTTTAATCTGTTGATTTTATGGAGTAAAGAAATCATTTTCATGGTTGTTTTGATTTTGATTTCAGGGAGAGAAGCTTCTGGGAAGTCTGGGGGGCATCTTTTCTAGAACATGGAAGCCAAAGAAGACTCGTCCAATTACTGGCCCTGTCATCACAAGAGGTGGTTTTTCCTTTTTGAATTTGCCAGCTCCTTACTTCAAAAATTTTAATTATATAGTTTTATGAACAAAATGAGCGGAAAATAGGTTGAGATAAATGGACCCATCCATGCTGGTTATTCTTCTTTTCTGTTATTTTCCCCTTTCTTTTTTGATTTCCAATTCATTAAAAGGAAATATGGGGGTGCTAAATTTGAACAATATAAACTTGATTAAACAGAGGTGATTTCCACTTTTAATTGCATATATCCGTTGTTTGTTTTGTTTTGCCAGATGATGCACCCAAATCGATAGGTGGCCACTTGGAGCAGAGGGAGAAATTGGGATTGAATAATGCACCCAAGGGACGGTCAAATACACGAACAAACACACCTGAACCTACCGATGCAATTCAGAAAGTTGAGGTTTGTGTTTGTTTTATTTTTTTTTATTTTTTGAAAAATAGAAACGAATAAAGAATAAATGAAAATGTACCATGTTATGCATCTATCCCTTTTCCATTTAATATTAGGCTTTTGTTTGTATTTTGCAAAGCATGACATTGAAAACATTATATGTTTCTTAGATTAATTTAAGACTCTGATAAATTGAATTAATTTCTTGTTGTAATACTTGGGATTATGCTAAAACAGATTGAAAAGGCAAAGCAAGATGATGCACTCTCGGATTTGAGTAATCTATTGGGCGAGTTGAAGGGTATGGCCGTTGACATGGGCAGTGAAATTGATAGGTTAGTGTTAATTCTCAACATCATTTATTATTGTCTTCCTGATATTTGCTGTTATTTTATATTTCCCCTCTTGACCATGGCTACCACTGCAGGCAAACCAAAGCTCTGGATCATTTCCAGGATGATGTGGATGAACTAAACTTCCGCGTTAGAGGTGCAAATCAGCGTGGCCGTCGTTTGCTGGGAAAGTAGATTGCAGGCTCTCAAGTTTGATATTGCATGCTGATCTGCTGATATTGCCTCCACTTTGCTGATTGTTATTTTTCTGCATGTAATGAGATTTGGATTCACATTCTCTTTCATTGATGTGGGATTTTTGTTTCTTTATCCTCCTTGCAATTCTTAACAAGATTGGAGATTTGACAGTACAGTACATTATCATTTATCAATGAGATTCATCCTAATCATGAGTGTAATTATATATTCATTCCCTAATTCCCCATATATAATAATAATAATAATTAACAATAACGGAATTGGCACCACACTAATTAAAAGCTGTCAGTTTTAACTGTTTCAAGAATTCTTCTTTGTTTCCTGGCCCTTACTGCAATGTGCACACATGCAAATGAAGAAGCAGAGTTTTTGAGAGTTGCCATAAATGCTCATTTAAACATTATACAGGAAAAGTACTATTTTTGTGGAGGCAAAATTAGTGCTCAAAAATATTTCTTTATTCTTTTTCTTTTTCAACTTCTGACTCTGCCATTTCTCAAAGAACAGCTTGCACTGCCATCTCCCTTTCTTCTACTCGTATTCACAGTTCTCTAACATCAATAAAATGAAGAGATTTCTTCCTTACATAGCCATTTCTAGTTTCCAAATTCTAGCAGTCATATTTCTTTTGTTCATTGCCATGCCAAAAATCAAATCATCCCATGCAGTTCTAAAAGAAGTCTCCCCTGCAATGGCTACAATGTACAACCACCATCATCACCACCATCGTCACCACAGCAGCGGCCATTATTCTCCGGCAATGGGAAAGAGTCATGACAATGATCCAAAATTCAGTGCCGAGAAGCGACGTGTTCCTTCTGGTTCTAACCCTCTCCATAACTGAATAAAACTGATGAGTTTCTAATTTTCACTGTTATATGGTGGTTGGTTTAGCAATGATTACTGATTCTTATGTGTAATTTCTTGATTTTCATTTTATTAGAAACTTGCATAGAGAAATCAGTTTTGTTTTTGTTAATACTGTTTGTTATTTGATTGCAATAATATTACAAGTTGCTTTAACAATTAAATTTTAGAACAAAAAGACCACAACCTATTGTCATGTTTATCTTTCTTTCAATGGAAAATATATACTCAAAATGTAACGCAGTATGTGCATAAATTGTGATACAAGTCCATTTCGCTTGTTGTGTTATTATTATTTTGAATGTCGAGAGAATGAGATTAGAATCTGAATTTATTATTATTTTTATTAATTGCGCTTTAATTGAGATTTATTCTCGCAATCTCATAATTCTAAAAGTGAGCTATTGCTAAACTAAGTTAGTGCCATTTTTGGACAACTAAGAGTTTGGTCTGAAAATCCCATTAAATACCAATACCAGTAACAATAGTAACACCTAAGAAGCATTAATTCAAAAGCTGGAGGAGACATAAAATTAAATGGCATCATCAGCTTTATTTTTGCCTTTAAATCTACCAATGCATTACCATATATAATTGTATACAGTTATAAAACTCGGATTCCACAGTTTTATTTTATTTTTCTCTATTCCTTTAATGTCTATCAATTAAATTCTCACATCCAGACCCTACCATAACATTCATGGCAGTCGATAAAAGAACCATAGCCTAAAATATTGAATGTCGGTAGCTTCCATTGCAGACTTTCCCTCATCAGCCTAGTCTTTTGAACTAGGCATAATTTGTTGCTAAACAGCTTTTGGGCCAGACACCAAACTCAGGTTTACATGTAAAGCTCGTAACTTCATAAATTTAGAACTACTAAGGTTCAACCCAAACTAATTTGGTTCCGACATGAATCATTTGTCTCTATTTGGTTATACATCTTTTGCAACGATTTCTCTCTAAGTGGTTTTTGGTCTACCTTTTCCCCGTTTAACACTCTCGACAATCAACATATCACACTTACAAATTGGAGCACACGAGGGTCCACATAGGATCTGTTCCATCCAATAAAATGGCACAATAACTCCAAATATCTCATTTCCATTTTCAATTTTAAAGGCAAAAATATTCAGTAAAAAATAACTCTCCTCCCTGATTTTTGGAACTCAATCTTCATCCATACTAATCTAAATATCTAAGAAAACTAGTGCAAAGAACAGTTATACATCATTCAAATCATTGTGAAAATCTTCCTATTTAATAATACAAAGTTTAGATTATCAAAATGCAGATTGCATTAATCTTCATCCCAATAAATCTAAATATCTAAGAAATCAAGTATAAAGGACAAACATACAAATTTTCATCATGAAACATCTTTTTACTTACGGGTATGCAACATTTTCATCATGAAAGATCTTTCTACTTAATAATAAAAAGTTTGGATTACCAAATGCAGATTGCAAATCAATCCAGCTCAGACAAATAAAACTGAAAAAATAATAATCACACTCTTGAAACACTTAGATGGCTACATACTGAAGTCTCTAACAAATACAAATATAAGCCAGAGAGGCCTTCCAAACTGCAATCAAATATGAACTGAATTCTAGCACCATAAGCATAAAACAGGAAGGTTAAGAAAAGCAAGTCACCAACTTTTCAGAACCAACCAACCAAGTATCAATCTTTGGATGCCTATCTATTGGTTAAAGTGCATTCTATATCAAACGCTGAAGAGAAAACTAGCAATACCAATGTCCAGTTAATAAATCCTAATATTTTAAATGACTAAAAAAAAATTAAAGGATGCTTAAATCCATGCGAACATCCTTTCAATTTGAATTCTAGGTCCTACAACACAAATCCCTCAAAGCTGAAGCAATCAAAATTTCTGCAACAAACACAACAGACAATGTCTAATGATGAATTCCAAAACTTGCTCCACATAAATCAGTGAAAAAAATTGATAGAACATACCACATATATCATGTGCATACAGCAAGAGTCCACTCAATTGTAAATTCATCAAGTCACGATTTTTTTTTCACCAGGTACAGTACACATGGATATAATCTCTCCATAATTAACGCTATAAGCTCCATGATTCCAAGTGGAAATACACAAGATAAAAAGTGCAAAACATCAAATTAAAAACCAGGAAACTAAAGAGAAACTAAAAAGAAATAGTTTAATTAACTATAATTACTAAATTTCCTTGTGTTTGGACAGAACATCCCCTTTCTCATCATCAGTAAGCTAAAAAAGACAAAATAAGCAACTGAGACTAGGGAAATTAAAACCATATGAATCGTTTAAAAAAATTATTTCCCATATGCTATCGCTTATTAGTATCATAAAGTACAATAACAGCGACAGGGTACAAATCTAAGATAAATAAAAATCCAATACCTAATTAGAATGAGAAAAAGAAGAATTGGTCTCCATAACGCTCTTGATTTTAGGGGCGTAGAGGGAGTAGATGATGGCCTGTCGTTTAGCGACATCGAGCTGAGCCTTTCCGTCGGAGAAGGCGGCTGAGATAGAAGAAGGGTCTGTTAGGTTCCGATTTTCGCGGAAGGCGTCGACGGTACGGCGCTTGGTATATTCTCTAATGTTATAGTCGCGGAATTGACGAGCTGTGCGTAGCAGAGAGCGGCAGAGAGAGAGAATTTCGCCTCTAGAGATGCTTGAAGAGGCCATTCTTGTTGTCTCTCTGTTCGTTCGATCGAGAGAGAGAGAGAGAGAGCGGGGAAAGAGAGGGTCCTTTTGTTGGATTTGGTTGCGAAAGAAATGGGACCGTTTCACTTTAATTAGCACCGTTTTGAAAGCATATGGGACCGAACCTGAGGTATGGAGTTCCAGCTCCAGCTATGGACTTTGCCTTGGCGCTTTTAAAACAAAAAAAGAAAAAAGGAATAATATGTTTTTCAAGCTATTTTTAAATTGAAGATAAATTATTTTTGGAACATAATCTGGAGATTTTATATTTATTAATGATTAATGATAAGTCATTTAAAATTAAACATTTTATGGACTCATAATATTGACTTTCATACTTTATAAAATTCATTCAATTAACAAATGAAGCATTACATATTATTCTTCCCTCACAATATTATTGCACAAACTATAATATGTCATAATTACAATTGATCAGAATGGTAACTACCACAAAATTACATTCTCTGTAGATTCATATACAGCACAGAATAATTATGAAGCCCAGCAACAAGTGCAGCATGTTATGCACAAGTTGGAGCATCAAAATTAGGCAACACTATGAACGAAATCGACAACGGACTGATGTATATAGGAGAATTCACATCGGTATGAACAGGTTCCATGGCTGGAATGTCTCCATCTTTCGTAAGCTGTAATGGGATTCCGTTCAGAACCATCGTTCGGCTACGGAGATACCCGTCTTTCGGAGTTAAATGGTACTCCTCTCTTTTTAATACTCCATCTAATGCTTGGTTTCCAACCCATGAAACTGATCGCTTAAGGCCGCGCACGAAAGAGTTCTCTCTTTGAATGTTCTTTTCCACATGCAACTTCATTGTTGCACTATTTTGTACACTGATTACAAAATCAGTCTGATTGCTTAGATTGATTAGTAGTAATGTTATTCCTGCCTGCAATGAGAAGATGACAATGGTCAGGGTATAATAAGTAATTCAATTGACTTGAATAGTAAAAAGATGCTGCTTTGTGGTCTAACAATTATGTGTACATGCATTTTAATCTCAGAAATCAAAAAGAAACGAAAAGAAATTGATTTCCCAGCATTATTGATGTAATGTAGATGAACAATTTTCAAGAATGAAATTTTGAGTCTACATATTGTGTGTAAGCCGGAGGAGAAAAAACGAAAGGTCAAAGCGAAAAATTAAGTTTACTTCGGCAAGATCTTATTTTTCTTCTACTACAGAACTCGATTGTTCTTCCATCATAAATAATTTAGTTATAAAGTTAAAACAGAATGTAGCCTTACTCTTCTTTTCGAACAATGGGCATAAGCACGTAGATATGGTGAAGCATCGCTACCAACAGCAAGAACGCCTTTCCCCATAAGTTGATGCCACAGAAGAGCACTATTGAGAACCAAATATTGGAAAAAGTCAGGTTAGATATGTTTTTAACAAAGCTTAAAGAGAAATCTTAAGTTGATTCCATCCCTGACATCCAACCCAACCCCAATATATAAATAAACCAAAAAATTATTTAAAAAAAAAAAAGGAAAGAAAGAAACAAAGAAGCTACTACGAATCTAACTTAAAAAGGGTAGTGCGACTTGCCTGTAGTAATCAGGGTTGGGCACAAATGTGGTTGTATTGAGAAGACCATAGTTTCCACCAATTAGTGTCTGCCTGCAATATACTTTGGTATTGTACTTTGATGCCATTCCAAGCTGATCTAAGTACCTAAAAGTCACATATAGACAAAATAAATGCTAAGCCATCATCATTTCCAAACAAACACTATAGCTTTGATGGTTAACTCATTTCTTCTTGTAACATAAAGAGCAAATGGAAGCACCTATGCCAGAAAAATTACCAAAAACTGTTCACAAATGTATTAGACACATGACGACCGCCACTGTTATAGGCCCCACCAGATTCTCCGACCCATGCAGAAGCCCAAGGACCATTCTCTTGAATGATTTGCACAAGACCACTGAACGTTTCTGATATCTTGCTCAAATAATGAGGATCTAATATCTTATTCACAAGGTTGGGATCGACACCTGCAATGGGACAAGAAATTAGATATTTAAGGAAAGGAAACTCATAAATAGCAATGCATTTATCTCGTACTCAACGCAAGTCCATCAAAAGTAAATTCTTCTAAATTTGAGTTTCACATAGGCAGGGACTTCGGATATATATGTGATGTCATCTGTACTAAGACCATGTTAGACATATCTTCCAAAGGTTACATACTGCAGAAGTAGTCAACCGCTACATGATCAACAAGACCTTCTGGCCAAGAGTTCCAGTTATTACTAAAAATCAAAACCTTATGGTTTCTTTGGTTTCCAGAAAAGACAATAAAGTAAGGCAAGTTCTTAAAACTCATAATAAACAGAAGCATTTTGCTTTTGATTCAAGAAGAGATTATTATTACACCAACCAAGATTGATTTACAGGTCGTATTAAATGTTAATTGCAGGTGATGCACAAGATTATTTGTTTCACAGGAAGAAGAGCAAAACTGAATGCTGGGAGCCTGGGAAGACCATGGAAGTTGACACTAAAGTTTAAACTAGTAAACATATCAATGGTTAATCTAAGACATTATTGCCCCAAATACTATTTCAGACTTTTAACAGGATATATATTATTTCATTATCAACTGTAAAACAGATTTCAGAACCACAGTAACCCACCTGGACCTAAGTTATATATATGATGAGTCATGATATTGACAGTGCCTGAACCTGAAACCTGAAGAAACTTAGCAAACCACTGCTGGTTATAAAATCCTCCAGGTGCCACAAGCGAAGGTTTGTAGACAGAGTTTTTATACAAATCATTGATAATATGTTTAAGGTTGATCACATCTTTCCCATAGAGTTCAGCACTGACACTTGCACCAACGCCGCTTCCACTCAGCTCATTACCTGCCACAGCAAGGCAATGCAAAAGTGAGGTGAAAGACAATGAAACTAAACAGAAAAGCTTTGTCTAAGTTTTATACCGAATTCCCATGAATCTATCTTGTATCCCTTTGAGACAGTGTACTTCATAAAATCATGAGCATTACTGGAATCCCAAGCTCCTCCCCATACTCCCCTCCTGATCTTGTGCCTCCCATAGAGGGCATTTAAGCTAAAGGTCAAAATGGCCCTGCAAATACAAGACTCTTGTGATAATCATCCCACAGGTAAGCACCTGAACCCCTCCCCAGTCTTTTCCAAAATCCCATTTTTTGGTATGAGGTATATGTTGAAAAAACTCAAGTATGCAACTTCTCACAACGACAAACTAGCAGTAAAGGCTTGGGATATTCCTAAAAAAGAATGTTACATCTATGAGATGACCCATGTGAATGAATGGGGTAAAGAGGAAGTGTAAGAAAGCAGTCTAGTAGGTAAAATTGAGTGCACAACCTGAAAAAGGACTGCAAATCTGCAAAACCTAATGCAAAGATAGGGATATCTTGCTTAAGAGTCTAGACCATTAATGAAGCAAAAATATAAAGAGTTTGATAAAGAAATTAACAATACATATAAAATGCTCCAACCTGATGAGTGATGATTGAATTGTTCTTTCAATTGGGAAAAGAAAGAAAGAAAGAAAGGAAAAGGTTCACGTTCTAGAATTTTACCCTGTTCTACTGAATAAATGGTTCAGCTCATCCCACCGTTGCATATGTAAACATCCTGTTGAAAATCCAAACAGTCCATCTTTCATCTTTCTAAATGGATGGCAAGGAGACGTTAAATTTCCTACATCATACAGTACTTGGTCTTGCAAAGAACCTCCAATTCTTATCCTCAAGTACCTGAAAGCTATAAGCCACAAAGGCCACTGAATTATATTCAAATAACATGCTAACCACAAATTATTACTGATTCATCAACCTTAAATTGTTTTAAAGGATGATGTGTACCTTGGATAGCTTTTGCAAGAAGAGGATGAGACAAGTCCTAGAACCACCAAACAAAATTTTAGTTATTAAATCAAAATTGTACCAAAGTTTATATCCCATATCCAGTGAAAACATTAAAAAAGAAAAACTTGTTCAAATGGTTTCCAACTTTCCAGAGCCCTACCAAATTTATGACAGAAGAATAATGCCATGGACATTGGTCGTAGTTACACTTATCATGAGGCCACCAATCAAGGGTAGCACAGATGAAATTATCATCAGTCTCAGCAATTTTGACAGTCCCATCAACCACAATTGTAACATGTTTAACATCTTGAGTGAAAATCACAGGAAAAGAAGCCAAGAGGAAAAGCAAAGATAGGCAGAATCCCATTGGCTGATTAGTTCAAATAGCCCCGTCACCAGCTCAACTTGTTCAGGTGAACTGCAACTGAAATATATAGAGGATTTTTTACCATACTGCATGACTTTACCACTTATCAAAAATAGAAATATGATAGGAACTGACAGTAAAGTTTAGATATTTACATCACCCCAGGAAAAAGGAAACTATTTACATCGCCCCAGAAAAGCGAAAAAGAAACATTCAAGGAATGCAGGGACCAAAAACCAAATTATGAAAACAGTACGCCAACTGTACAATGTCCAGATCTCAGAGTCAAAGAAAATGTTCTGAAAATCATAGTTTATCTCATAATTTATAAATTCCTACAACAACTACTAAAATTTAGCTAAATCTCAATTTTAAAGAAAGTCCCGCATTCATTAATTTAAGCACAAAAGAAGATCCAGAAGAAAGATGAAAGAACAGAAAGAGGAGTCAGGAGAGATAAATATGACTTGGAGCTAGAAAATCAAAAGAAACATTAGTGAAAGCCATGTGTTAATCGCTTAATAAAAGGAATACAACTAACTTCAACAATTACACTGTTTTACTCAATCTAAATTATCAACCTAAATAAACAAATAAAAATCAAACAATAGCATACAGAAACTACAATTGTAGCTAGAAACTGATCTCAATTGTCGAAATTTCATAACTAATACTAAAAGACAGCAGCTAATAATCATATTATTAAAGCAACATTCTTGAGAGTAATAGCAAATAAGAAATTTTCATAACAAACAATAACCTCCAAATCTTAAGCTGCCTTTTTATCATTCACGAAAAGCAACAAGAAGAACCCAAGTGGAAACTTACCTCAAAACCAAGTACACCCAACCAAACCATTAAAGACCACAGTGAAGCTTAATGCTTAAACGAAGTTTCCTTGAATAAAGCACGCCAATGATGTGTCTTTCATGTAAATAAGTCTTGAGACCTATCTATCTACTTTCTTAGGCCTTATCTTGGTGTTTTTGATACACATGTAGCCATCAACAAAAGCCAGTCGTGTTGGCTCAGATGGGTCGGTGTAAGAGTTGTTGGATTTGGTTAAAAAGGTGAAAGCTTTGATTTAGCCAAAGATTTTAGTGCAAGCATGAACCTTTTTAACGGGATTTGGTAAGTGAAACAGTCTGGTTTCTTTTGTATGGTTAAAAAATAAAAGGAAAAAGGTAGCTTTGAAGTTTGAAGATTTGGTAATTGTCTTTAGGTCTCATGAGCTGAGATTCCAAATTGAGTTGAGTGAGCTATTGGTACGGGTAGCTTCCTAGCTTGACTTTGAAGTTATGCCTTAGCCAAATGTCCCAAATCTGGGTGTATAATGCCATTCCTTTTTTTTCAAGTAGCTTTCTTTTTATTTAGTAAATGAAATATTTTTCACTTCTAGCACTTATATTTGGTGAAAAGAAGGAAAAGAAAATAAAAAAGGCAGACAAGGGGGAAATGGAAAATTTTGACAAAAAAAAAAAGTTAATTTTCTTCATGGTTTGAATATAGGATGAAGATAAAATTATTTTCTCTCTAGTAGTATATTATTGTAACTTTTTATTTTTTTTCCCTTCAATTTTTAATATCAAATTAAAATTTTTTCAAATGGATGTCTATAAATCGTATATTATTCTTTTTACATTATTCATATATTATTTTATGTTTTTTAATTCTAACATAATTGGGTCATCAATATTATTTTAATAAATTTATCAATATTCATTTATAAATTTTTTTCTTCCTTTTATATACTAAATAAATATAAGTAAATATAAATACATTTGTAATTAATAGTGCTAACTTAGTTTCTCTTTTATAACCGAAAGAAAAAAATAGTGCAACTCCACCTTTTTTTTTTTTTTTAAATAATAAATACATTTGTAATTAATAGTGCTAACTTAGTTTCTCTTTTATAACCGAAAAGAAAAAAAATAGTGCAACTTCCACGCTTTTTTTTTTTTTTTTTTTTTTTGTGTGTGTTATTTTATATATCGAGATGAATAATATCTTGTAAGAAATAATGATATAATTTTAATAAATGAGTAAAATTATAAATAATTTTTAAAATTTATGGTAAATAATCTATTTTGAAAAAATTTGAATACAATTATAATTTTCAAAAGTGTTTATATTTTAGGCCTTTAAGGATGTTGTTAAATCATTTACCTCTATATCAAGTGACAAACTAATAATTGTATTGCAACTCAAATTTAAGATTGTGCATGAAGGTAGATAGAAAATTAAAAATTCTATAAATTGGTAGCATACTCAATTAATGTAGTTTCCAAACTTTCTATTTGATAATTATAAATAAACTAGCGTTATAACCGTGCTACGCATGGTTTTTTTAAGATATAATTTTTTTATTAATTTTAAATTTTCTCAATTATAATATTATTAATGATTTCTTATTATTGTAAAACATTGTGTAATTTTATTCAAATTTATTGCTCTATTTGTCTAGAATATTTTTTTTTTCTTTCTCATTAAAGTATATTTAAAATAAATATTAGGCACATTTTTAGTATAAACACTAATTGTGATAAGTTTTTTCCAACTATATTTGTTTTAAAGCCATATTTGAAATGTTTTTATATATTATTCAAATCACAGTTAAATTCAATTAATCTTTTTTGAAATTGCAAATAAATTCAACTAATCTAACTATATCATAAATGTCTCAACTTTAAAACTATTCAGTGAACTGCAATTTAAAAATTTAAAATAAAATAAAATGTGCCATAAAACTCTCATTGTGAAAAATGTAACACCCACCGGCCAATCCCGGAGAATCAGACGGCGGATGCCACAATCGGTGCCGGAGCACCGTCTTATATCACTTATTAGGCGGATGCCACAATCGGTGCCGGAGCACCGTCTTATATCACTTATTAAAGTTAGATCACAAATTAGAAGTGGTTAGATTTTCATAAGGAGGCAAGTAATTAACATTTTTTTTTGTTTTAAAAAAATAATATAATAAAATGCTATGTAAGGAAATTCATGAAAATTTCGCAATAATTTCCCCTAAAAATTAGCCTGCCACACAAAAAAAATATACACACTTCCAATTTTCTCTAAACCCCAAAACTCCAAGCTGCCTATAATCAATACACAATCTCAAAGTATCATCCTTCTTCTTCACAAATAATACTGGAACGCTCAAAGTATCATCCTTCTTCTTACCGAGCAACTCCTGAATTTGAATCTTCAACTCTCTCAACTCAGTAGGAGCCATCCAGTATGGAGTAATGGATATCGGTGCAGTACCCGGTATAATCTCGATACTAAACTCAACCTCTCTTGCAGGAGGCAAACCAGACAAATCCTTATTTAAAACTTATTTTTAAATTTTGTTATATATATATCATATTATTCATCACATTTACTAAGCGGTTTATTGTGTAAAATATTTATTTAAATTAATTTTAAATGACTTGTATTGAAATCAAAATATTTAGTCCTTTGTTTAATCAAATTTTTATTATTTGTTTTTATTACTAATAATTCAATTGATGATAAAATACATTGATAATAAATAATCATTTATTATATACCGATTGTGATAATTATTTATGTAAATTAACTACAACTAATAGAAAATTAAAAGATGCAATCCTATTTGGTTCTATGGTTATATATTTGTGCTATGATATATTTGTGCTATGCATTTGACAATTTAATAAATATTGATTTTTAATATTTAATTAGAATTTTTATTAAATTGATTTGTAGATACATAACTTTAAAATTTTCAATGTTTAAATTCCAACTTAAAAATTTTATGAATTGTAATTATTATAATAAACCTTTTTGAAAAAAAATATAATAATAATAATAATAATACTGGTAGTGCATAGCAATTCCACTCGGTACTTTCTAGAGAAAAGATGCCTACTTTATATATATACTAGCTATACCAGTGTCATGTACGGTTAAAAAATTAAAAAAAAAAAGTAAATTTGAGAGAATATATATATATATTATTGAATAAAGATATATCAATAGTAAAAAAAAAATATAATGTAATTTTTTATTATTAAAATAAAAAATAGTATATAGACATGTGTTCAAAAATATGGATTAAAATCAATTTTATCGAATTTTGCCTATAAAATTTTAAAATTTTATTTATCAATAATGAAACCTCTAAAATTCTATTTTATTTTGTAAATTTAACATGAGTATAGATGATTTGAATTTTCAAATCTCATTTTTAACCATTAGACTAAAGCTTTATTGAAAAATTTTACAAACATCGACATGAACACACCTTATAATGTCAATACCAAACATATCTCAAAAATTTATGACTAGTCCAAATCATTTTGTATTTTGAGCGACTTTTCTTGCTTTTATCAAGCAATTGGTTGAACCACTTTCTTTTTCCATTCCTAAATATTACTCTATTATTGTCAACCCCAATTTGTTTTTTCTCCCATCTTGAACATTATTGGACTTCTATGTTAGAGAGCTAAAGAAATTAATTTTCAGAAATTAGGAGTTAAATTATATGAAAAAAACCACAATTTTATAAAGCAAAATTTTAAAAAATTTTAGATTTAAGAGAGACAAAAAGTCCCAAATATCCCATTTAAATATGTTACTAAATATAATAATTGAATATATATTTCATAATATAAAAAAATTATAATTATGGCCTTGACTAAAATATTTCCTTTTAAAAAAACTAGAATAAAGATATATTCAATAATTAATAGCATGTTGATTGGAATTGCAAGTGACTTTAATTTTTCAAAGAGCGAGAATACAAATTTTATTTGTAGATGTTCACAAGAACAAAAATCTTTTTATTTTATCTTTTTTTTAAAAGAAGATAAAATAAAAAGAAATTACTATTTGTCAAAAAGAAATTATTGTAGCGTTTATGTAAACCAAATTGAAACATAAATTTATATATTATACACATCTATAGGGGATAATTCCATAAATTTTATGTTCCATTGTACTTGCATTGTAAGGCACAAAGGAAAATCCAATACTTAAATTTATTAATTTATTTTTTTAAAAATAAAAAATATATTTATATAAATTAAAATAATTTATTAGAGGTAAAATAAACAAAAATAATATTAAATTTTTTTTTTGAGAAGAATATTTTGGAAAAAACTAATTTAATGTTAAACATAATATTGGTCAACCATAACAATATATATATATGAGAAAATAAAAACCCATCAAGATGACGCTTTTACCATCTTCTTCTTTCTTCTGACAACTATAAAAGTTCACATTTCTCTGTTCCCTCCTTCTTCTTCTCTCAAAACTTAGAAAACCCTAACCCAAATTCTTTCTTTTTTCAAATTTCACAATCTCAAACACCGACATTTTCTCTCACTTCCTTCTTAAGTCTATTCCGTAGGAATTATAGTTTCCTGTTTCAACCTATGAGCTGTCATTTTTCTTAATTTGGCAAGCCATTTTTTCCACTTGATACTTCCTAAATCAAAATCCAATCTTTCTTTTTTCCTACATTTTCCACATTAAATGATCTTCAATTACCCATTTCAGTTTTGATCCATCTGATCGTGAATGATCAGTAAATTTTGCATTTTGCTGTACATATTAAAAGAATTTTGCATTACCCATTTCAGTTTTTGATGAGAAATTTAATTATACCTCTTTTTTTTTGTATATTAGTTTTTTTCATTTTCTGCTTAGTTGCAATTTGATTAATGTTGATGGAGAACATTGGAGGGGCAATGGATGATCAGGGCTCAGGATGGTTTGAGGTGAAAAAGGTGCCGTTTTTCATAATCCATTTTGTGGCTCCTTTACATTAATCGCTAAGATTGTTAATAAAAGAAAACTGAATCCTTTGTAATTTTGTTCTTAAAAGGGATGGGATTACTTTATTTTATATACTAAGAAGTTAGATACAGAATATAAAAAGTGCCCTTTTCTTAACTAATTATTCATCTATTTATCTGGAAAAACGTTGTCAGTTTTCAATTTTTAACATTAGTTGTGATCCTCTTGTCGATTTGTTCTGTTTAAAGAGTTGCATTTTAAGTACTAGTTAAGAATTGCTTACTTCACTGACTGGCTGGCAAGTTGGCTGTGATGATTAAGTGTTCAATCTCTTTTTTTCTTCTCTTACGGAGTGTGCTGTATATCTGCTTTCAGTGAACCTGCAACCAAGCAGTTCATGTATTCCTATTATTTTTGTTCAACGATAAGGGGCTTTTGCATCCTATTTCTATTAGGAGTTCATTCAGTCTTCTCCTTCTTTAATGAAATTAATTGGGTTTTTAATTGCATTGTTAAATTGTTTCAGTTTCTCTGGTGTTGTCATGTCAATTTATGGTCCACCCATATATCATGGGTTTATGGTTTTTGTAAGAAGCATGCTGCTTGTTTTAGTGTACATAGCGTGCTCTGAGTTTGTGATTTTCTTTTTTATTTTCCTCCAGAAGCATAGAACTAGTTCAAAATTTTCTGTACGGGACTGGTCCGGGGGATTTTCAGAAAAGAATGGTTCTGCTTATCAGATTACTCAGTCTTCATCAGGTGAAAAAGGTGGGAGTATGCATGGAAAGCACACGACCCAGCTCCCAAATAGAGGAGCAAATCTGTCCATACATGGCTGCAGTGATGTTAATGCTTCACTGTCAAATGGAGATGGAAATGATATGTCCTGCCTTAATAAATCAGTGTTTAAAAAAGATAGTGAAGACGGTGAGTGTCCCAAGTTGTCCCAATCTTTTGTTGCTAATTCTAGTTCTAAAGCTGGAGATACTCAGAAAATTTTGGATACAGATAAGCCTGATGTGGTTCCCAAAATAAAATGGGGTGATCTAGAGGATGATATTTTGGTAATGCATCATGAAAATAATTCTCGAGCTGATGAGAAATTTGGTGATACCGGAGATAATAATTTAGTGGCTAGGAAGCTCGAGCACAATTGTCAATTGGTTTCAGATGCACCTTCTTGCACTAATACGCATGAAAATAAACTGATGACAACATCTCTAGTTATAAGTGTTAGTCCTCACCAAACTATATCCCTGACTAATAAGGAAGATATGATTGAAGTCAACTGTAAAGAGGTGACCAAAATCTCTTCAAATGACATGGAAGTACCAATCATTGCTTGTGAAATGATTGCTGCTAATGATGTTTCAAATTGCTTGGAAATACAAACTGAACATTTTAGTTCTACTTGCCAAGAGGGTGAAGCTAGGATGATGACAGAGCTTCAGGTGCCTGTTATTATGTCTGAGGTAAATGATTCAGAAAATTCTTACTTACCAGTTACAAGTAGTGATTCAGTGGAGTTTCCACAGGATGGTGAGTCAATTCATACTCAAAAGGGTGAATCTGAAATTAGTGTGGAGGTTGGCATGGTGGAGAAACTTCAGTTGCCTGCTGTATGTGCTGTAAATGAGTCAAAAGCCTCTCAATTGCCAGTTACAAATAGGGGTTCAGGCACAGTGATGACTTGTTTAGATGGTGAATTGCTTTCACTTGAAACAAGTGATCCTGAAATTTCCAAAGATTCTGGGATAGCTGTAAAACTTCAGTTTCCTGTCATGTCCGAGGTAAATGAGTCTTTGGTTTCTGACATATCTGCTATAAATGGGAACTCAAGACCAGCCGCGGTTGCACAGTATTGTGAGTCACTTGCAAGTGAAAAGGGTAGACCTGAAATTTCAGGAGAATCTGTAGTAAGAGCTTCTGCTGAAGTCTGTGGAGAACCACTTGATAAGACAATAAGTAATGGACTGTTGAAGGCTCAAGCTACTAATCCCCTTGATGAAGGTGACACAGGTGAAAGCAAAGAGAGGTTTAGGGAACGACTTTGGTGCTTTCTGTTTGAGAATCTTAATAGGGCTGTGGATGAACTTTATCTTCTTTGTGAGCTAGAATGTGACATAGAGCAAATGAAAGAGGCCATGCTTGTCCTTGAGGAGGCTGCATCTGACTTTAAGGAACTGACTACTCGAGTGCAGGGGTTTGAGAATGTGAAAAGGTCCTCTTCTCAACCTGTTGATGGGATTTCAGTTCCATTTAAGTCTGACCATCGCAGACCACATGCTCTCTCATGGGAGGTAAATGCTTTTCTGTTTTCCTTATGAATGTGGCAACTTTACTTTAGATGCTTTACTTTCTGGTAGTTTCAGATACAATAGAGTTTGCCTGAAATGAAAAAAAAAAAAAAAAAAAAAAACTGAATGAAAAAAAAAAAAAAAAAAAAAAAAAAAAAAGAGAGGACTTGGAGGTTGAGGTGAGAGTAGAGGTTTGTGCAAATGAATAATAAGTAAACAAGGAAATTATCCAAATAGAGATAATTTCCAATTTTAGTTTTTAGTGATAAAGAATCTTTTTGAAATTTGTTGGAGGTTATGTTACAATTCGCATTATTAATATTTTCATTTTAATATTTGTTTTTCTAACATGTCAAAGTATGTCTGAGGTGAAAATTCCAGAACAGGTACAACATCTGAATTCGTTATCTCACATTAATAAGGTTCCGTTTGGTTAACTTGCCCAATTTAACCAAATGGAGCCTAAGAATGGTTAGATAGATAGGAAGCAGTTCCTTGCCCGTGATGATTTTAGTAAGTTTGCTTCTTTTGTTTTGTTTTTAAGGTAGAATAACATTCATTTTAATTTATTATTTATTACTTCTAGGTTTTTATTTCTTGATTATCTGTTCCTTCTTTGAGTTGCATGCATATACATTTTGTTATTTGATATATTATTTGATATAATATATATAATATTATATATATATATTATATATATATATATAGTAATATAATATGCCACATATATGCACGTGTGTGTTTGCAATCGCAAAGATACAAATTCTTGTGTTGCATGATAAGAAAGTTTCTTCATGGGAAATGGACATAATTTATCCTCAGAATCCGTTTGAATGCCTTTTTGCATGTACCATGTTGGTACCATGCAGCCTTTCATTAAGAGATATTTTATTATATCATCCAGTCACATGTATTTGTGAATTTGTGCATGCTTTGTGAATTTGCATGTGACTTGTCTTTGTCAGTGCTAGAAACTATTTAGTCACAGAAAAGAATTGAAAATGTGCTGTTAACATGTGAAGTGGAGTTTTTAGTGTATATGTGTATTCAAAAAAAAAAAAAAAAAAGCTAAAAAAAAATTCTCCATTTTACCTATCTCTCTTGTATGAAAATTTGGTTTAATGATTTCTTGCTCAGTGCACGGTTCGGAGAATGACTACTTCACACACAGAGCAGAGATTATTAATCTTCATCTCTGGAGGCTTTTAAGAAAATTCAACAAGAAAGAGGTAATATGCCTGCAAGCTAATAATGGAAAGAACCGTGCAAAAAAAAAAAAAAAAAATCTCCATTTTACCTATCTCTCTTGTATGAAATTGGTTAATGATTTCTTGCTCAGTGCAGGTTCGGAGAATGACTACTTCACCACACAGAGCAGAGATATTATCTTCATCTCTGGAGGCTTTTAAGAAAATTCAACAAGAAAGAGGTAATATGCCTGCAGCTAATAATGGAAGAACCGTGCTTGAGCGTTGTAATCGCCATCTCTCTGACGATAATGTGAAAAACTCATCGATGAAAAATGGTCTAACACTCAATGCTAGAGATTCAATGACAAAAGTGAGGAAACAAAGTGGAGGTTCAGATCTCCCTCAAAGTAGTTTAAGTAGTGATAAGCGGAATGTTGAATTAGGCAGGTCCACTAAAATAAACTTCACACTAAATGGTCATGACCGTCTACATAATTCATCCTCATTGGATATGAATTCATCTCGGTTTAAGGATAGTTCTGCTGCTTCTGGAGCTGGGAGAACCAAAAGAGAATCTGAGGCAGACAAGCTACTTCATAAGAAAGAGAAGACACTTGCAGAAAATACCATTGAGAAAAACCTAAAATCTATTGATCCCCCTCGGAAACAGATTCTTCCTTCTGATAAAGATAAGGAAAAGAGAAATTCTTCTTCATGGAAATCAATGGATGCATGGAAGGAGAAGAGGAATTGGGAGGACATACTTTCGTCTCCCTTCCGTGTCTCATCCCGCATATCACATTCACCAGGTATGAGCAGAAAAAGTGCTGACCGTGCACGCATTTTGCATGATAAACTAATGTCTCCTGAGAAGAAGAAGAAAACTGCTATGGATCTGAAAAAGGAAGCGGAAGAAAAGCATGCACGGGCAATGAGGATCAGAAGTGAGTTGGAGAATGAAAGAGTTCAAAAGCTTCAGCGTACATCTGAGAAATTAAACAGAGTAAATGAATGGCAGGCTGTACGCACTATGAAGTTACGGGAGGGAATGTATGCTCGCCACCAGCGTAGTGAATCTCGACATGAAGCTTTTCTAGCTCAAGTTGTGAGGAGAGCTGGCGATGAAAGTAGTAAAGTTAACGAGGTTCGATTTATTACTTCATTGAATGAAGAAAATAAGAAGCTTATGTTGCTCCAGAAACATCAAGATTCTGAGTTGAGGAGAGCGAAAAATCTTCAAGTGATAAAAAGTAAACAGAAAGAGGACATGGCTAGGGAAGAAGCTGTTCTAGAACGAAGAAAACTTAAGGAAGCTGAAAAATTGCAGCGGCTCGCGGAGACACAGCGGAAAAAGGAAGAGGCTCAAGTTAGAAGGGAAGAGGAACGGAAAGCATCAAGTGCGGCGCGTGAAGCAAGGGCCATTGAACAGCTTCGGAGGAGGGAGGAACGAGCCAAAGCTCAGCAAGAGGAAGCTGAATTGTTGGCACAGAAATTAGCTGAGAAACTCAGTGAGAGTGAACAACGTCGCAAGTTTTACCTCGAACAAATACGGGAGAGAGCATCTATGGATTTCAGGGATCAGCCTTCACCCTTTTTTCGTCGATCTATGAACAAGGAAGCTCAAGGCAGGTCTACACCAACTAACAGTGGTGAAGTATATCAAGAAAACAGTGTTACAGGTACAAAAGGTTCTACTCTTGCTACAGGAAATGTGCCATTGCAACATTCACTGAAACGACGAATTAAAAAGATTCGGCAAAGACTTATGGCTCTGAAGTATGAATTTTCTGAGCCTCCAGTTGGTTCTGAAAATGCTGGTATTGGATATAGAACTGCAGTTGCAACTGCAAGAGCAAAACTTGGGAGGTGGCTTCAGGAACTTCAAAGACTTCGACAGGCAAGAAAAGAAGGGGCAGCAAGCATAGGCCTAATAACTACTGAAATGATCAAGGTACTTGTGCTGTTTGTTTGCATCCATATGTGGGCATATATCAGTATGGACATCAATAATTTTCATCAAAAGCACATATAAAGAGATACATATGGATGTCAATTTGTATTTATGTCTGACATCTGAAGTTTGTGTTCCAAAATTGAGAACTCTTCACCAAGTACTGTTTCAGTAAAATAAGATTTTAAAGATGAGCTTTATGGAGGTTGAATATTCATAACTGTTCTCCTTTTGTGCTAACATCTATTTGATGCCATGACATATTTCTGGAGTGCTGTTGATGGCATTTACGGTGACGCTACATTGGTAGAATTCAGAAAATAGTTTAATTTAGCCAAGACTGTCTAATTGTAGGCTAGTGTGTCATTTACATTTTGAGTTGGGGGTTCACTGACTAGAGATATTTACTACTTGTATAGTGTATTACATCAAATGAATATTGTAATTGCATGCAGTAGTCATCTTTTTGTACTTGGGAATTACTTATAATGTTTTAAGATGGTTTGCCGTAGGTTATCATTGAAACCCTGTAACCTGATATATCATGCTGAATTTTTGTTCTCAATGGCTTCTCACTCCTAGTTTCTATGTTATTTTCTACTTTTGCTTTTGGTGCTAGAAATTATGCCAACTATCTAACGTATTGCATTCTGATTCTTTAATGAATTAGTTTTTGGAGGGAAAAGACCCTGAGCTGCAGGCTTGTCGACAAGCTGGTCTGCTTGATTTTATTGCTTCTGCACTGCCTGCTTCTCATACATCAAAGCCTGAAGCTTGCCAGGTTACGGTACACCTTCTAAAACTTTTAAGAGTTGTCCTCTCTGTACCTGCAAACCGGAGTTATTTTTTAGCACAGAATCTTTTACCCCCCATCATCCCGATGCTCTCTACAGCACTTGAGAACTATATCAAGATTGCTGCATCTTTAAATGTCACTGGGATCACCAACCTGTCAAGCAAAACTTCAGTTGAAAATTTTGAGTCAATCTCTCAAGTACTGGATAATTTCTTATGGGTTGTTGGCGCTGTTATTGGTCATACAAGTTCTGATGAACGGGAACTCCAAATGCAAGATGGCTTGCTGGAGTTATTGGTTGCTTACCAGGTTGTTCACCGGTTGCGCGATCTTTTTGCACTCTATGACAGGCCTCAGGTGGAAGGATCACCATTCCCTTCTTCTATTCTCTTAAGTATACATCTATTGGTGGTTTTAACATACAGACCCAAAGCCTATAGTAAAATCAACTGGGAAACTTCTCCAGTAGAAACAGAGATAGAATTTGAAAATCAAGAAGCCAATCTGGCAGAGGTTGCTGATTTTGTGCATTCATCTGCAAATATGATATCTGAGGAATGTAGACCTCCATTATGTGTATTAAATGGTAGTACAGTTGCATCTCCTATAGATGTATCAGAGGATAGACTTTTACATGACTCATGTGGTGTAAATAAAAGTGATGAGCCATCTACAGGCAGAGATGGTGAAAAGAAGCCAACTTGTAGTTCAGTAGAGTTGAATGATGCCAACAATAACTTGAGAGGTGGTCCAGATGAATCTGAAAAAAATTTAATTGAGAAGGATAAACAACATCTGGTTAATGTTGGTGCAGAGCTAAAGAATAATATGCTGAGCATGAAGCAACCAGTAGCTTTTCTTCTTTCTGCCATATCTGAAACTGGATTAGTCAGTCTTCCCTCTCTGCTGACAGCTGTGCTATTGCAAGCAAACAATAGGTTGTCGTCTGATCAGGTAGACTGCTTCTAGCTGCGAATATTACTTGCACTACTTTTACAGTGATCATTTAATTGCTCTGAGAATCTTGCATATGTATGCTTTTATTAGTTTATTTGTTCTCGCATTTGCCATTCTACTTATGTAGTGCCTGAGCTTGGTGTTATATTCATTGTCTTATTTCTTTTATTTGCATCAAATATAAGCTATATTTTAATCTTTCAGTTCTTTTATTTTTTATTTTATGCTCTCTTTTAAGATTTTTTTCTTTTCTACCAAAATTGTTTCAAAATTTTTTCAGACATATATTTTTCTTTGATCAGAGTGGGTATTAGAAACAAAAAATTCATGTAGCCGATCCCAACTAGTTTGGGACTAAGGCTTAGTTGTTATAGTTTTTAGGATTTCGTTATAGTAGTGTCTCCATTCCAGTGTGAGATTTTTTTGTTGCTCTCCATACCATGCAGATTTCAGGATTTTATGCTTTGACCAAATGATTCTCCAGCCATATCTGTTAATTGTGTTGCTGAAATTTGATCTTTCTTCTTGCCATATCATTTTCAGGAGGCCAACATCAATGATATGCTATATGCATCTTTATGATTTTGTCACAGACCTAACTGTTTTGCTTTTATATTTGTGGGCCAAGGAGAGTTGATTCTAAAAAAGAACTACTTGAGATGGCTTTTGGAATCTAGAGGTTTAAGGTTTAACTAGCAAATTGATCATGTTGATGTTCATTAAAACTGGTTTTAGGCCCGCAAATGAAATGGCTGTAATATGTCCGATGCAAATATTCCCATACTGCATTTGGAAACTTTTCAGGGATGTCAAAACTTTTATTCTGTCCTTTTTTTTTTTCCAACTAACTGTTCTGATTTCATTTATGTTTATCTTGTGACAGAACTGTGTACTGCAGTATAGTGCAAATTACTAAATATTTCTTTTTCTCAGGGTTCGTATGCCCTTCCATCCAATTTTGAAGAGGTGGCAACTGGGGTGCTGAAGGTTTTGAACAATCTGGCACATTTGGATATTACTTCTATGCAGAGAATGCTAGTAAGTGAATTTCATCATATTTGATTTTGGATAACTGGTGGTGGCTTCTGATTCTGGATTATTTTAAGATTTTTCTCTCCCTAATTTGAGTCCCAAACTGTTCACAGGCTAGGCCTGACCTGAAAATGGAATTTTTCCATTTGATGAGTTTTCTTCTATCTCATTGCACCAGCAAATGGAAAGTTGCTACTGACCAGGTAATCTTTAGTTGCACTATTGTGCAACTGTATATAAAGTAATTTGTATTTCTGGAACATTTCCAGCTAGCTAAAATGTCTGCAAATTATATCAGGTTGGGTTGCTTCTGCATGAATGTCTTTTGCTTCTTGGTTATTTTGCCTTGTTCCACCCTGAAAATCAGGCTGTCCTCCGGTGGGGAAAGAGTCCTACAATACTTCACAAGGTTAGTGAAAATTAACAGTAATGCACTTCTCTATCAAGATGTTAAAGATAAAATCTCAGTGTTTACCTGGCAAAACAGGTATGCGATCTGCCGTTTGTGTTCTTCAGTGATCCTGAATTGATGCCCGTTTTGTGCGGGACATTGGTTGCTGCCTGTTATGGGTGTGAGCAAAACAAATCTGTGGTTCTGCAAGAATTGAGTATGGATATGCTACTCTCCTTGTTAACTTCTTGCAGAAATGCCCATTTGGCTGTCAGAACCAATCAAAATCTTGAGAATTTGCCAATTGAGGATTCTGGCGAAAGTAATCAGCAGAATTCTGAACCTAGAAAATCTTACGGAGACAACCCTTTAAGATCCAACCGTTACAATGCCAAAAGTAACCGGCTTTCCTCAGGGAAAGCTAATCTTTTAGGAAACAGCAACAGAGGTGGCAAGATTAGAAGCCAAAGGGATTACAAAACAACAAAAACTGGTGAAGAAATGGCTCTGAAGCATAATCCACTGGCTCCTGAAATTTCTGTGATGCTGCATTGTAGGTTCCCTAATAGCTTTATTGACAGAGCAGAACAGTTCTTTTCAGCCGGGATAGCAAATGTGGGCGATGCTTAATGGAAACTCTTATTATCTTCATACAACGCTGCCTTCACTGCACATTTGAGGGGTAAAAGCCTGCCTTAATTTCACTGGAGAAAATTTTGCCCGAATCACAGCAGAATGTTCAGCATTAATAACTAATTCACTGGTAAGGTGAACAGAGGCAGAGTTAAGATGAATACAATCTTATTCTGGGTAATATTTAAGTGTAAACTCTGATAATTTAATAAAGTGACAAGATATCAGGATGTCATTCAGGATTCTAAGTGTAGGATAGTTACTGAATGCCATAAGAATTGTATCATTACACGAGTATGATTTATCCAAAGAGCACCTGGTGTTCGAAGAGCACCATGTTTTAATAAATTAACAAAACCACACGTACTACTTCCGTATTTGCACATTTTAATAAATTTGAATATTAAATATAATTGCTATGTATCAGTTAAAATTGTTAATCATATAAGTTTTTATTTTCCACTAAAATTAAATGTACAGTTGTTGTATAACGATTAATCATTTTAAAATGAAAAAATTCAATAATATTATTAAAGCTTAATTTTAATATGAGCTGTTGAAATGACAAATTTTGATACAGTTGTACCAACATTTTTGACATCAAGCATTTATAAAATATAAATTAATTTATTTTAAAAGATATTTACAATATGTACATATAAAAAGCACAAATAAAATAATTTTATACGCATAATTCTGATAATGAAAAAGACAATACATTAAAATAATAAGTGAAAGAAATTATATGCACTTACTAATAGAAAATAATTTATATTAAGCAGTAAGATACAAGCATGACTAAAACTAAAAAGCTGAATTTGATTATTAAAATTTTTAATTAATGGTATGCTATTTGTAAATATAAATTAAACTAATATCCTTTTTTCTGAAAAGCACCTCAAATGCCAAACTAATATCCTTTTAAACATACATATATACGAAGTTCTACCAAATGGAGCATTTAGCAGGTCCCTAATCTTTGGTCAAAACCCTCTCGCCGATTAATAAGACAAAATAATAGCAACAGGCAATATAATAACTTTCAAATACGATTCACCCAAAAATAAGAAATAAAATCTGAGAAAAGTCATGATTTTAATTTGATCTTATAACCTGAGAATGTTGGTATAAGGCTAATGGCTACAACTCTCAATTCACAAAAAGAAAACCAAAAAATCAATGTACACAAATCCTGACACTGTTTTCACAATCCCAATGCTTAATTAGCTCAGAATTGCAACTCTTGACAAAAATTTTGATTAGGTGAACCAAAACAAACTTGGATTCTGATGCATCCCAATGGCAGACTGCAAAGTGCTGCTTGAGATTTTACCATTCGCTATCTAAACATGGAATTATGAGCATTAATCTGAACCAACATCAACCCCCTTTTGCTTTAGAAAGTCCTTGGCCTCCGTGATATCCTACAGATAGAAATCCATAGTTGTAAATATATGAAGCATCAGAACAGTCATATCAGCTTTGTTAAGGAACTTCATATCATTTCCTATAGTAAAATAAAAGCCGGTAATTCTTGAAACTTCTTCGTGCTAAAAGAAAATAAATATAAGGGTAAGAGATGTTACTGAAGCGCAGTCTAACCAATTTAACATGATCATAACTAGGAAAAGAACATAGAAGGCCACTCATCACAATCTTAATGTATTCACATACAAGTAGATGAAATGAAAACAGCATAAAAATAGATTTCACTAGAATGATTTTCAAAATGCAGTCATTTCAAATTTAGTGAAAATATACAAATGCAACTAACAATTTCAAATTAAAGCAAGCACCGCTCAGCCCACAATGTCCCATGAAGTTTAGAATCTCTTAAACTAGACAAGGGAATGAGCAGAGTGGCCAAGTATTTCCATTAAAATAGGAAGAAAGAAAATCTCAATCATAACCTACAAGACAAAGTTGAAACAGCGGAAAATACCTCCTGCAATAACAGTGCTTCACGAGGGCAAGTTGGAAATTGCATTAAACCAACTCCAACCATTAATAAACCATAGCATCCCAGAGATACAACAAAATAGATGGGTAGCTGGAAAGAATGCAAAAGAAACTCATTTTAGTCTTGACAAGTAAGAAGAACCAAACACACAAATACCCACAAGAATAAACAAATCATGCATTTATTTGAAGAGACTTACCAACCAAGTATGGCTACGAGGAACAATAGATGTTTGTAAAAGACCGACCCAAAAGGCAGAAATAGCCACTAGAATGGCCATAATCTTAACAATGTGCTTCATGGGACTCTGACCTGCTCAGTTTTAAAAGAATCATTATTGAGTAATAAAATAAAATCATAGTTGAACAATAAAAGAGTTTATTTTGACTAAATTCTCAAACAAACTTGGTCCTTTTCATTATTGGATTACAACAGGAGCCAATTACAGCAAAATCAAGCAATACAACAGCTTTTTAGGAATTGACAGCACAAATCATTGGTTATATAGTTTGGAGTTTACTAGGCAATGGACTAGGTAGGTTGTGCGGTCTATATTAGTAGGGGATCATTCTAAGTGCGTTATGCACTATCTTTTTTCATGAGCATATGCAATACTAAACAAATATGCCAAACAAAATATCTTTTTCAAGGCAATTGAAGTAAGAAGCTGTATCGGACCAATTAACACCTAAACCTGGTAAAATAAGAAAACTAATGAGTCCACCAGCACAGAGCTTTTTACAGGAGCAGAATAGCAGAGCAAAAGCGAATTGAATAGACATTTGTGAATTCTGAGAATACAGGAATGTTCTTGCAGAAAGGACCAAAGCAGAGTAGACATGATCAGATGGCAAATGCGAGAAATGCTTAACAACACTTGAACCACCATCAACATGACAATTATGCAAGCTACTTAGAAACAACCAATTAAGGAACATACAAATAAGTAGATGGCAACAAAACACAATCTTTAAATCTTTTTGCCACATTGTTTGGACTTGAGCAACCCATTTCACATGGTATATAACTTGTGAGCTTTGTAATTCCTAATCAAACTCTAAATTTTATGTCAGACCAAACTAACTCATGTTCAATATTTTTTTTTTTTTTTTTTTTTTTCACTTGAACACACCATCAACATGACAATTAAATGCAAGCTACTTAGAAACAACCAATTAAGGAACATAACAAATAAGTAAGATGGCAACAAAACACAATCTTAAAATCTTTTTTGCCACATTGTTTTGGACTTGAGCAAACCCATTTCCATGGTTATAACTTGTGAGCTTTGTAATTCCTAATCAAACTCTAAATTTTTGTCGACCAAAACTAACTCATGTTCAATATTTTTTTTTTTTTTTTTTTTTTTGATTGAACAAAATTCTAAAAAAGAAAGAGTTTACTCTGATTGAACCTTTGATCTGTTTATTATAAAAATGGGACACTTTTTTTTTTTTTTTTTTTTTGATTGAACAAAATTCTAAAAAAGAAAGAGTTACTCTGAATTGAACTTTTGATCTGTTATTATAAAATGGGACAAACTTTTAAATACTAAAATACTAGTTCAATGGCTTGATTCAAGCATGGAAAGCAAAAACTGAAAAAAAGAAAAAGGAAAATCCACTATAAATAACTAAATCATCTCCACTTTCAACTTTATATACAAATGATTTCACTACACTGTCATACTAAGTAGCTCTGCTACTGCAACCCCAAGCAGGTTTTGATCTCCTACACACAAATCACTCTTTTCCCATGAATGTTTTGTCATTTGAACACCAACTGCTGATCAAGAGCTTCAAATAACCCATGTTCTTGAACCAAACTAACAAAACCGATAGCCAAATTCTCAATGCTATAGGTACGTTTATAAAACTGCAGCCTCAGAGGACAAAGGCAAAATATTAACAGTGAGAACTGAGAACTGTGCATGTATGCCTCCGTCAACTACATTTTTATTATACTCAAAAAATCTCAAATTTCACCAAACAAAAGATGGGAAGTCAACATTTTTCTGAAAAAAAAAAGATTGCCCTGTTTATCATATTCAAACTGATTCAAGAGAGACCTAGACTGACTAGAAATTAATGGGCAAGAAATGGAAGCAACTACTAAAACGGAAAAAGCAACAGGATAATTAGGAGTCAGTGGGTAAAAATAGAAATTAACGAACCAATTCGATCGAAAGTTTGACAAGCCAAGATCACCAAGTAACTCCCAATCAAATTAACCCCAAGAGGCGGTAACCTGAAGAAACGAAGGCCCTAACTCGCCGCCCGCAGTCCACACCCACAAGCCACGGACAGAAACGTCAAGCGCTAAAGATCGACGAAATCGAAGGAAAACGAGAAAAGGAGAGGAAGATTGAAGAACAAGGAGTAGAAGCAGAACGCAGCGTTTATTTGAAACTGCCGGCCATTTTAAACGTGAAATGTTAAAAAGTGAAAACAACTAATTTGAGTTTTTAAATAATGATTTTATTTTAGTTTCCCCTTCAAAAAAAAAAAAAGCCTAATTTGAGTTTTTTTTAAATAATAATTTAATAGAATTAGTTTTTCTTTTTTGCTTAAAATTCATATGTTTGATAGCAAAATTATTTTTTTAAATAGTGTTTTCAAGTTTTTTTTTAATTTAATTTTTTTGGCAATTTTTTTTTAATTTAAATTAAACAATAGTATAACCTAAACACAAGTAAAAACATCAACTATATCACATCCAAATAGCAAATCAAAGAGAAATTGATACTACCTCTTTTCCATTATTTTTGACCTTTTTTTTTATTATTTCAACTTTACCTTTGTTTAAATATCTATATCAAACTTTCTCTCTTTTAATTACAATGAATTAATTAAAAAATAATTCAATCAATTACTCTTATTTTCTTAATTCTTATAAAAAGTTAACAAATATTAAAATTAACATAACAGAAATAATAATTGATAAATTTTTTTAATTAATAATTGATGTCATAGAGGTATCAAATACAGGTCTCCACGCGCTTTTTAGAGCATTTCTCCACGTAGGTATTTGATTTTGCAATTAAGAGTTTAATATTTACAAATTATGAAGTAGGCATGCATAAGGTGTCGTACTGCTAAACAGGAAAAGTAAATTGGCCGTTTTGAACCTGTCTAACTAACTGTAGTCACGGTAAAGGATCCTTCATTAGGATACTTCTTCATTGTATTTCTCATTGGACCCCTGATGAAGGATCCTTCAGGATTCTTTACATTCAAATGAAATGATAAAATGCTCCTTCACTGTAGTTCTCTTCAATCTTCAGCTTTGGATAATTTCAAGTCTTCGCTTCCGGGATTTGTGTCTTTTCTGCAGAATAGGCACTTCCAGGAACCTTGACTAAAAGCTCGTCAACTACATCTTCTTGCATTTCGGAACGTCCTTGGCCCTGAAACAGATCAGGCAGATTTATATGCAAAAGAAGAATGTTAGTGTAGAAGTTTTACCAGTCAGCATATATGAAATTATAAGGAAGAAAATAAAAAAGAACTGAGGACGAAATCAAATAGAAATGTGAAAAAGACCAAAACAACAGGTGCTAGAAAAATGAAATCATATGTTTTGAAAAGACTATTCAAAATTACAAATTATCTGTCAATTCTTGTTCCATAGAAAAATTTGTCCACACCCAGTGATCAAAAAATTCAGAACTTTCTTAAGGGAGACCTAAATTCTCAGAATTTACCTTAAAATTACTGTTACCCTCCTCCAGATTCTGGTCTTTGAGTTGATTCATGATGATCTTCAGTTGTTCCCTAGCCTTGGCCCTTGTTAGACGTCGTTCAGCACGTTGTGCAGCAGTAACATCAGAATGGCAAGCAACACAGAGAGTCCTCATGTTCTCCAGTCTGCATTCACCTGCAGAAAATTGAGAACAAGATATTTAAGATCACAGCTTAAACATTATTTGACTAAATAGTGAGAAAAAGCCAAAAAAGGACATCCTTGAGAGGATAATTACTACTAATAAAAACAAGAGCAGCAGCAACAAAAAATTCGATGCTTTTATTGCAGCCTGCAACAAATCAAGCTGTAGAACACTTTCAGAACTTAAGAGTAATTACAGTTCTTTCTGAATCACTTCCATCCCGAAACCTAACAGCCAGGTTCAAGTCCCATAAATTATTGACTTGTAAGGATCATGATAGCAAGTTCCAAATCACAAATCAAAGTTAAAAACATGAATTTAATCTGCATCTGGTGCAACAAATTCCAGGAAGATATGCCAAGTCATATGCCTCCACATCATTTGTGGAATGTCCATCAAGTTGCCAACCAAATATTCCTGGGCCATGAGTCCTTAAACAGTAATTTCAAAGGCAACATCATCGTACCTCCACCCTGGTAGACAGGAATGATGTGATCTGCATGCCATGCGTTACCTTCAGATGGATCATTGACAAGCTTATCAATCCTGCAGGTGTCCAACATAAAATTTTTCAGCTCAAATATTTCAAACCATTTGGTACTATTAAGGTAAAGTAGCATAAAGCATCTCAATTAAATAATTAGTATTTCTATTTCCAGATACAACAGCATCTTATCTTCCTCACGAAATGTGTAAAATTTCTGATCAGTCCTAAAGTTCAGGAGCAATATATAATTTTAAGAGGTCAGTTACCTTAAGCCAATCATTTGGCGTTGATGCATACATTTAATGATAAATTAATATCTTTCTGAAGCAGAACTACTAAATGGAAAAAAAAAAAAAAAATCTTGAATGCCATATGAAGAACTTCACTGTGATCTCACAGCAAATGAAACTGACACTACTCTAGTATTCAATTTTGACTTACAAATTCTTCCGACTTGCCAAATTTGGTGCTATTTTCTCAATATATTCTCTTCGTCTCTCCAGTGATAAAGGTTTAATGGTCTTCACAAGTTGATGGCAGTCCAACTGGCAATTTCTGCAAACCCCATGTTCTATTTGGAAAAGTTCCTGGATATAATGGATGAAGTTAAATAAATAAATAAACAAAAAGTTCTACTTTAGATACAGCTCCAGTCCTAACCTGTCGAAGGGATCTGCTACTAGTCCTTATTCGATATTCTTCATAGCAGCTAAGGTTACAGAAAAGATCCTCAAAAAATTCAGGTGTCGTGGCATTGCTTCCCCTGAGAGTGAACAATGTAACCATTATATGACAACAACTAAGCCTTAAATCTACGTACACGATATATACAACTGATTTAATAAAGAGATAAAGATAAGACGGGAGAAAAAGGGAATAAAACTACAAAAAATATAAAGAGAAGTAATTGGAAGGATGAAAATTGCAGCAATTATAACTGATCTGGACTTACTTGCATGGTATCTGACAGAGTTTACAGAGTGGCTCATCCATTATGGTCCAACCCTGTGTATATTGTTTTTCCTTCTTGCCATAGCTACCAGATAGATTTACCTTCTTCCAAACAGCATTGGATGGTAAAGGGTAGCTAATCTCGCACAAAGGAGTCTTCCGCCGTTTGCTTCCACCCTTCAGCAGTCCCTATTTCAGAGATTTGCACAAAGGTCAAAGAAAGCCTATTGATTAACCATACAACCATATTTAGAGGGGGGGGGGGGGTTGCACAAAAGGTCAAAGAAAAGCCTATTGATTAACCCATACAACCATATTTAGAGGGGGGGGGGGGGGTTGGTGGTGGTGGGAACTATAGATTAAATTCTTTTCCACAAAGATAAGAAAAAAAAGAATTGATGTTCCATTTTCATTCCTTCCCCTCTATTATATTTCCATTTTTCCAATGTCTCAAGGGGGGGTGGTGGTGGTGGGAACTATAGATTAATTCTTTTCCACAAAGATAAGAGAATTGATGTTCCATTTTCAATTCCTTCCCCTCTATTATATTTCCATTTTCCAATGTCTCAATCTCATCTCAGTAGGATTCAAAAGGCAGTCATCTTCTTTTTAAATCAAATAATAGGCAGGAGTGAGCTCTGTAGCTTAATGCTCTGATTTCTTATTTTCCTACTATACCATATACAAGAATCTGGATCAACATTGAAGAACTTAGCAGTATTGTCTTGCAAATTTCTCTCATGATAATCTTACTTGTCTCTGAAACCAAATTCCTTTTTCTTTAGCTAATTACATATTTAAGGATTAAGCTCCTTCCAAAGTTCAGTTTTTTATCCAGACACTAATCCTGAAATAAGGTAAACACCAATATTTTGTCGATGTGAGGAGACCTTATAATGCTTTATGTTTCTGTTATATGCTTTATGCTTTACTTTTTCATTTAGAAAAAGTAACTGACTTTGTTGGTAATTTTCAGTAAAGGTTACTTTATCAAGCCAGGAAGATCAGTTGAAATTGAAAAAAAGCAAGGGGCTTAGGGAGAAAAGTGGCAAAGAGGTTATCATGTTTTGTTGTGTGTATAATAACTAGGTAAATTTGGTTGGAAATGAATGCTAGAATTTTGAAAATAGAACTACATGAATTGAACAATATATCTACTGATCAAGGATGAGCAGGATAATGACATTCAAAGTTATTACAGAGGAGAATAAAAAACTAGTTCATGTGGATGTACCTCACTGCCGTGGTTAATATTTTCATTCAAGTAGCACAACTCAATAGATATAGGAAGCTGCAAAGTCTTTCCAACTAATTTCCTTCTCTCAATGGGCCTTAGGCTGTTCCACTCATTAATAAATGCAAGAAGAGCACGACTACATGCTGGGTTGCTCTTGAAAGATCTAGTAGTTGTTTCCTTGTTATCATTGGCTGGAGCAGAATTGAGCGACTCAAGTTCCTCTGGGCGGAAATTCTCAAATAGTGGCTGTGGTCTTGAGTCTGTACCCAAACTACAGGAATACAGGTGAATCCTCCCAGTATATTTGCTCACCTAAACAGTAGGTGTAGGTAAAGCCATTAATCATTCAAGTTAATCCCCATTGTTTTCATATCTTTCCTTAAAGATTGTAAAAAAAAATATTAATAAATCACCCAGATCAAACAAATGATAGCCCCTAGCTAATTTGACATAATATCCACTTGAAGAAATACTACTGAATCTTTGAAAAACATGCAACATCAATAATCCTTGGAGCACCAAAATAACAGACTTAGGCTCTGTTTGGAAACAACCTTTCATGTAGCTTTTAGTGTTTTAACGTGGTCAAAACATCATTCCTAATATTAACAGTGTTCGGTTGACATAGTGTTTACATTAGCGTTTAGAGTTTGAGAGAACAGACTATGAAATGTTACTCCCTTTAACGTTTAAAGAATGCTAGTGAAACAACTGACAGCTACTAGGACAGTTAACAACTACTAAAACAGTTAATTTTGCCAAACAATGCCTTATAGAATAACATAACGAATAATGCCGTTTTAATAACAAGCCCCAGTGGTGACAGAAATATGAAAAGCAAATTGATTTGCTACAAGCTTAAATTTGTCAAACTCGAGTCATCAGTGAACTCAGTCATGTAAATACCAATTTAACTGAAACTTCTACATGGTCAACCTAGACCACTGATTTGACACATTGATCTATGCAGAAAATGTTTAGTAGGCAGAGAGAAAGAGGTGAAAAGACATACAACCTATCAATTTCAACAATACAATTAAATTTTGTAAGAAAATAACATCAATTGCTTGCATTCCTATATCTTAAATTTTCTCTTGATTTACCCTCCACAGACCAACAGGCTATAACTTCCTGTTTATAATGTCTGGAACCAAACAATTTGAAGCTCATGTCTAAACCTTGAAAAATTGTGCGATTCACATTTAAACATCTAGATATACCAGTTGCAGGACAAATTAAACAAAAAACTGAATATATGAACAAGTGGAGTGCAGAAAGAAGAAACATACACAAAACAAATTCCCGAATTTGCATTGTCAACCATTATTAAGCTGCCAAAACTCTCAAAGACAAAAATAGATTCTTGCAACTTTGGAAACACATTTATAAGAGTGAAAATAGCTAAAAGCTTCTCATATTGATATGCTGCTTCAAATGCACAAAGCAGCAAGGGAAGCCAACCAGTATGCAGATCTCAGTCGTTTTTATTGTTATACCTCAAAGCGCAGAGAATGTACTTGGCTGGAGAAGGATTCATCAGCTTCATTTTCCTGAGCAGATCCAAGGTCATCCACTTCTGTTGTTTGTGGACCAAAAATTTTTTCCTGCATTTTCTGATTTATAAAACATTTTTCTTCACATAAATACAAAAGAAAAACTATATGGCCACCTGTGTCTGAAAAAACTAAAACTCTTTCAGGGCATACCTTTTCTATCTGATCCTTGCTTTCATTTTCTTTGTCCAACAAAGAAGAAGAAACTCCGCAAGCAGAGCCAAGTTCACTTTCTGATACATCTCTCTCTAGGTTTCCACTTGCAACAAAATAGTCATACAGTTCTCGGTCAGGGACCACATTAGCCTGTTCCACCGATGAAATTAAGTATTCAGATCATAGGAAATCAAATTAAAAAATGAAAGGGAGAGGACATCTTAAAACAAGAAAAACCCGAACTCTAATTTTTAAGTCACACCTTAAGATGAATATCATCTGTTTGATATGCACTGGCACCAGAACTAGAATGTCCTTTGGATCTATCAAGTAACATGCCAGCTGCTTCATCAGGAGTTTCAATTTCAAAAGGTTCTGTGTTGAGTGCTGAGCAAAGATCAGTTAGCTTCCCAAGTTTGACAGCAGAAAGCTCACCATATGAGGCTTCATCCGAAACTTGATTCTCGGAATTTTTCTGAGTTTTGCCAGGCGTTTCTAAGTAAGAAACACCATCAACCTGCCAGCAAGATTAATGAAGTCAAACCTCTTGGAACAAATGAGAAAAACAGAATCTTGACATACCGTCATATGAACAAAAACCAAGAGAAAAGAACAATAAAAGAGCTCATAAATTTCAATTTCAAATGAGGTGCCCACCATTAACACTCAAAGTCTGAAACTAATAAATATTGTGAAAAGAAAAAAAAAATAGAAGGAGAAAAACTAAAAAACAAAAGATGGTGCTTATCCACAATTCTGATCACACAGCAGAATTTGAATAAATATTAGATTAATGGATAGCAAGATGCTACTAGGGGAACTTTTTCACAAGTAATTTGAGCTTAAAACTCAAAGCTGTGACAAATTGTGCCAGCAAGAAAAAGAAAAAACATGTACTATGTAAAGAAGATTAACTCGCAACAATAGACAGAGGAAGAAAGATACCGCTATCTCTGGTACTGCATCATATTTTCCATTTGTAGTGGATGAAACACGATGTAGACTCTTGTTCAAGTATAGCCAATGTCTTTCGTCCATAGTGTCCTGCAATAATATAGGACAAATTAATGTATATTTCAACAGAATGACTATAAAACTCTAACAAAAATAGTTTACAAAAGAAATATACACCTTTGCACAGAAGATGTATATATTGACTGCATTTGTTTGCCCTCTCCTGTGAGCTCTATCCTCAGCCTTAAAAAATATGTCCAAAGGAGGCAGATATAGCAAAAGTTACAAGTAAAAGATCAGGAAAATCTATGTGCAAATACACAGCCAAAAATATTGGAAGAGTATGGTTCTCAAAAGAGGAACAAAAAAGATAGAGGGTACACTGTAAGCCCACCCTGCACCCCTGGGAGCACAATTACACTCATCAATGCTCATTACATGGTATTCTTAAATCTTAGCAACAGTTTGGAACTTGAAAATAGTCAATGTAAATACAATTTCCCTCTACAAAGCTTCTCCATCAAAATTATAACAAAAGATGCAGAAACATGTAAGATTTATGTTCTTGTCCAAGTATTTTATTGAACAATGGGAGCACACAGAAAAGTAACTACTCAAAAGTTTCCAGAGATCAAATCTGGAAAAAAATGAAAAGAAAAAAGAAAACTACTTGGATTCACTGGATATGAGTACACAAAACGATATTTCACAAGCTGATAGTAGAGAGTCATAAAGAGGACTTATAATTGAGCCATCCTTCACTACAGAAGGTTATATAACAGATAAAATAGCAAATATTTATTAATAAATAAAACGTTTTATCAATATATACTGCCATCAAATTTCAACTATAAATGCTAAATAAAACAAACAAGTCAGACCTGAAGCATTAATGAGGGAGAATGAGGCAGCTCCAGGAACACAACATTTTGGGCTGAGGAAAAATCAAGTCCAACACCCCCAGCAGTTATACCAATTATTGCAACCTTAACCTGGCAAATAAGGAAGTGTACTTTTTAGTTCACCATTCTGGACATGTATATTTATACCTGATCAAATTGGTAAACAAAAAGGAAAGTAACCATTCCAGTGCGGGTTCTAGGGAGGGCAAGCATTTATATTCGCAAGCACGTTGTTTCATAGTTTGAAATTAATGCAAGAGATTCAAGTCACAAGGAAGCAACCTACTGTTGCACCAATGCTTACCCTCCATTGCTTCAAACAATAATTTTTACATTGTTAAAGAGTAACATGGACACTTTTGTGAGTGCCCATATCGATGAAACAAGGGAGAATGAGATGTCATTAGGCCAATTAATTATTCTCTATTTTTATCTTCTTAAGCAATTTCATATATAAAATGAAAACAATAATATAAATTGAAAATACAAAGTAAAAGGAAAAACAAAAAGAAGTTTTCTGTAATAACCAAATAAGTCAATGAATATACAAACTAGGATACTAGCCTCATTTGATGATTGGAATGACAATACAGCTGATTGCCTATCTCTGGGAAGTGTGCTTCCATCTATGCGAACAAAACCAACTTCTTTCTCACATATGAGCTCCTGACCAACTCAAAGCAATAAATTCAAATTAGCACTAACATCTAGACATCATATACTGCTAAATAAAGCCAATCAGAGGCCAACATGCAGAAACAAATTTCAGCAAAATAAAATTCATTGAAGATTAGAAAAAGAAATGTAAATTTGCCACTTTCCAATCGGTGAAAAATGAATAAGAAACCTTCTGTCAGGAGAAAAATATTAAATGAATTTACAGCTTTATTGACAATAATCTAGTGCAAAATGTGAATAAATGTAGCCTCGGGGGTCAAACTGAAGTTTCTTTCATCTTCTCTAATTTCTAATTTGTCCAAACTTCAATCCAGATAATTTATCATACAACTTTAATCACAGACAGTTCATGATGGTTTAAATTGTTTCATTGATTCACTCCACTGTCCATACTGTGGTTAAATATAATTCTGTGCATTCATTTGTCTCATTTGATCTCATTTCAACTAAATTTACTGAGAATTCACAATCCAGGATCTTAACTCACATAATATTTAAGTTTTTCATTTTTTTTTTTTTAACCACTGGTTTTGATTAATAAAGTATTAGTGACCAAAGTCCTTACAGTGGTACAAAACCCATGAAGTAAGCATATCAGAGATTAGCTATAACCAACAATTAAACAAGGCTTCACCTTTTGCTAACCCATCTTTGGAGGTGATTTGGTACTTGTTAAGTTGGACTCACACAATGCACCCGCAAAAAGTGGCATCATATAATGATTCATGAACTATCTTACTAAGTAACCCCAACATGCAAACAGCTCTATCAGTTCTGTTAATTATTTGGATAGAGCTACCAGGAAAATGGATGAGCAGAAGATATGAGCTTATACAAAGAAATGAGGAAAATGTTGGATATCAGAAAGAAGCAACCAGATATATGACTAACATCTTTTACAGATTCCATTGTTAAATATTAGGTCAAAGAAAAGGCAATTACCGATGTCTCTATTTTAGCAGGAAATGTAAAATTTATTATAACTTTCAAGAGGATCATAATTCTAAAAAAAGTTCATAATCTGTTTTATTTTCATATCAGATTAGACAGCTACAAGTTGGGCATAAAATTTCTCTATTTAGGATGTTTTTTTTTTTTAATATAACTATATTTGTCGATGTTTGTTATTTTCAATCAATTTTTTGTCATTGCAATCAAGAGATTTTCAATGCTTAAAAAAAGGAAGAACCAGTAAAATCATCTCACCTGCACTCTATCAAGGACTTTATGGTGATGAGCAAAAATTATCATTTTTTGGGAATTGCGGTTTGCATCTAATTCTGCTACACCATCCCATTCTGAAAAGAGCGGGTGAATGGAAAGCCATTCACAAAACCTAGAGAATTTTGCAATACCAAGCTCTTGATAGGAGAGTTCGTCTAATCTGCAAGAAGCACCACTATCTGAAAGAAATAAAATGGACTAGGGTAAGAGGTATACAGAATGCCAACTACAACTTGTTCACCTACCGTTTAGCTACTTCTCAAGTATGCTTTGAATTTACCTCCAAACTAAGCACTTGAAAGGAGAACTAAGAACTCACAAACTCATCTCATCAACATTTTGTATGATGCTTTGTTCAGTTCGTTCAAACTCTCTTCCAAATAATTTGGAACTGAATAGAAAAAAGTTGATTCCTTATTTGCTTATCTAGGCCATGTATCTAATTGTCGAAAAATGTAACAGTTTGAATAATCATTGTATTACAATAACAGAACTAATAATTCAGGACATAACTTATTGTTTATTTTATGAGACTGATCTGACACATAAGATAACATGGCTTCAGTTGCATTACCTTCAGAAACATCATTATTCACAGTCCCAACAGCGGTCTTTGCTAACATAATGTCTGATCTCTTCAATGACAGTCTTATAATTTTTCGACGTTTTGGTGGTAATTGTTCCAGAACATGCTTCTTCAAACGTCTTATCTAAAACCATCAATACAGCCTATTAATGAAACTTTCTCAACATAAAACACGAGCAATAATATTTATAAACTCATCTATTGAAAAACAATTTGACCATATGGAGAAAGGCAATTCTCTCTCTCTCTCTCTCTCTCTCATACATTTGCACATGCAAGCACACATGTTATCAACAATAACAAACAGTCAAACATTTACCTACAAGTAAGAATTTCCCAAAAGAAAATTTATGAGCAATAATATAAAAATCATAATCAATTGACACAAAATGTGATCAATTAAACAAAAGCAGATGCTTGCTACATCTCTCTCTCGAATCAAGGGTTACACTAATCAAATCAAAGACCATTTGGCCAACAAACCATTGGCAGCATGTAAAATTTTGTGGTTACTAAGGGAAATTTTTGGGGAAATTGCTAACCATGGTAAAATAGATCACATTTAATCAATCAAAAGGTAGGACTAGATAACATAGGGCTGATATTTTTAGAAGCATGTTATTAACCCCTCCCCTTGGCACTTTTTCTACTTGTTTCCCAATATTTAATGGTTAAGCCATAACTTGCATGTTATCTAGTCCTTACTTGGGAAATTCATTTGCATTCAGAAGAATCTGTAATTTTCTCAAAGAACTCAAGAAAAGGCAGAAGATAATATAGAACACAATGGTACCCATTTTGGATATAATGTATTTATACTCCCCAAGTCTTTTGACAAATAAGAGTTAATTCTTGGACCACCACAGCTGATACTTAAAAAAAAACTAAGATAATAGTTTATGAATAACTGTTCCACATGGCATAAAGGATTTCAAAAGCAAGAGCATTACCATAACAGTTTGTCTAAGCAACACGTTAAGTTCCTCCAAGCGAATGCCCTTTGAGAAATCCTGCATAACGATTTCATTGACTAGCTCAAAACTTCAATTTTGATGGTCAAGGTGAAAAGAAAAGGTTTGTACATAAAAGGCACAGAGCTTTATGCCAAGATCCATGAGTTCCTACTTTTAGTCACAAAATCCAATCATCTCCCAAAACTAAGAAAACTTATTTTCTAACTTAATCAGTAAGCATAAGAAAATTTTATGACCAACTTTAAAATGATGCAACGAACAAAGTTTCTATGCAGCTTTTAAGAAATCATGTAGTGTGTATGATAGTATCTCTAAAAGTCACCTGGAAACGTTTCCCTTCAGAAGTCAAGACATATTTAACTGCACAGTAAGTTTTTGCAAAATCGTACTTGGTCTGTCCCAGTAAACCAGGCCTGAAAAGCAGAAGCATTGTTGAGAAATATGATCTGAAATAAACTAAGACTTAAGAAAACCAACAATGTAAGATACGAAGAAGACTTGCCATAACATATTTATCTGATGAAAAATGTCATATGGCCTATGATCACCTAGGAATACACACAAATAACACATTAGAATGTATTTCTAATAGCAATCTTCATAGAAACTTGGGAAAAGCTAATAAAGGTAGAGGCATAATAAGATATTATAGGCTGATTCAATTTTGCACTAAAAAAATACATGCTACAACCTGGATAAAGAAGGTGTCCCTGACAGAAGAACTATGCGCTTAACCTTTGCAGCCAAATCAAGAACAGCTTTTGTCTGCAAACACAAGAAATGGTAAAATAGTAAGATGGGAGATAAATTTTAATAAAACGAGCACTTCCATGCTCTCACTTCATGCACTGTCACAATATTTCAGCAGGTTATTGTAAACCAAAGATCTAAACTGCATGTAATTGTTCATACATTTTTCTCAAAAGACAAGCCCCAGATAGAACAAAGTGGGTAGAAAGCCTCTCTTTCAATGGCACAATGACCCTCCAACACAATAATATTCATACATTTGCTGAGTTCAATGAATATAATTCCCTAATACTTGCAATAAATTCCAAACAAGTATTCTAGAATCTTGCCAATCCATAACTCAAAAAATTCATCCAATAGCCTTTCCCAAGACATTAGTGAGGAGTTTGGGTTTTGCCACATTCATCACCCCCTCATAGTGGAGAACAGCTAATAGTAAAGACTCTCCTTTTCAAACCCACCCCTGGTCTAAACCATTAAACCTGCTTAAGCTAGTCCCAATTTTGTTCATGTGATGAATTTAATTCCTAAGATTTTGCAGAATCTTGTAATCAACTGACTTAGCAGATGGTGATAAGTAAAATACATTATAAAGGCAATAAGGGCTACCTGCCTTTCTTATTTCTCACACCTAAATGAAGTGCAAATAATATAATAACTCTGGGATATTTTTGTTCTCATCGCAAGCGAAAAGGCATTTTGAAAATAACACATGGAATCCTTATCAGTACCATAAAGTGGTCGCTTTTTTTTTTATGAAAAAGAAAATTTTGTGGTTTAAACTTTCCAGTTCTTACATTTGCAGCTTATTTAACATGAGGGCAAGCTTGAAAACCCAGAACCTAGTTTTCCACAAATAAATCCTATAAAAATCTCTTCAAAAAAAAAAAAAAAATTCCCTTCAAGCTATAGCTTTTTGTGTGACATGAACGCAGTATGTTAATATCAATTACTCGTGTCTTTCCTCTTTTTCTTCTTGAGCATATACTTTGACACTGGAATATTAATTTTCAGTCTAGGACATTATTGAAAGTGTTTGAGGATTTGGAATTCTTGATGATTTGTATTGATGTACAAGACCCTTTAAATAGGGAGAATACAAACAGAATATGGAAAGGAATTACGACAATAAAGGTGTCTATCCTGTCCTTTTTCTTTATTTTCTTTCTACACCTTATAAATGTAATGTGTCATTAATAAATATAAAACTACTGTTATTTTATTTTTTCTTCACTCGCATATGCGAATAAGGCATTTGATATATTATAAATCACCAGTCTTTGTGTGTTGTGCTGGGTGTTAATCCTATCTTTTTAGTGACCATATGATAGTGGTCTCCGTGGATTGGTGGCCTGTTTGTGTGTTTGTGTGTTTGTTGTATTTAAGAAAAAAATTTTTTTGGTTTGAAATCGTTTTTCCAGTTGTCTGTTTACATTTTTTCAGTCTTGTAGTTTAACTATTGGAGTGCTAAGTTCTGAAGATATTCCTGCGTATTATACCTAGTTTTTCTACAAATAGATAATCCCTATGAAAAAATCTCTTCGATAAAATTAAAATAATTAGGAAATAGTTCCTCTTTCTACAGCTATTTGTTGTTTTGCATGCTGTGACTTATTGATATTCCGCTGAGTGAATGGTTGTAATACTTTATGGTTATCTGTGTGATCTCCTTTCTGTGTTCTCTTTGTTATGGCATGTGATGTATCGTTGACCACGGTGTGGGATATTATTATTCAGTCTAGACATTATGGAAAGTTTAGATTTGAATTCTTGATGGATTTTGTCATTGATGTAACAAGACCCTTTAAATAGGGAGAAATCACAAACAGAATATTGGATTAACGAATTACAATTAATTTACAAGAAGAATTAATTGTAATCTGTTCTAGATTATCAGTAAGGACATGATCTTGTGGATGATATCATCGGCTAATAGACTCCCCGCAGTATGAGCGAGGGCGGAGGAGCCTAGCACGCTCAAAGCTGGACTCGGAAACATGACTCATAGTAACAACTGTCGAAGGATAGGCTCCTTGGTAAAGATGTCAAGCATGACTTGGAAAAGCAGATGACCATGTGAGACCCGAATGTGGCCTATTCCCCCGAATGTGGCCTATTCGAACTTTCTCCCGTACAAAGTGTATGTCGATCTCAATGTGTTTTGTGCGTTGATGCTGGACAGGATTGTCAGACATATACACTGCTGAAACATTGTCACAGTATACGACGGAGGCCTGCTGAAGTGGGAGGTGTAATTCCAGAAGTAAATTGCGAAGCCAGGTGGTCTCTGCAACAACATTGGCTACTCCTCTATATTCTGCCTCTGCACTAGACCGTGAGATAGTAGGCTGCCGTTTTGAAGACCATGAAATCAAATTATCACCAAGGAAAACACAGTAGCCACTAGTTGATCCTTCTGGACATCTGGGCCACCCAATCTGCGTCTGAAGTATTGCTACCCAAGGTATGTGTATTTTCGTCCTGCCAATTTTTCCTATACCGCTAGTCAACAGCGCCTTGTAAATATCGGCATTGTTCTTTTATGAGGAAAGCCATTAGTTGCGGATCCCTCGGTTCATGGCATGAAGAAGGCATATTGAATTGCTATCACAGGTATAATGATATATATACTGAGCTGAGATACTAGGTAATTTGCGCACAGTCAAGACTGCCCTCAGGCTATAAATGTTGGTATCATGGAATATGCGAGGCCAGTCAGAAAGCAATTCAGTTTGATGAATTAGATCGACTGGTCACTACTGGTACACGGTCGCACACGGTTTTGCACAAGCAGACACTTGGAGCTCTGCGAATTGATATGCCTTGTTGTTATGCAGACTTGATCTCCAAGAAATAAACAAACCTACCAGTATGTTCGTAGTCCACTTTGATTCCCAGCGGAATGATTTGCACCCCGCCCAAATCTGTCATGGTGTGCCAAAACCTCTCGTGAGAGCACTTGCGCGTTGATAGATATTCCTGTAATAACTTCATTAGAAGTAGCAGTGAGCCACGTATATCATGTCATTGCAAACTCTCGTGAGAGCATGCGGATAATATTCTGTAATAACTCATTAGAAGAGGCAGTGAGCACTATATCATCAACATACAGAAGTAAATATTGAACAATTTGAAAATGTGCAGCATACGCTTGATGATGTTCTTCACCGTGAAGAGGTCTTCTGGTCTCAAAGAGCGAAATCCCATTGGTTGACATCTGGGGACATGAATTCTCGGTACTTCCATGCGACTGCTAAAAAACGAAAGAAATCAAAACAGATTTTTCGGTTGAAGGATGCTAGTGGCGAGTGGATAAGTGACAACAATTTACTGAAAGGTATGGTGAGCAATTATTTTGTTAATCTATTTGCGGCAGGGGACGTTGACTTAAGTCCTGTTGTGGGTTTATTTTCTCCTTTGGTTTCTGAAAATGACAACTCTATGTTACTTGGAGATATTTCGGTTGATGAGGTTAAACTGGCTGTGAAACAGATGCATGCAGACAAAAGCCCAGGGATGGATGGTCTAAATCCTAGATTTTACCAGCGGTTTTGGGAAGTTGTGGGTCACGATGTTGTCCATAGTTGCCGAGACTGGTTCACTACAGGCGTTTTTCCGAATACTCTGAATGATACTATGATTGTGTTGATTCCAAAAGTAGAGGACCCAGCGGCAGTGAAGGATTTTCGACCTATTTCACTATCTTGGTCAACCTGTAACGTTATACAAAGTGTTTGCTAACATTCTGACGATAACCGGCTGAAGTACCATTTGGCCGTAATCTGTATTTTCATTTTATCTCAGTCGGCTATTTGTCCCTCCAGGCGGTTTGCTCTCGGAAAGTGTGTTAGTTGCTTTTGAGTAATCCACTCTATGAGCGGGGGGGGGGGGCGGGGGGGGGAGGGGGGGAGGGGGGGGCGGGGATGGGGCGTAAACATAGAATGACAGTCGGACAAGGCAGCTTTCCGCGTTGAAAGTTACTATTTCCACAAGTCTTATGACACGAGTTAATGCTCGCTACACTACAGGCTTGTTATTGCAGGCGCTTTGGGTTCTAAAGCCAGCGTTGGGTGATTTGGGTTTTAGCCAGCGTTGGGTTGATTTGATCATGTTGTGTGTTTCCTCTGTTAAATACTGGGTTGGAGTGAATGGGGATGAGGTTGGCCCAATTATTCCAGAACGGGGGTTGAGACAAGGTTGTCCACTATCGCCTTATCTATTTATTCTTTGTGCTGAAGGACTGTCCAAGCTGTTTTGTAAGTCTGAACGAGAAGGCCGTCTCACAGGCTGTAGAGTCTCGAGAGTCGCTCCCCGGATATCTCATTTGTTATTTGCGGATGATAGTCTATTCTTCTTTGAGGCATCACGGACTCAAGCTCTGGAGATTAAAAATATTCTAGCTACCTATGAAGCAGCTTCAGGTCAAGCGGTTAATTGGCAAAAATCCGGTATTTTTTTCAGCTCTAACACTTCTGAATTGGATAAGACTGCTGTTACAGGTATTTTTTTCAGCTCTAACACTTCTGAATTGGATAAGACTGCTGTTACAGGGGTTTTTGGTGTGCTTGCTCCTTTGAACCACGGACGATATCTCGGCCTGCCATCGTTAATTGGTAGGGAAAGGAGACGAGTTTTTTCGTTCTTAAAGGATCGCGTGAGGAAGTTGATCAGTGGTTGGAACCAGAAACTTCTATCCAAAGCAGGTAAAGAGGTACTCATAAAGGTTGTCGCACAAGCTATCCCTTCATTCTGTATGAGTTCTTTCCTTATACCGGTATCTATTTTAGCGGAGCTTCAGCGACTAATGAATTCCTATTGGTGGGGTGGGAAGATGAGATGGTTGAGTTGGGAACGGCTTTGTGTAGCGAAGGAAAACGGAGGTTTGGGTTTTAGACATTTGCAAAGTTTCAATCTGGCCTTATTAGGAAAGCACTGTTGGAGGCTTTTACACACTACATTATAGCTCTCTCTACAAGCTAAAATTTCCCAAGTGGAATTTTTCTTGGGGTGCAGGTGTTGGCCGTAATCCAAGTTTTGTATGGAGAGGGATTTGTGCAGCCAAAGATGCTATCTGTTCTGGTTTTCGATGGAGAATTGGAGATGGTAAATCAGTTAATGTCTGGACCGAACCGTGGCTATTGAGGGATAATCAGTTTCGGGTTCCCTTACCTATTCTTCCTGGCTTTGAGCATATACGGGTTTCCGATCTTATTTTGACACACGGGGCACGTGCTTGGAACCTGCCACTGATACACGGTCTTTTCAATCCTTCAATTGCTGAAATTATTACTTCTATTCCTTTAGCTACAAATGTTCAGGATGACATTCTTATATGGCATTGGACAGATTCTGGGATATACTCTGTGAAATCTGGATACAAAGTAGTAGCATCTCATTCTGTGGATACTGAAGATGCTTGGCGGTCGAGCTTCGGGAAATCTCTTTGGTCACTTCAAATTCCGCCGAAAGTGAGACATTTTCTCTGGAGATGTTGTCGCGACATCCTGCCAGTTAAAGCAACTTTGGCAAGAAGGGGATTGGAGCTTGACACAGCATGTGATTACTGTGGTACTACTGAAACGTTAGTCCATGCTCTCGTCGAGTGTCCGAGAGTACGCTTTTGCTGGCAATTTTTTGGTATTCAGCTGAGTATTGGGAATTTTCCAACTTTCTTACAACTGTTGGAACATTTACATCATGTGTGGGAGAACGAATTTTTTGAGAACTTTGTTATGGGACTATGGAGCGTTTGGTTGAGCCGTAATGCGTTGAAATGGAATCAAGTGGAAGAAAGACCTTATCATATGGTTACTCGCGCCAGAAGTATGCTCGCATCTTGGAAGAAAGCCCAGCTGAAGTCGCCAGGTTCAGGTACAGGTACAGGTGCTCCTGCAAGTCGAATTTGGTGTCCGCCACCTATGGGCACTCTTAAAATAAATTTTGATGCAACTCTTCTCCCCTCTATCGGCCATGGAGCCGTTGGTGCTGTAATTTCAAATTGCAATAGCGGGTTTGTATCAGCAGCAACGTCTTCTTTGCAGGGTTGTCATTCTCCTGCAGTAGCAGAAGCTCAGGCGTTAAGAACAGTGTTGTCTTGGTTGCTGTCGGGATACTCCAGCTTGAAGATTCAGATTGAGACCGATTGTCTGTAAGTTTTCTGTGCTATGAGAAATTCTGTCCAAGACTGGTCTGAGTTTGGAGTTGTTATTTCTGAATGTAAGCTACTGTTAGTCCAATTGCCAAATGTCACGTAAGCTACTGTTAGTCAATTGCCAAATGTCAAACGTGATTTGGTTTAGAAGACAAGCTAGATGAATATAGCCATAGTTTTGGCTAAATCAATTTCTCGTGGGGCCGCTTATGTTTTCAAACTTGTGAATAGTGGTGCCACTTGTATTGCTTCATTTTTCTCGTAATAATAATATAAAAGCCAATATTAAATGTTAAAAAAAAAAAACATACAGAAGTAAATAATGCAAGCTGATTTCTTCCCTTTGAAAAAAAACTGAGTGAATTGTTCACATCACACTGCTGAGCGAAAACCCATGTGAAGATAGCAGATGGTGCAAAAGTGTGTAGCATGCCCAGTGGCGCTGTTTGAGGCCATAAAAGGATATTTTCAATCTGCAACACAAAATGAGGGTATTTTCTATCTGTGAAAACCGGGGTTATCATAAAAACAGTTCATTTAAATGCTCAATGTAAAAACGCGTTTGACATCCAACTGTGTATTGCCAAGAACGGGAAACGCAATGATAACCAGTCCGATAGTTTGCAGGGTTCACTAAACGGGACTAAATATCGTCACAGTATGCCCACCGTTTGAGATTTGCCCAACTTACCACCAAACGTGCTTTGGTATCCTTTGAAGTGACCCATCCTGATTTAAATTTGTGACGAAAAAAGCACAATACACGAATGACGTCCGGCGTCAGCGAGGCAGGCCACGAGTTCCCCATGTAATCATTTCCTGCAAAGCACAAACTCAGCCTGCATGGCAATGGTCAGAAACAAGCTTTGCATAAGAGAGTGGGTATTGGTGCCAAAATTGGAAGGTGTCATAGAGCAGGCGAGCTTTGGAGCGGGTGGTCATGGATGGTATGCTGTGCGGGTTTGAATACACACGGTGGTTCTGATGTGGGAATTTTGGAGACAGGTGCAGCGCAGTGTGTTGTGATGTGCCGTACATTGCACGATTAAAGGGGCTGTTGTTAATGCTGCGGGTGTATATTATGGGTAAGGAAAGATTGGGCGTTTTGGGTTTGGTGGCTGTTTGGTGTTGGTGAGGTTGTAATAAACTGAAAATTCCTGTGGTGTTGTCATCCAAGAGAAAATTGTATGTTTTGGTGAGTTGGAATGGTGTATGGGCAAAGTTGTTCATCCAAAGGTTAAATGTTTCGTCGCATATGTGGACTCCCGGTTAGGTACAAAGCATCCGGTATCCCCGTATTCTGAGGGTATCCAAGGAACGATGCATCCTAACGATCTTGGGTATCTGTGGGTTTGGGTTGGCGAGGGTACTTGGAGAACAAGCACACCCGAACACACGCAAGGTGGATCGTACTGTCGCCGTGGCGAGATATACAGTGCAAAAGTGGTGCTGAAAATAAATTGAAACGTCTTGTTGGAAGGATTTAATGGAGATAGGGCCAGCAGGTGTGAAGTGCTTCGACCCAAAAACATAGTGGTAATGATGCATTTGTTTGGTGGCGCGGATGAGGAGTGAGCGGATGGATGTCGTTTGAATGGACGACGAATCATGCGGTTTCAGCCTTGGACCATTTTTGGGAAGATTTTGGGGGCATGAAAAACGGAATAAATAGACCATTGTTGTTTGGGGGCGCAAAAGAAATTTTTGAATTATGGTTGTCAAATTTCCTCCCCCAAGTCGTACATTGAAAATTTGATATGGACGGTTGTATAATTGGGTGGGCAGTGATGTTATGGAAAAAAAATTTTAGTAGAAGGTGTGAATAGTTTCCATCCAGATTTGTGTTGATAACTTGAGAGGGTTGATACCCCAGAACGACATCATAATTGGGAAAAATTTAATCAATTTAAGCACCATGTAAAGTATTTAGTATTCAGAAATCAAAAAAAAAAAATTTTGGCTTGGGGAAAATGTGGAGAAGTCCACAAAGTCAACTATAGTGTTATTAGATATCAAATGAATTATGAAAAAGTAAAGGAAAATTTGACTTCCATAAAATAGGTAAATCGGTTTGCTATTTCAATAAATACGTGACAAGATTGGCCAAAAAATAAAATGCCCTTGTTTTTCCTTAAAACAGGGGGAAGACCCACTGTGGTTGGTCTTCTTTAAAACAAATCTAAAGACTTGTGTGCCAAGGTGACCGAGGTGGCCGAATCGTTGCCAAAGTAGAATAAGAATTTTGGAAAAATGTGATTGAACAAGCTTGTTGTGTGGGTAGGTTGGTGGAGTGAACGTGAATAGAAGATCTCATCAGGTAATATTGTGGGCGGGAAAGGAGGCTGCCTCCGTTTTGAAAAGGTCCTTTCAAAAAAGAGATAAAAAATACCAAAAGGGTCCCCATAAGTTTCACAGATAAAATTGTATCACGTGTAAAACGGCCGGACAGGATTAAGTAATTTTTTTTAAAAGTGAGATATTGGGGCGTAAATAATGTTTTTTGGGAAAAGGATTATATTGTAGATCCGGTTTAAGAATGGGGAAGGTAAAACCCTTTTTTTCCTGAGCCCCCATTGGTGTAAATGAGTTGTCCCCAGTTGCAGAACTAAAAATTGTTTAGTGTTTAACAGGCATGAAAAGGAATGAGTCAGGGATTTTGCCGAATTCTACCCTCGGTTGGTCGGTGACAGTGACGTTCCTGCGCCCTGGTGTATCCATTGAATCAGAAAAAATTGAAAGGATAATTCGTGGTACTATTTGAAGTTGCAAAAAATCGTGTTTATAAGCGATTTTGGCTGAATGAACGGAAAAGGACTTAACGAAAGCTAAATTCCATATCCAGTTATGCGGCTGTGAAGTTGGGTGATAT